TTGTACATCCTCGCAGCACGTTATTGAAGAGAGAGAGAGAGAAAACAACTGTTCGGTATTTCCTTCTCTCTTTTTTTTTTTTTTTTTTTTTATTGCTAATCGATGTAACATCGACTACACGAGGGTACAGTCCGAGATATCCTTTTCCCCCCGCCCTCTTTCGCGCGAGAGAAAATCGTGGAAAACGCTCTCGTGTAATGATTATATCGACTTGTAACGGTTGGTTTATATCCTCTCGAGGAGTCTGCGCCTTGTCATCACCAGCGGATTTATCAAATCGGACACGCCGGCGCCGATAAAAACACACCGCCGGCGAAACGAGACAAACAGTCATAGCAACGCGCAAAACAACAATTTAAATATAAATATATGTAATATAACACAGACGAAAGCAATCCCCCCAACCCCCCTTTACACCGACACTTCATTACAATAGAAAATAAATAATTGCAAACATGAGCGTAGCGACGAATGATAAACAATTACGATGATAATAGATTATTGCGTTCGCGTGCTCTGGTCGGGGGGACGAAGCACCCCCGGGAACTCGGTGCGTTCATTTGTTTTTTTTTTCTAGCCATCGACGTCCCGCGGGTGTTTCCCCTCGCGAATGTATATAGTGTGAGATCGTCGAGGTCGTGGATTTTTCTCGAGATTTTCCCGACGTTGTCGATCGCGCCGTTTCTTTCTCCGTTTTCATTTTTCGAATTTGCATTGCACAAATTAAATTGCGGAAATAACTTGTATGTTGCACTTTACATTGTTGAAACACAAAAAGCAAAACGAGATGCGCACAACCTCTTCGTTAAAAATCAATGTTGCAATAATTTTCAAGAACTCATAGGACAACAACAATTTGTCTCTTTTAAAGAAAAGAGAATTACAATAACGTGCATAAATTGATAATTTTTAAGTTCGCAAGAAGATGGAAAAAAGGAGAGAGAAATCGCGATTGGGAACGGAAGGAAATTGATACGCGCGAAAACTCGCGATGACGATCGTCAGAGCCGACAACCTGTTATATTTCGCTGTTTGCCGACACGCCCAAGGATTTTTTCGGATAGAAAAGCAACAGAGTAGTAGTGAGAGAAGAAAAATCTGAAGTGTCCTGAAAAATCCGGACGTCGTAAAAAATTTTTTGCTTTTCCGAGGATCTTCTTGCGCGTTCGGTTCACGGCGATTTGTTATTACGCCGAAATCTGTTAGTTTTTTGTCCTTACATATTAGTGTTAAAATGGAGGACGGGAATAGTAAAAAAAAAAAATGCCGTTGTGTTGTTCTTTGTCTCATTTTTTTTCAAAGGAAAGAGAAGAAACAAGAAAGAGACAAGATTAAAAAAAAAGAAAAAAATTTCGACGATATTTCGTCGCGCATTCGCTAACCGAAAACAAAAAAAGGAAACAGGAAGAGGAGAGATTCAGCAGCAAAGCACGCGCGTCTTTTTCTTTTTTGTAACGTTGACGCGTTCGCGAGCCTCCGGATCCTCGTGTTTCGAGCAAAAAAAAAAAAAATTTTGTAGAGGTTTCAAAAAAAAAAGTTGGATATTGCATTTTAAATTGATCAAAATTTTCAAAAGATCGCGACGAGACGTGGCGTGGCGGTACCTTCTTCCGAGAACACTCTGCTGTAGGCTGTAGGTTTGTAAGGACAACCGATTCGTCGGTTGTCTTTCGACTTTTACAAACGATCTTGCCGCCGAAGAAGATATTGACGACGCCACGTTTTTGTCGCGACTCGACGAGGATCGCGGGGCGAAATGCGCGCGTGAACGAGAACATTGGCGAGAACGAGAACAATTCCTCACACATACATAAGCAAAAACAATTTATTGGTTATTGTAGAAAAAAATAATGAAAGAGTGAGAGCGATAGAGAGAGAGTGAGAGAGAGAGAGAGAGTGTGTGTGTAATGCATGAACGAGAAAATAAACGGACACACGCAGGTGGATCAGATTTAATTGCAAATCATTAACTGTGTAACTCTAATAAAAGTCTATTTGAATGTAAGCGCGTTAAAAAAAAAAAAAAATGCTATTAAGGAGAACAGTATATAAAATATATTATATGTAATATGATAAAAAGAGAGCGACCGAGAGCGCGGATCACGGAAGAGAACTCACGATATTTCGAAGAGAGAAAAACAAATCTCTTTCTTTTCTTTTTTGTTTGTTTGTTTGTTCGTGTAAGACAAGTAATATCTGTTTAGATGCTAACAAAAACGCGCGATAAGAAAAGACTCGAGCAAAACGGCCGAGAACTCAGAGACGAAGGACACGTGTGCATTTGAATAATCGAACACTTGAAAAAAAAAAAAAAAAAATCTTGGAGCGTGAACAGTCACGTGGGATTTTACCAATTTTCAAATCATTCTTATTAACAAAATATCGCACATTGAGGATTGCTTTTTTTAATAGTTTTTGATTAATTTTCTTGTTGCAGATTCTGCCACTGTTTGTGAAAAAAATTAAAAACAATATATGAAAAATACATCAAAACGTGGATTGTAGCCACGTGACGGTTTTTACACCTCTCACGTTACTGTTGTCGAGTCAAGAGAGCATCTGGAAATTTTCTAAGCATTTTTCAAACAAAAGCTTTTTACAACACAAGCAATTTTGTGCGAGAGTTTCTCTCGAAAACGATTGTTGGAAAAATTGTTCGTGATGCCGAACGCGCTTCCTTCGTGTCCAAAAAAAAGAAAAAAACAAGCCCGTGGTCGATTATATCCTGTCGGTCGATCGAAAATAATGGAAAGAAACGCTTAGCTCGGTCAAATGTGTTTTTTTGTTTTCTTCCAACTATCATGCTATCGGTAATCTTATAATTGTCCGAGAATGGTTACACACAAACGAGAAAATGGCAACGCGCAATTTTCGAACGGAGATGTCGCACCGAGCTGACAATGCGAATGAGAGCCTCGAAATCTTTCTGTGTCACGAAAATGCTCCCACTGCATGGGAACACCCATCCGAAAATCCTTTCGATCTGCACACACATACATCACACAGTTGCACACAATCAGGTACACGTACACACGCGCGTACAGTTCCTTCGTCAAAAAAAAAAAAAAAAAAAAAAATTTTCCTCGTGCAGAGTTCTCTGAATCCCTCTTTCTGCTGAATTTTTTTCCCTCGCGAACTCTGCTTCACTGTCTCCCTTTCTTCTTTCTCTCAGTCCACGCGCAAATATATCTAAAAATTCACACCACACACGACAGCAAAACATTCGCACCCGGAAACAAACCAACTTTTCCCTCCGCTAAATAACACACGTACGTACACACACACACACACACATACACAGGACCACGGCCGATCGTATATATACAAATTTTCGGATAACAAATATATAACGAGCAGTTCTTTCTTTCGGGAACGCATTCACGAGGACAAGGAAGTAATGAGAAATCGATGTGTAATGAGTTTATGTGTAACGTTCAATTGAGGATTGTATGTAATTGTATATATATAAGTACAATGCAGTTCGTGAGTTAAGATACATTCTCCTTTTTCTACCATGAGAAAAATAAATTATTCTAGTTAATAAAAAAAAAAAAAAAAAAAAATTCCCTCTGTGCGTACATTCCTTTCCGTCGTTGATTTAATTACGAGTAACCTCGTCTTCGTTATCGCGTGACGATGGTTTTTAATTACATAAGTCCTTTGGTAAGCGGAAAATTGTTTTTTCTATATATATATATATAAAGTCAACTAAAAATAATCTAAAAACTAAATAATGTATATATAATTTTAACCTGATTTTTATATATGTATAATATATAATTTGAAAAATAGAATATAACTAATATAGAAAAACATATTCAAAACTTAAAATATTATATATACATTATGTTTTAGGACCTTGGGAGAAAAGAAAAAAGTGTGTTGTTTTTAAATCGATTTTTTTATTTTACTTACTGCTTACTAAGAATACTTTTTACAAACAAAGTTTTCACCGCGGTAACAATCGGGGTTCGCGATTAAATAATCTGTACTGTTACTTGCGTACTCATGCACGTAGAGAGATAACATCAGTAAAATTAATGCGCGATAACCATATTCTAGATAATGCGAGATATATTTGAATAATGACAAGGACGTTGAACAAAGTTATTAATCGAATAATTTCACGAGTACGAGGAATATAATTTCACACATCACATCCAATTTACGATACCATTACAGTGCGGACGTCGATAAAGTTCATTAATTATTTCATATATCTAGAACATCAAAAAAACTGTGTATATACATATATGTATATATTATATATCCAGTGAGAGAGAGTGCGTAAATGCTTCGTCATTGCGCAAAAAAAGCCCATTGTTTACGTACGCGCAAATTTATCGAATCGAAGGACATTTTAAGTTCGAACGGCGCGCGGTAAATTCTATCTATATATTCCGGAAATCGATATTCTGACAAGCGAGAAGCCATATCGTCGACAAAATTTTACCGACAGTTCTCTTTCGTTGTTAGTCTTTTTTTTTTTTTTTTTTTTATCGAATATCGCGTATCATAATTCGATAAACTCGCGATAAGAATCGTTCTTGTTGCTCGTCATTTGTCTCTAACGTTCTACAGACGTAGGTAATTAATTAATTCTAATCGACAGTTTGCTCCTTTCTAGATTTTAGCCACAACTAACTCGACAGATATAGCAAGCTCAGACACAAGTATTGTCTCAGAAAGGAGCGAGAAAGCTACGCGACTACATTCGATTTTCAAATCCCCGACGCTGTTTTGCTGTGTGTGCAAAAGTCGTAGATAACTTTCTTTTATTTTTGTTTTTTTTTTTCGCGTCAGTAATGGAGGATTTCGATATAACAATATAATTAGATATCGATACACTCGTTTTAACAGTCTCGATACGTTTGTCGTCTCAAACGAGATTTCGTTTGAGACGGTAAACATTTATTAAACAGCCACACTCCTAGCTCGAGTCGATAAGAGAGGAAAACGCACGCGGTAACCCCAACGGGGGATAGCATCCCTACAAACGGTTAGGCGGGCCTGAGAGCGCCGACCATGTCCCCCAACAGTCGTTCCACGCTGACATCACCGACCGTCGGTTTGAACAACAACTCGTGCAGGGTGGCACGGCAGAGTGCACGCGCCGGCGGTAATAGCAGCAACAATCGACCAACCCTGCGCGCATCCCTCTCGCAGAACACCGCCACCGTTTGCTCCTGGAGCGCCGCCACGCGCGTCGGTTCGCAGAGATTTCGCGACTCTGCGGATGATGTTCAAAAGGTATTTATCACAAAGAGATTTACACTTAAAACATTAACATGACGTTAATTTGAAACAAATTAAGATCATAATGAGATATTCATAGAATCTTCAATATTCAAAAACACGGTTCGATAAAAAACATTTTGAGATAAATTTAAGACGCGCGCGATCTAATCTTCATCCTAAACCATCCATGAACCGTGGGTTTTCGACGCATTTTATTTGATTTTAAAACAAATATCAAAAATATTTATTTTAAATATATTATTTTAATATTGTTAATTAATATTTACAAAAGTTTTGTAAAACTTCTGACATCTTTCAAGTTTTCCATTATATTCTTTATTTAATCAGTTTTTTACATAATTTATTTTTAATAAATTTCAAAGAAAGTTCCGAAAAGTGCTTGAAAAAAAATCAAAGATTCAGAATTATGTTAAATATAAGATCGCGACCTATCGGCCTAAGTGGAGATCGATCTTCGCTAATAAATCATTGTTCGAATCGTCGAAATTTATTTTGGAAATAAATAAATAAATTCGTCGAAAAAGAGAGAACATGAGAAAATATAGAAGTAAAATAAATCGCTCACCCGGTTTGAAGAGAACTATGGCCTTCAAGCACGCGTACTCCGAGTGATCCACCCTCAACGCGGCACACTTCGCCAAGAGTTCTCTCAATCTTCTCGCTTTGTCGAGAAGAATTTCTCTCCGTTCCAGGGGAATGTCCACGGACACCAGTGTGGTTTCGTCCACGGGAAAGTTCCATTGCGCGGCTGTCAGCACGAACAGCTCGCTCCACGACTCCTCGAGAAGGATGGTCTGGTCTCTGTAAGGGAGCTTGCAAGAAAAAGTTGTTTTTTTTATTACAAAGCTACTTTACACAGTCTCCTGTTATATCCGAATATTTTGATTTTTATTTTTCGTTACAAAACAGAATTTGTGTATCGAAGTCTTACTTGTAGAAAGGAATTTATACTCCTCGCCCATCTCACGGCGAAGAAAAGCAATTTCGCTGCGAATTCGTAGATGTTCTCGGTCGGCAGAAGGGATAAACTTGACATAGTGTATTCCGACGAAACGGAAGTGATAACTGGCGGAGCCAGACGGGTGTTTACCAGTTCCTCTACGACACAGAAACATCGACGCGATATATTTTCTCAATTCACGATCGCACGTAGAGATAAAAAAAAAAAATATTAAATTACATAAAAAATATATAGTTCTATAAATTAATTATATTTTAACAATTACATATTTTAATATTGAAACTCGCACACCTTTAGAATCGATTCTGATATCGACAGTGGCCGCCTCCTCGGAGCTGGTAACCTCGTCCTCCTTGGCGGTAGTCATGGACAAGGATTCCGGAGACGGTCGCGGCAAAAAGTGTGCTGTCGGGACGGCACATTTTTGATACGAAAAAAAAAACACACACACACACATCTTCGAAACAAAATATGATATTTGTTTCTTACCAACTGACGGCGTAAACGCTGGTACCGTAGGCTTGAAGGGAAACAAAGCGGGATACAAGAGAGGATGATAGGCGGTACCAGCGGGATGATAAACATTTGGAATGCCGGTATAAAGTCCCGACGGAGTTCTCCTCGCCGCCGCGACGAGAGAGGACGTGCTCCTTGGCGCTCGCTCGTGTTGCACGGCTACGAAAAAGGCGACAGAGTCGTTAAAATTCCGTGGTAACGTCATTAATTGCGAAAAACTGTGTTGAAAGTAGTTTCTCGAATCGGATATAATTTTCTATCAATATTTTATTTTATATGTTGTTTTTTTTTTTAATATTATCGTTTTAACATTGTTGTCCGCAACATGTAAAAAGTTCCGGACTTCTCAAGAGAGAGAGAGAGAGAGAGAAATAAAAAGAAAGAGGATCAAGGAGCGCAATGGCCCTTTAATGGCGGGGTTCCCCCCCCTCCGTTCGCTAATTGATATCTCAGCAATCAAGTGTTTGGATTATCGCTCGGCGCATAAGGGTCCCCCCTTCCCGGAGGTGTTTACAAAAGCTGTGAACGCCAGGCTGCTTCTGACACCGCTCGCCACCGGATCCCGCCGCTCGGTAAGCAGAAATATAGAGTTTCATGTGTGAATGTGAGGCGCGCTCGCGCGAGTGTATGCGGACACACTTCGCTTTCTCCAGACTGTTTCCCTTCTGTCGGGCGAGAACGTCATCCGCGCATTGTAATATCCCAACCCGCGACACTTCGCGCGTACATTCGGGTTTTGCTACGTGGTGGGTTTGGTAACGTCTAAAAGCTTCGTCTGTCGGTGCCATGTCTTTCCGAGTCTGTCGACGGAATAAAAGGTTCATCTTGTCTGTAGGTGAACGACACGAGCAGCTGATATCGCTAAATAATGCCAAATCAAAAGAATAAATATCAGTCTGCTATTTTTTTTTTTTTAAGTCTGTCACGCGAAATTTTATACTGAGAAAAAAAATTGGCGAACTTAAGGAAATTTTAATTGAGTGACCGATTAGTGACTGTCAATGATTATCGATCATATTCGTTGATCTACGGAAACATTCTGTTATTTTGACTCCTCATAAATTAAAAACAAAACAAACAACAACTCGAATAACAATTGACCGCGAGAACTGAAATAGTTGTTCGCGGTATTTTGTCACAGTATTTTTTTTCTTGGTGTAAGAAAATAGAGAAAGAAACGAGAAGTTTATTTTCGATAACTTTTGTTACAATTTGTCAAATCATATTACCATTTGTCAAAATGTAATTGTTTGTACATTAAATTAAGAAAAATTTTATTTTGAAAAAAATTAGGAGTGGGCAGGTTGTAACAATGTTTGTAATTTATTCGGAAGGTTAAACTTGCAACTTGCTTCTGAAATAACGCAGAAAGCGGGATGAGTTCGCGCTGCAATCAACCGCCGGTTTTGATTCCGCTCGAGCGTGTCATCTTCCAGAAGGTTCTGCGACTGTCAGAGAGAGTAGGAATACATCTCTTTTGCTCAGCCACTTCGCTTGGATATTTCCGTGCAAACATGTCAAGTGCCGTTCTGCGGCACAATTTGTTATATAAAAGAAATTGAAAAAAAAAAACTCACCGTCTCGCTTCATGTTGACCTGAAGGCACTTCGTGAAACGACAGGCTTGGCACTGATTACGCCGCGACACGTCCACGATACAGCGCCCGTTCTCTTTGCACACATAGTCCAAATTTCTGCGCATAAAAAATCTCAGAAATACACTTGCGTAATAATCCAGACAGCGCAAAAGTCCGAAAGAAATTATTTCAATTAGTTTTTTTCGACATTTTTGCGACGTCTTTCGGACTTTTGTGCTGAACTTTTAGCTCTCGATATTACGGTTTACTTTCCCGTAACTACTTGTGCGAGCACAATATCGGCTGATAGATTCGTAAGTTCGTTCTCGCGCGGCGTATAGCTTTAATTAAGCGAGAAGAGTTAATTACCTCGCGTACCTGCGGATAGACCGCTTGAAGAATCCCCGACACCCGTCGCAACTCGGAACCCCGTAATGCTTGCCGGAAGCCTTGTCCCCGCAGACCTTGCACAGCGTTTCCCCGCGACCGGTTTCCTCCATCCTCTCCTGTATTTTTAATAAAAAATATAGTGTTCAGCATATCCTTAAAAATAACAGACTATTATTATTATTATTAGATACTTCCGAGGAGAATTCGAGCTGAGAGTATATCGAAAAACGCGTCAAAATTTAGTTTCTAAATAAAATAATTTTTTAATAAAATATTCACGCAGTGAGATTTTGCGTCCGTTCTGCTATTGGCCGTTTGTAATCAGCTGTTGCGCGCGGTATTCGCTCTGGGAACAAACAGAAGAGGAACGGCGGAAGAAAGCCGAGGTTTAAAGTGACGACGAGACGTCGTCAACGATCGAAGTAGGAAATGTCTCAGGTAATTGCGTCGAGTCTTGCTAATGCATTGCCACACGACTCTGCATTATATATGCGACGAGAGAAGCGCATGCGAGCGAGTAAAAGACTCGAGTCTCCTCGTTATTTGTCATGGGATTTTGTTTCGCGACTCTACCTCGCGCGCTCGTAACCGCCGCGCTTATAGACTTCGGAAATGGTGAGTATATCGCGCTTACGTTACATTTGTGTACATATTGCACGATGTAATGCAACGTCGAAGATCGCCCGCGACAATTTCGCTTCGACGATTTTCCGCGCCGATCGATCAATGTCGCCGACTGTCTCTCGACGTTATTTTAACGAGCCGTTTCTCTCGTTTCGCGCATTGTATTACCGACGGCTTGTCTACGATTTTAATGATCGCGCTGCTACGCGCGAAAAGCCGCTTCGAGTGAAATAAATGGCGAACACGCGCGTGTTCTTCCGACGAAGTCGAGTTATTTCAAACATTGGAATTGGTAACATCACAGCTAAGAAAAATCGATATTAATTGTCTAAACTCTAAATTCTTGAAGAAATGTTAACATTAATTAATACTTATTTTTTTCAAAGTAATGTGGATATATTTTTGATTTTTTTTCAAAGCAATTAGAGTGCAGCCGCTTGGATACAGAATCTTAATGATTATTAGAAATTTATTTATTTAGAAATTAAAATAAACTTGTAGAAGCTAGTTTCGCGTAGTTAAATTCGAGAAGTTAATTTATTAGAAAATTGTTAGAAATTTATAAATTTTTGCATTTAGATTCTTATTTTGAAACATATCAAATAGCGGCAATTCGCAATATACTCAATATATTCTTTGTCTCAAGAGACTCGAATGAGACAAACGTGGAAAATTAATAAGGAGCGGTAACTAACTAATTAACGCCGTAGTCGTGCGTTGCATGAAAAAAAAAAAAAAAAAACGATATATCGCAAGAAGAGAACAGGAAATAAAATGTGCGAAAACCGAGTGACGCAAGTCAAGAGAGACCGCGGTTGTTCGTATGCGCGATGACTGGCACGCGTGGTTCGCGAACGCGCCGTAATGGCCGGAGCGAAATCGAAGGAAAAAAACCAGAGAGGGGGTGGGAGGGGTGGAGGTTATCCTCGCGCACACGGTCACAAAGTCGAGGAGCCAGAAGGTCGCGTGTCCTCCGAGCGACCCTCCTTGACAGCCTCGGGGAGGCGGCGGTATCACGGACTCCCTTTCACGTGACTTTGCGCGCCCCTCAGGACTACCCCGCCTCTCTTTCGCCCACCCCCAACCCTCTACCCCGCGAGTTCCGTCACGGATCCGATGGGCCACCTGTCCGTTTCCCAGGCTCAATAATGCAGCGCGCCCGACGTGGAGAGCATCGCGCTCAGTCGGCGGTGGTAAACCACCACCGCGACCCTGCGCCGCCGGCAGTTCCTGACGGACGCGGTGTGACCATTTCGCCGCGCCCTTAGACGAGACCAGAAATATACATAACTATTATCAACTCTCTCTCTCTCTCTCTCTCTCTCTCTCTCTCTCTCCCCCTTTTTTCTTTCCTCGCTTTTACAAAAGAGACTGACTTCTGAATAGTCAATCTTCTATTAGAGAAGAACTTTCGACGCGATCGTTCTCGTGCGCGCGCGGAAGATGTCACAATATTTTCATCATCCGATTTTTTTCGCAACAAGAGACCTCAGTAGATAGAGAAACGATGAATCGTATTTTCTGAATAACAAAACCTTATTTTTTTGCTATTTTGATTAAAATATAGTTTCCGTGTAAAAAGAACATTTTACTTGCTATAAAAATTTATATGTAACAATATTGTATTTTCCCCTTTCGTCTTGTTTTTATTCTTTCAAGCTCCTCTCCGCCCACATGATGTTAACTTGGCATATTGTAAGCTAGAGTATACCGGTGTGCAATTACACGGGGCGTATTATTTAACCCTGTTTGCACGAACGCGTGTCATGTCGCTTGCGCACGCACGTAACATATGTCGCCTTACCTACCTACGTCAAGAGTCGCGCGCAACGAGGGTCGGAGAGTCGGGGATAGTCAGATTTTCTTTTCTCTTTCAAAAACCGCACGCCAAAACTGATCAAAAAGAAAAGAAATTACACAAGAAATTGTTGAAAAAGAGAAAGAAACAAAATCGGAGCTGTGAAACATTCAAAAATGTTTTCCAAAAAGACGAGAGAGAAGCCGTTTGGTTGAGAATCTTTGTTTTTTTTTTTTTTTTTAAAAAGAAAGAAATTTGATTTACAAATAACATTTGAAGTTCAAAAGTTGTGTGACGAAACTGTCGCAAGTGTCAGCGGGGGTGTTACGTTCAATTTTTTTGAACTTGAAGCCCATCGATCATGCAAAGTTCGACAAGCGCGGAGCGGCTTTGCGCTCGCAAACCACTCGTCTAATGTCGATCCAATGACTTTTCGATAGTTTCCGATGACGCGACGCGGCAAGCAAAGTGTCGACGGCATGCGGCAGGACGTATGCAAATTTTTTTCCGCGTCACGTCACGTGCGTTCTTTCGCATAAAAAATGCTGATCGATCGCCGACCGTCGAATATATAGTGAAAATAGTTTTGCATAATTTTTCAGAGCGCAGCTGTGAAAGTTACGCAAAATGATTTCATTACGTCGCACCGAAACCTGATGATGAGATGACCCACAAATTTTCAAAGAATCATCGCTGTTAGTTTTTTATTAGTTTTTAAGATTCGAATGCTTTTTATTGGCTTCCTCATCAAAAATTTTTTAATATTCTTCCGTGTGAGGATAAAAAATTCTCGAGAAAAATCTCAAATTCGAGTTGTTCGCCGCTCCCTCTTTCTCTCGATATTAGTTTATAATGTGATTATCTCCGCGCTGTACACGCTTGTTATCCGAACGTATATAATCGGCACAAAATGAGTTTGTTGAGAAAAAAGACACGTGTGATGTCAGGAATCCTTCGTGTATCGTCGCACGTGTCGTGACGATGCTGACTAAGTCTCACCTGGATCTTCTTCGACCTTTTCTCTAGAAAATCCTTTTTCTTTTTTGTAACTCTCATGCCCTTTGATTTTTACTCATTTACCATAAAAAAAAAAAAGAATTGGTTGAGACCTAAACTGTTCGGATTATTTCAGACACACTGTTTCTTTTAACGACCACTAATTAAAATAAAAATTAATTTTTGCTCTCGATATTCCTTTCTATTTTTTATGAGAAATATATCGATTACTATTTTTAATCATTTTAAGACTCTTGTTTGCCAAATAAACAACAGGATATGTCAGGATGCACTTGAAAAAAAATACGCAAAATTTTTGCAAACTTTTTTTTTCCATTTAAACGATGTATTTTAAGGATGAATTCAACGATGATTTTTTAATTGTGTGTACTCGTGTGTTTTGACAATCAGGTACCGGAATTACCGGAACCGATTCGAGTTCCGGCAATTACCGAAGTTAATGACTGAGAGTTGTGCGCGCTTTTTCAAACCCGATCCTAATTTACGATTAGCCGCGACGATAGTTTCGGTTCCGTGCCGTGCGCACGTGCGCGCTTCGCACGGCAGTGATTGCGTGACACGCTTGACTACATTGCGTATATGAGACACTCGCTCACGCGCCGTATGTGCATTCGTGATTGATGGCGAGAACTTTTGGAGAGACATTTTCAGAATTTGTTTTTCCGACAAACATTTTTACACACTCTATTGCGATCCATTATGGCGCTTCTGCGCGCAAATAATTTGCACTTTGCATTGTTCTAAGTATTCATTTGTTTTAGAGAACTATATGAGAAATAGAAACTCTAATGAAAACCAAACGCGCCATTTGGTTCCCGCATTTAATTTCATCCAATTGGAGGGAGAGAATCAATTCTTTTCTCAGTAACATATGAAATATTTTACTCCGCAATTGCGCAACGAACGGCGCTGGTGAAACGTGCGAAGAGAGCGTCGATGCGCGTGTGTGCATTTGCGTGGTATCAAACTTCACGCATGGCCAAGTTTCGAGTCTCAACAATAAAGAGTCGGACGCTCTAATTCGCGACAACGGGTGTGGAACAGAAGAAGGTGCGAAAATGAAGCGTTGCGTGGGATTACGTAATGTTGCGTATTTTAGAGATACCGGAGATACCCCCGCACGGGTGTTTCTCCCCCCGCCTTTCGTTTAATTCTCTCCTTTCCGATCTCTTGTGTTAACGTTTGCCTTTTCCTGACATATGCGCCGGACTCGGACGTAATGACGGGTGTCGGCATGATAATTACACGCGCGCGACCGCCGGAAAACCGAGTTTACAGGTGTGTGTACTCATGGGGGGGATGACCAGCGGTAAAGCGGCGTGACTGCGACACGTGTCACCCGTTAATCGTCATCGTCGTCGAAGAGGCGACGTTGATTCCGTCCCAGAAGCTCGATGATGACATGTTGTGAACCGTAGCAATACTCGCGATCATCCCGGTCCGCGATCACACTTCTCGCATTTTATATATTTATTTGTTTTAATCAAAATGAACGCAGAGCAAACCAAGTTTTAATCTTCATAAATTAAGAAACATTTTACAGATTGAAGCGAGACGTTTCGAGCTCTTAGTTTCAGTACTTTTGCAATATGATATTTTAATTTGTTCTCTTCTTGGTATTTTTTTCTAATTAAATTTTTGTAAATTAGTTTTTGGGCGAGACTTTTGAACAGCTTTAGGCTGTGGCCATTGAGTGATATGCAATTGTTTTTTATTTTAGACTCATCTGTATTTTTATATTTTTTCTCATTGTCGTTAAATTATTCAGCAATGTTTATTATTATTATTATTATTATAAACTCACACAGATATGATATGCTAGAACACTTAAGCACTTACAATGCTTGAGGACAAGAGAGTTTAAGACTTATCGCGAAATATTTACTTTCAACATTCAACACATCAAGCATCTAAAAACTACTTCATCGTTAAAAAAAAAAAGAGAAAATAAAATAAAATCTCATTGCGTGTCACTGTAGATGTAAATGTCATCGTTTATTAAGAAAATTGTACTTACTTGTATTAGACTCTAAGTTCGGCGAGAATTCTTCTCCTTCGTGTTGTTCACCACAAATTTAAATTTAAAATTTATTTAATTTCAAATGAATATGTTTTAGCGCAATCTTTGTAGACGTTTTTAAACAATTAATCTCTAACTCGTTCGTCAAGTTCCATTAATTTTTCCTAGACTCAAAGAAAACTATTCGCGATAATTCGCAAATACAATTGCGTTGTGCTTCATCAACGCGTCACATTTGTTAAATTTCTTGTTTTTTTTTTTTTTAATTCTCTTTGTCGATTTATCGTAATAGTTGGACAGTCAGTTGTTAGGAAACTAGAGAACGACTATATGAAACACTGTCGTAAAACACGATCTTTTTATCATTCAAGTCGGAGCGAATTTGCACTGCGAGGATACGATTGAACTCGCGTTGTGGCGAAGACGACACGAGAGAGATCCCCGGGATCAACGCCGTGCGTAACAACCTAACAACACGCGAGATAACAACCGCGCAACTCCGATCTTCGGTGTGAGGTTCTTTTTTTTTTTTTACTCGAGCGTTCTCACGATCGCTTCTTATCGCTCCAAGCGAAACGTCAACTCGCGCGCGGGACGATCTGTAATTTTTACTCGCCGCGCGTTTACGGGCGAACTTGTCTGTGATGCTCGCGGAGGAAGAGGGAGTCAGCCGGCAAGGATTGGATTATCGCTCTGGTTCGCGAGCTGGGCGGACGCGTTGTCCGTTGACGCGAGGAACACGTGCGCGAGACGTCGGCCATCGCCGACGATTGGTCGACGGGCGGGGCCGGATCTCGCGATCCTCACAGGGGTCGAATGAACGCGCAAACCCTTAGACCGGGGCTTTCCCCTCCACACCGCGTCTTGCTCCTGGCGGTGAAACGCGAGCAGGAGTACGAAAGTCAACTCGCGCGCTATTCTTCGCTGCCTCCCTCCGTCTAATCGTGAAAGAGAACCACCACGCCGCGGGGTCGAACGGCGCATTATCGAGCGAACCGCGAGGAAAGAAAAGTGAGAGAGAGAAAAGAAGAAAAAAGGTAAGAAAAACCTTTATTTTACCATAAAATCGTATTCTCTTTTGCACTTACGAATAAAGAAGCGTGTAATAGAAAAACGAAGGAAGAAAAATATGAGTGTTAACAATTAGAAAAAAATATAATAGGCAAACAACAACAAAGTTAAAATTAAATTAAAAAGAAAAAGCTTCAAACACTGATTTTTGCAAACTATTTTTCTTTTTAATTTAAACAATGCATTGCAATTAAGCGCATGAAAATAATATGAGGAAAGACCGCGTAGAAAAAATAGGATATATATATCTGCAGTTGAAACTCTTATCAAAAGAAAACAAAAAGAAAATAAATTTTCATACGAGGCAATCGACTTTGATAGATCGATTTCAGCAAGGATAACGAAGATCTCAGATCTCATTGGAATATAACATTTCTGTTATCGTGTGTTGGAAGTGACCAAGTGGCATCTGGTCGTTTCTCACGGCGCCGGTTGCGACGTTACACAAGACGAGCGTAATGGCGCATTAATTTGGTATTCTCTCTGAATATTTTATTTATTATTTCCCTCAGAAATCAATGATCGTCGTCATCTCGAGCGATGCGCGATCAGACAATCGTTTTATGTCTATTTATGCGCGATGTCTGTGAACGAACTCGCCCGGGGGTCTTTTCAAGAGCTTACACGCGGAAGCGTGACACGGCTATACATTTGTGAGAAGCTGAAATCCATATTTTAATGCGCGTCTCTATACTTAAAGAATGTCTTTATTATTTCAACACTTCGAAGAAGTCTCTCGCGAGACCGGAGATTTAGTTTAAATTTCAGACACTGTGCTTGGCAAAAACAATTCAGAGAGATAAAAATGTTTCAAAACTTGATTATTTTTAAAGTGAATAATTGAGAATCATCTCGGGCTCTGTAAAATCCATTTTAAAGTTAATAGAAAGTAAAGTCTATAAAGAGCCATCGCGGGATGTTGTGCGTGAAAATATGACTGTGCATATATATATATATACAACAGACGTACTCACATTTTTGATTATTTTACCGACGCGATTGCGCGTCTTTTGTTGTTCCACGGGACTGTTTGTCGATTCTCAAAATAATCTCAGCGACAACCACTTGGGTGAAAAATTCGAGATCGAGTTAGCGGCGACGGAATCGAGTGCGCGGAATCGGAGCTATCAAGTTCTCGCTCCCGTTAATTTCAACGTGTGGAGAAGGGCGGGTCTGCGTTTGATGCCAGCAGAAGAAGATCCTCCGCAGATCTTCGAGTGCCTCTCCTCGATGTGGTGGCGGGAGCAGAAAATCGCGCTGAAGTGGTAACGGTCGGGCTAATGGCTCGGAGACGATATTTTGTTAAACAAGGAAACCTTTTACCTCCACCCCTGTCTCCTCTTCGAGATATCGCCGCGGGAAGACGCTTGACGCCAGGGACGCTGTGTGTCTTCTTCGACAGGACTACTACCGTCGTGCGGTAAATAAAATCTACCAAATCTTCAATACGTGTATAAGTACCGTGTTAAAAAAAAAAAAAAAACTATTTTATTTGCAACACATATAAACGCCTTCTAAACAGGTTCAATTGTAATTTTCATATATTGTGTGAATTTTATTACCTTTCTATCTCGGAAACATCGCAATAAAAAAAAGATTTTCGAACCTTTTTAATTTAAATTTAATAGATTTGTTAATTTTATAATTCGGGAAAAAAGTTCTGCGCGCGGACAAATTTTATATTAATTTACATATGATTAAATATTACACAATTATATATGATTGTAAATAACTAGATGTGGAATTTTTGTTTGCGTATAAAAAATTGTTTTCCCGGCAATTTTTAAAATACACGCGTTTTAACTTTACGAATAAAATACTTTGTCGTATCAAAAATGTCGTAATACTTGTGTATATATTTCATTATTATACGTACACATTTATTAAGACATTGTTGTTTGAAACAAATTGCGTTTCTGTAAAAATTTTCAAGTGACACGGTGTCGGGTCGTTTTAGCGTTTTGATTCTATGGGAACGCTAAAAGCGGCCCTGCACCGTCACTCGAGTTGTCTTGTCACCAGAAAAAGAACGAACGAGCCTGAAGTGTGAACCGCCGACCGCCATGACAAGGTTGTCACCTGCGGTTTCTCACGGTTGCTCGCCCACGCATATATCTCTCCATTCTTGCGAATTCCTTCGATCCGCCCCTATCTCTCACTCGAATCTTTTCACACTTTTGCTCCCTCGTCGGAAGTCGATAAGTGTGATATCGGCTAGCAGCACTCGACGGAGTGTCCGCAGTGGTTTTTCTTGCAGACGAGAGAGAGAGAGAAAAAGTTTCAACTCTCTAATATTTGATTTAACGCTTGTAATATACTTAAAAAAAAAATTTATTATTAAAAGTTGTTAAAACTTTTCACTTTCTGCTTTTTCAGTTTTGTATAGTTTTTTAGTAAGACAAGTTCTTTTTACTCGCATATAAAAATAAATAAATTTAAGATAAAAATAAAACGAAAACACGTTGAAAAGTTTAGCAAATATTTTATACATTATTGGCGTTACAGGATTGCTAATTGGAGATTCTGATTATGAATATTTTTGATACTAATCGGACTCCAATTTTTATTTTTATCTTGTTTTTAACAAAATAAAACATCATATTTTTTTAAGTAAGATGACCAGATTATTACGTTTATTTTAATTATGCCTAAAAATTCAAAAGTAAAAAAAAAGTGGTTCCGGCCGGGATCGAACTGGCGACCTTCTGCGTGTAAAGCAGACGTGATAACCGCTACACCACGGAACCGCGGTTGTAACGCTTTCTCTAAAAGACATGAAATTATTACGTGCGCGTTGACATATTAATTAGAGCTTAATTAAAATAATTTTAAAAAATAGTAACACAACGCCATAAAAAAGTACAATATATATGTTCAATTTAAATAAAGATACAACTTTTAATAATAATATATAAATCTTTCGCATTTTGTTTAAAAATATATTGAAATTGTTTGACGCTAACAAAAATATATAATTTAATGCTTCCGGTATTGAAAAATCGTGCTTTTGTACTTTTTGTATAATAATAGGATAAAAATAAGCAAACTGTAGAATTACTTAACGTATTCACTTCATTCTTTCACTTGAAACAAACCGGACCGACCGCGAAACCGAAGGATTGCTGCGGCGATCCGTAATCGAGCGGATAAAAGTCGACCAGGGGCAACTGCTGTGGGTTCTTGGTGCGAATTAAGAACACGGTCTTTGCTTTGCCATTTCGCTTCTTGCAATCGTCCACAAGAATCTGCGGTCTGTTGTTGCCGCTGTACGAAAACTCGTCTTCGTTATCACCGAGCAATCGTAGCGAGAGATCGTGACCGCGAGTCGGATCGTCGTTGTTATACCAGGCGACACTATTGACGCACGTGTATGTAAAGTTCTGATAGGCTTCTTGACTGAGCAGTCGCAAAAAATTCATCTGTACCACTCCGATCGTTTCGTAAGTTATCTGAAAAGCGACGATCAGATCATCAATGAGACAGTGGAAATAAACTGTTTTACTTTATTTGAATTATGTTAAGAATTTTTTATGTACACCAAGCTTTGCGATAATCTTTTAGTTGTTAAAAAAAGGAATATAATTAGAATTTAATAGTTAATTGCGTTAATATCTTACTCTGAATCCTCCGCGTAAACGTGAGTACCAATCGCTCTTATCATTATCCTTTTTCCACGGTACGTTCGGCATCTTACTATTGTGACTATCGGGGAAGACGCACGTTTCGCCTTTGTTCGTGATGTTACAGTATACATAGATAGCGTCGTCAGGCATGCCTAAATTTGGGTCAATCCAGTACCAGTCTGTTTGGCAAAAAAAATAAAACAATAAGTTTTTATAAATGTATATTATTTGTATGTGAAATTATAAACGTTACAGAGATGAAAGAGATAAGATATCTTACCATCTTTAAAGTCAGGATGACCGTAAAACAAATCTTTGCACGTTCTTGCTGGATTGTCTCTTGTACCAGTAGGTCTTAACTGTCGATTCAATTGTTGCTGCATAGTAAAAATGGACTTGTACATGTCTATGTACTTCATGTCCTTATCCTCATTATTCCTAAATGAATTAATAATATTTTATAAAAATCTGATCTTATAGAAGTGCGAATCTAATATGTAAACAAAGTAATAATATTAATTTTTTCACAGAGTCTTTGTAGATTTCTGATACAAATCGAACTTAAAGACGCTTACGTATTTCCTGAGCGTCTTTTTCTTATCGACTCATCTTCTTGAAACGGAAATGGTATTCCTCTAAAATCAAGCTGATCTATCGTTAGACCAGGCACTCCTGGTGGACCCGGCGGACCTGCTGGACCAGTGTCACCCTTTTTTCCATCATTCCCAGTGTTTCCTTTAGGCCCAGGCGGTCCTGGTGGTCCAGACGCACCAGCAGGTCCATCTTCTCCTTTGAATCCGATTAAACCCGGAGGTCCAGGATTACCTTTAGGTCCTTCTACTCCAGGAAGACCGTGTTCACCTTTCTGTCCTTTTTCTCCTTGATCACCCTTGATCCCGGGATGTCCTAATTCACCTCGATGTCCTTTAGCGCCTCTGCGACCCTTGTCGCCTTTCGGACCTTTCGGACCGATCGGTCCGATTGATCCAGGGGCACCATCAGCGCCCGGTTTGCCCGGAGAGCCACTTTCTCCGGCCATCCCCGGTAAACCTTTTTCTCCTGGTAACCCGGTAATACCAAGCGGACCCGGAGAACCTCTGGGTCCTTGAAGTCCCGGAGGTCCAGGTAAACCCAGATCTCCCTTATCTCCTGGCAAGCCTGTATTACCTTGTTGACCCGCTGGGCCTTCCGGACCCTAAAAATAAAAAGTTTCTAAATAAATAACTGTAAACGGATAATATAATTTTTTTTTAATGCGCGGTAAATTAAATTTCTCATACCGGTTTTCCAGGTAGGCCAGGCAATCCTTCTTTGCCAGGTGGTCCAACTTCACCTGATATTCCTGGATCACCTGCTCGTCCATCTTCGCCATCTTTTCCTGGTTCACCTTTTGCGCCCATCAAACCGGGTTCTCCTGGTGGACCAGGGAAGCCAGGCAGTCCAATATCACCTTTTGGACCTTCGGGACCAAGTAATCCTCGTGGTCCCGACGGTCCACCAGGTCCTTCTTTGCCTTCTTCTCCTTTCGCTCCCGGAAGGCCTCTTTCTCCCTTCAACATAAAATGTATTATAATTGTGCAATATAATAGTATATTTTTAATACAATCTATTTATTATAAAGTGTAAATCCTACCTGTTTCCCCTCCATTCCTGGTTTTCCAACTGGTCCTGGTATTCCGCTGTCACCTTTCTCACCTTGACGGCCCTCTGGGCCTGGTGGACCTTCTGCACCTTTAACACCTCTCGGTCCTCTTTGACCTCGTTCTCCTGGAATACCTGATGGCCCTACGGGCCCAATTATTCCAGGATCTCCAACTTCGCCTTTTTCACCTGATAAGCCTGGCAAACCGGTTAATCCAATAGGTCCAGCTGGTCCAGTTGCTCCGACAGGACCGTCTTCACCTTTTGGTCCTCGTGGTCCAATCTCGCCTTGTGATCCTTTCTCTCCAGGAGGACCAGTTAAACCAGGTTCGCCACGTGGTCCTTGTATTCCTTGTGGGCCCGAAGGACCCTGTATAACAGTTATAAGATTTGAAAAATTTGTATCAAAATGTTGTATATACGTCTAGATAAAAAAATAGATTACGTGATAATTGAATTAATTTATTTATTTATCGTATGTACTATTTCTCCATGAGATCCTTTGAATCCTTTCTCGCCTGGTGGACCAATGTTCCCTTTATCGCCATCCTCTCCTGGAATTCCAATTGGTCCTGGTGGACCGGGTAAGCCCCGTTGTCCAGGTAGACCGTCGCGACCTGTGGGCCCAGGTAATCCAAGCTCACCCTATTTAAATTTTTTGCAAATAAAAATGTTGTATCTTTTTAATATTATTTTAAAATATATCAAATATTTTAAAAATACGTATATAATCTTTTCGCCAAGAACAATATCAAAATTGCAACTAGTTTTTCTTTACTTTGTCTCCTTTAAGTCCAATTGATCCTTTCTTTCCTTTGAATCCTTGCTTTCCTTCTGATCCTGGTGGCCCATCTTTTCCAGGTTCACCTTGAGAACCTTTATCGCCAGAAGGTCCTTGAATTCCAGGAGGTCCCATCTCTCCTTTCAATCCAGGCAGTCCCTAAAATGTAAAATAAATATGTGTATTATTGATAAAAATTACATACAGTACTAGCGTGCCTATAACTTATAAGTTTTCTAAATGCAACTAACTGGTAAACCATTTAATCCTCTTTCGCCTGGAAATCCTGGCAATCCGTTAGGACCGGGCAGTCCTTTAGGTCCCATCAAACCAGGTGGACCTTGTGGACCATCTTTTCCTTGTTCACCTGAAGGTCCAACTTCTCCAGGAAGCCCTGGACTTCCAGGTGCTCCAGGTTCACCTGATGGACCAGGTTCTCCAACTGGTCCTTGAGGACCGATAACACCAGGTATCCCTGAAGGTCCCGGAGGTCCGGATTCTCCAATTGAACCGCGTTCACCAGGCGGTCCCGGTATTCCGTCTTTACCGTCAAGACCCGGTAGACCCGGTGGCCCTTTAAATCCTCGAGGACCTTCAAGACCAGACGGACCGACTTCGCCCACTGGCCCAGGAGGTCCTGGTTGACCAGTATCACCTTTTGGTCCAGGTAATCCTTCCGCACCTCTTCTACCACGAGTACCTCTAAATCCCTATTTAATATGTAAATTAATTAAAATTTTTGATTTATTAACTGATAAATGTAAACTGAATATGTAGTAATAGCACATGTAATTTAAAAAGTTTTAAACATAAAGTTATTACCCTTGGACCTGTTCCGCCACGTTCTCCTTGCAATCCGATGTTTCCCTTAATAAACAAAAATAAAAACAATAAATAAAAATTTCATAAATTGATGAATATTTTTAGTATCAGGAACGCCAAAGTTGATTAATAAATTACTCTGTCTCCTTTTTCGCCACTAAGACCTTGTACACCTATTTGTCCTTTGTCTCCTTTTTCTCCAGGATTTCCGGGAAATCCAGCATATCCAGGCACTCCTATTTTTCCTTTTTCTCCTAGTGGACCAGAAGAACCTGTTTCACCACGAGGACCGTCATTGCCTTTTGGTCCTTCCAATCCTTCAAGACCTGGAATTCCTTGTGGTCCCGAAGCTCCAGGATCTCCTTTCATTCCAGCTTCACCTTTTTCACCCTCCAATCCTTTTTCGCCTTTTTCGCCACGTTCTCCTTGTGGTCCACGCTGTCCTTCGTCACCTTTTGTACCTCGCACACCTGGAAAGCCTATTGGTCCTTGTGGGCCCGACGGTCCTTGCTCACCCTTCATCCCAGGAATGCCAGCATTACCCGGGAGACCAGGAGAACCATCAGCACCCGCAAGACCAGGAATTCCGGATTTTCCTTGTGGGCCCTTTTAATAAAATATATTATATAAGTGATATATCAATTTAAAAGCATTTGCAAATTACAAAAAAATAACGTAATTTTCCAAATAATTTATTTTCTGAATATGTTACAAATTAGATTTATAAATGATAAAACAAAACTTCTAATTATAAAACAGAAAATCAGCAAATTATTTAATATAAAAAACTTACTACTAAACCGATTGGCCCTGGAAGACCTTGAGGCCCAGGTGATCCTACTGGACCTGAAGGACCTGGTTGTCCCGGTGGACCAGATGGACCAAGTGGTCCAGCGTTGCCTTTAGCACCGGGTGGACCTTCATTTCCAGGAATACCAGGATTGCCCGGCAATCCGGGAAATCCTCTTGGTCCAATGAATCCTCTCGGACCCTATAAAAATTGTTTTTCTGTCTGCAAGATTTATCTTAGATTTCTTACTTTTAAAACTTGTTTATAAAAAATATTTTACCATTTCACCAGGCAGGCCTGGTAAACCAGGAGGACCATCTTCACCCTGCATTCCATCATGACCCTGCAATCCCGGCTCTCCAGGTGTACCCGTAAGTCCTCGCTCACCTTTATCGCCAGGAAGACCTGGCAATCCCACCGGTCCTTGCTCGCCCTTCATTCCTGGCGGTCCATTGGGACCACGTTCGCCATCTCTACCGGAACGACCTCTTCTGCCTTCTCTCCCAGGACTGCCAGGACTTCCTATAAAGAATCCTTTGTTTAATTTCAAAAATTAAAATATGAATTTATCTTAACGCATTTTTCAGCGATTTTAGAGCGTCAATTTTTCACGACTCAAACGTGTGTGCCGTTTTACCTATTTCCCCTCTGGGTCCAGGTTCACCGATATCACCAGGTTCTCCTTTCTGACCTTGAAGTCCCGGTAGTCCCTCCGGCCCGGAAACGCCCGTAAGACCCATCGGACCCTCTATACCTCTCATCGAGAGCGCATACTGCGACTGTATGTGCCTTAGTATTTCCGTCAGCGAGTCCGGTCCCTTTTCGTTTCCATCTCTTAACGAGGGTATCACAAAAACGTTGCCTGGTGGGCCGGGTATACCTTGCAACCCGGCCAATCCGTCTCTACCGGATTCGCCTTTTTTACCCGGAGGTCCGGGTACTCCCGGTGGTCCGGGGAATCCACGAGGTCCTGGCGGACCTCGGGTGTAATGTTGGTTTTGCGTTGTAGAAGTACGCACGCGTTCTTCGTCGTAAGACTCAGTCGTTGATTCCGTGTTGTGTGCGTTTGTTGTCGTTTCCATTTCGTTAGGTATCTAAAGCATTGAACGTGTATCTAACTTTGAAAAAGTGATTACAACGTATTTTCTTTCAATAGTTTTTGTCAGAAGCGTTTAATATAACAATAAACTACTTATATACTACGTTGACTTTTACTTATTCTTACAAGAGTTTCCATAGTAGAACCGTGAGACGGGAGAAACTCTTCGCTATCGTTTTCGTCGAAATCCGTTTCATTCTCTTCCTCGTAATCGTCACTGTTCGCGCTTGAGGAAGAATTGTAATTCAGACTATAATCTGATCGACGTTCGCAGTCGGGCGCGTGTATCGTGCAGATTTCGTAAGCAGCGTCCGGATTAGGAGCAATCTTTAACGTCTCGAGACCTTCCTAAACAGTTACAATATATTATTTAAATTCTATTTAAAAAAAAATCTTTTATATAAAGAAAATATTAGAAATATTTATAAATTTGCTTACGAAATTGAAGAGACTACTATGGTGTCCTGTCACAAGGAAGCCGGTGATTTTGTCCTCCCCGCGTCTTCGCAGTTCTTTCGTGAAAAATCTGTCGCAATCAGCGACAATCGTAACGGAGTTGCCCTTGATGCTGACGCCCAATCGATGCCATTCTCCGTCGGAGACGTCGACGTCGAAGGAGATCGGCTCATCCTTACCGCGAATTGAATTCGTGCTGCTATAAAGCAGAGTAATTTCGCGTCCTAGCGAAAGGGTCAGCTGCTGCTTGCCGTTGACATTGTAAATAGTGAAAAGCATCGATACGGCGGTACCTAGTCGAACAGGTGTAAATGAAATTAAAAATCAATCACGTGTTGCAAAAGACGTTTGACAATTTCTTCAACCGTGTCGACTCACCGGCCTTTAGCTTGGCAACAACCAGGATGGAGAAATCTCTTGGAATACCGGTCGGAAATATTTTATTGACAGGAACCATCAAAACTGCGGCATTTTCAATTCTGTAGGCAGTCTTGTCATCCCCGCAACGACTCTGCGTCGGTGTAACTCCCGAAATTTTCGCCCTCGTAATCGTCGCCTCAATCAAATCTACCGCGTTGTTCGCTAGAATAAAATTACAAGTTAAATTTGCAACAAAAATCGCAGGTTTTCTTTCGATATTGCGCGATCAACTAGCGCGTAGATGTAAAAATAGAAACGAATAAACACGATCAGCGCAACGAACGACTAGAAACCCAGTAACCCATGAACCTGCCAGTCATAACTTAAATCGTTTTAAGTCGGGTGTCCGGACTCAATTCAAGTAGACATTGTCGGACTGTGCTTGTCGCGACATGCAACTTTGCATGCGAGACACACACGCGCGTCTTAATTAGCGCAATAGAGATGAGTTAGAAACACATCAATAACCCCTCGTGTCATTCAAGAGAAATTGAGGCTTTCTATCTCCGAAGTATTTGAAAAACACAAAATTAAGCAACAACTTTCTTCCTTATATAAATTTTCTAAAAAATTATATTTTATATCTTCTCGTATAATAAATATAAAAGAATGTAATTACATCAAACGTAAGAATGAGAAAATTAAATTGCAATTTTTAAAAACACCGCGTAAAAATAGGTACAAAATTACACACTTTCTCGATTCGCGAAACGAAGACATTACTGATGCGTTTAAAATTATTTACTTTGTTTCGCCGCTTGTGTCGAAACAGCAGGACGCACGGGGTGTACGTTAAAGACAGAGACGGTTAATATATTTACAAATAATTTAAGAAGATAGATAAGAACAGCGCAAGTAAGATACGCGTGTGTAGGACGGACAAGGAGAAAAAACAAAAACAGATTTCGAACATCTGTAGAAACGTAACGAAGAATATTTGAATAATTCTTTCGAGATAAAATTGGAAAAAAAATTTATTCTCAGTAACTCTGTAATTTCACTTGCCTGTGTCTTGTGGCACAACATCCGCTGTCGCGAGCCGAAAAAAACCAAGCGCGATCAGCATCAGAGGTAACGAAACGCGAATGAGAAAAGTGACCCACGAGGATCGTGGAGTCCTCCATCGTCCTGGCGCACGGCTCCGCATGTTCCTGCTGTCAGAACATACTTTCTTCAATATCCGAAGTACTTTGCACACACACACACACACACATACACAGGACGTACTGACGTGTTCGAAGCAAATTTCTGTGTGTTACAGCGTTCTCTTCGCTGACGTAAAGACACTTTGCGATTATCAGTCCGTTTCTCTTTCCCACCCTGGTCTTACTCACTCTCTTCTACTCTTCTTCTGGTTTTTTTTCTATTTTTCTTCTTTTGCAGCATCCCAACATCCTGACGATTTATTTTAAGGAAATTGATAATTGTTTTTTTTTATTAATTACAAACTGGGTGAAGTATTTTTTTCTTCTGTTTGTTTCCTTTTTTGCAAGACTCTCCCTTATTCTGACCGTTCCTCTTTCAGCCTACTTTCCTCCTTCTGTGATGCAAGTGCGGCACGCGTATGCGTGCAACTGTTTCGCTTGGATGACGTACGCGCATTCCGCACATGTGCTTTTTAATGACAGTTCCCTTCTATTGACACTGATTCGCGTAATACGTGTCGAATAAGTTCGCAAGGTGCAGTCGTCGCATTAACCCCTTCTTTCTTAGTAACCGCCACTGACCGTGTCGCTGACTATAGTTAAAAAAAAAAAGTGAATTACAAGAAATCCACAAAATTGTTTTACCAAGACTTTCAACTTTGCAAAAAGATGTTTTATTTTTTTATCTTTTAATTTCTTTTTAAATATATGTATTAAATAAATGCAATATTTAAACATTTGTAACATTCATAAATATAATATTACTTTGAAGATTTGCAAATTTAACTTTTGTCCACGTTTCACATTTGAATTGTTATAGTTGTGTGTGCAGAATTCCTTTTTCTGCAGCCGTTGTACGTAATCTGCACGTGTTCCAAGAGACACGAGAGAGGAAGACATGTGAAGTCACTGACCGCACTAGCATTAGTTATTGTGAACTTTGACATCTCATATCCTCATTGATTGTAATGCCTGCGATTACAATCTCGATACCTCTTTCTCTTTCCTGTGCGCGTCAATAATTTTGTTGATTCCAACAAGACGCATCATTTTGACGTTACCAACAAATTTCTTGTAAAAATTCGACTTAATAATAATTGAAATTATTTTTTTATCATTTTTTTTTTAACGTGGAACGTTGCAGAGCGGATTACTGTTACGCGTTTGCTCTGCAGACTCGGAAAAAATTGGATTAGATCTAATTTAAATCTAACAATATAAAAAAAAAAATGAAAAAAATAGATCTAATTAATTCAATTAAATTTAACTAAATACACACACACACACACAAAGTAGGTCTAAATAGATATAAGAGATATATGAATATATAGATTTATGTAAATTTACACTTTTATTTATTCTTAAGATCTACTTTATATCTTACTCAGATCCGCTACTACATCTAAGATCACTTCAGATCTGTTCAGATCTGCTTAGATTTAAGTAGATCTCATATAGAGTAGATTTGAGTAAATCTAAAAGAGGAGATCTAATAACAAATAAAAGTGTAAATTTACATAGATCTACTTTATGTCTATTTAGATTTAATTTGAATTTAATTAGATCTATTTTTCTATTTTTTTTTTTATCTCGTACGATGTAAATTAGATCTCATCTATCTGTTTCCGGGAAACATTCTGCAAAACTATTATATACTGCGTTATTCGTAAATGTAAAATGTGTTTAATTTTATTAAAACAGAGTTTGTACACAAATACTAAGTAGAAAATTTATTTTGAGCCAAAAATCGATATGCTAGTTGGTTGTTAGATGTGTAAAGTGGGTGTGGGATTTTTCTCTGTTGGATATAAATTTGTATTTTACACCATACACATTTTAATAGAATCATGTTTACGTTTGAACACAATAATGTACATATCGACAAGTGATTCTTGGATATGGGTACGTAGTTGCCAATGTGTACCACCCATGGACGTTGCGCTGGCTTACAGAGCGGAAAAGCGATTACATATTCTTTTATAGGCCTGGACGCGCTCTCAGTTTTCTCTCCAATAAAAACGTGAGGACTTCATAGACTTTCTGGAAACTTTTAACATTCTTTTTTTACATTTCTCTAGATCTCGTGTCTTCCTATTGGACGTCGAAATCGCGCACGTACTTGCCCTTATTACGCATGCGCGCAGAGACGCACGTGGTCTCGCGGAATGTTGTTGTTGTCCGTCAACCGTAACGCTTTCACGTTGTTGAAAAGGGTTGGATAAAATAGTATATAAAGGGTGAAAAAAGCACAAAAAATTAACAATGACAAACACGAAGAAAGTGAAGGCGTACGTGAAGAAAAAACGTACGCCAGAGAGTAAGATAATCGAGCAACTGCGGTCAAAGTACAACACGGTAATTATTGCTTATAACCTCAAAAATACAATGAAATATGGAATTAATGTAATCAGAAAGCCTGTGAACACAAGACCGGAGAGACGCGTTATATAAATAAGTTTTCTTTTTTCTCATCCGATAACTACTTGTGTAATATGTAATTGCAGATAGATGTCACGAAAACAATAAAGTTCAGTGACCTGCCCTTGTCGAGAAACACTCTCAAGGGCCTAACAGAAAACAACTACATCGAGATAACGGATATTCAGAGACAGAGCATCGGCTTGGCTCTGCAAGGCAACGATATTTTGGGAGCCGCGAAAACCGGGAGTGGCAAAACGCTAGCTTTTCTAATTCCGGTGTGTTGCATTACAACGATCTCTCTTTCTCTTTCGTATTGTTTATCACACACGTATTTCTGTGATTAATTTTTATAAATTATTGGGTCTTCTCTTAGGTCTTAGAAATTTTGTATTGCAAGCAATGGACGAGGTTGGACAATCTTGGTGCGATAATTATCACACCAACCAGAGAATTGGCGTATCAGATATACGAGACGTTGCGAAAAGTAGGTCGGTATCACGAAATCTCGGCGGGTCTGATCATAGGAGGAAAGGACTTGAAGTTCGAAAGAAAGCGCATGGATCAGTGTAACGTGGTCATATGCACGCCGGGACGTTTGCTTCAACATATGGACGAAAACCCTCTGTTTAATTGTGTAAATATGCAGGTAATTTGATCATTTCTTTTGTATATTAACTATATATTGAATATTTTTAATTACAAAGGATATGTCAAGTGTTATTTCTTTTTTTTTTTTTCTAGATACTAGTATTAGACGAAGCGGATCGTTGCTTGGATATGGGATTTGAGAAGACCATGAATTCAATTATTGAGAATTTGCCGCCTGAGAGACAGACGTTGCTGTTTTCAGCGACCCAGACAAAGTACGTGTCGAAAGACATCGCTGTGTAAAATTGCAATTTTCTATCAACATTTATTAAATACGTGTGTAATTCTTGTCCAGATCGGTGAAGGACTTGGCCAGATTGAGTCTCAAAGACCCGTTGTACGTATCCGTTCACGAGCACTCGACCCACACAACGCCAGAAGGTCTGCAGCAGAGTTACATCGTGTGCGACTTGGAAAACAAAATGGCGATGCTCTGGTCCTTCATACGCAATCATTTGAAGCAAAAGATTATTGTGTTCTTCTCTAGCTGTAAACAGGTAACATATCATTTGTTTGAATCTAGTTGTTCCACAGATCACAGAGTGCAAGCGAAAAAATCAATTCCAGGTAAAATACACGTTCGAAGCGTTTTGCCGACTGCGCCCCGGTATCAGCTTATTGGCTCTTTACGGCACGCTTCATCAGATGAGAAGGATGAACATCTACGAGTCATTCTGTAACAAGCAACATGCCGTTCTGTTTGCCACCGATATTGCTGCTCGTGGATTAGGTAATTAAATTCCTTAGTAGTTGAAACTCTGATGTTTTTATGTTAAAAACCATATAAATCTGATGTGTTTTGTCATAGATTTTCCCGCTGTAAATTGGGTGGTCCAAATGGATTGTCCCGAGGACGTCAATGCGTACATACACAGAGCAGGCAGAACCGCCAGATTTAAAAGCGGTGGCGAGTCTCTTCTGGTCTTGTTACAGTCCGAAGAAACGCTGATTGAACAACTCAAACAACGTAAAATTCCGATAAACATGATAAAGTACGTATCCCATACGTGTATACGTTGTTCTTTATAATGTGTATTTGCCGCTCATCACTTATCAAACTGTATTTGTAGGATCAATCCAACCAAACTGCAATCACCGCAACGTAAACTCGAAGCGTTACTCGCTCGAGACGTTACCTTGAAAGAATCGGCTCAGCGAGCCTTCGTGGCATATGTCAAATCGGTCTTTTTGATGAAAGATAAACAAATCTTCAACGTACACGCATTGAACACGGACGCGTACGCCAAGTAAGTAGTCAGGAAAGTCATGAATAGTTTTGCTTATATTTGAATTGGTTTCTTTTAATGTAAAAATCTCACAGATCGTTAGGTTTAGCCATTCCCCCGAGAATACGATTCTTGCAAAGAATGCAGAAGAAAATGTCAGCCGATGGTAAGACTAAAGAGATGAGTGAAAATTCGAAGGATGCGTCAGATGACAGCGAAGACGAGGAAGACAGCGGGAACATTTCTGACGCGAGCAATATCTCCGATCGTAAGAGTAACGAGCAGAAAAAACCGGTTAAAGATACTGCCGCGTTTCAGTTTGGTAAGAAGATTACTCTTACTTTTTTTTTTTCGTTGTCCTTGAAGAAACATAATCGAGTTTAATTATTTTCATCCGATTGTTAATAGACGACAGCGACGATGAGGAGATATTGACCATAAAACGAAAAAATATAGATCTCGACGAGATACCGGTGATAGAAAACAACGATGACGATAAGAAAGCTTCGAAGAAGAAGCCTGTTACAAAAGCCGCAGTGGCCAAAAAGATTCTTAAGAAGAAGATTGTACCTAACAAGAGGATCGTGTTTGATGACGAAGGACAGGTATAAGAATTTATATAATCCATTAACACAAGTAACACACATATAAAATTAAATCAACACGTGATTAGATCGGAACAACAACAAAAACTCGAACTCGGTTAAATTAAATTTGTTAGCAAACAACAATCATTTTTTATTTCTTCAGAGGTTTTTCTCGTTTTTAATTTTTAATTTATTAACTCGCTTGTATAACATCACAAATTAGATATCTCTGACGAACAATTTATGTTGTAGGAAATAATCAATCCCACCAAAACAAAAATGTCCGAACTAGCTCGAGAATATGAGAACGAGTTAGAGTCTGGTATCGATATCGAAAAGGTCAAACAAATCATGCGTGAGGAAGACAAGTTTGATAAGCAAAGATTCAGGGATAAGGTCAAGGCGAAACATAAGGAAGAAAAGAGGAAACTGAAGGCCGCTAAGAAGGCGGAGACAAATGAAGAAAAGGAAGAGGCAGAAATGGAAGATGCAGATGACGATGAAATGAAAGATGAAGGTGATGTCAGTGATGATGAATCGAGCGAAGATCCGGACCTGTCATGGATGCCCGATCCGGATAAGATATACGGCAAGCAACATAATACAGAAAGAGAAGACAAAGAAGAAGAATCGTCGTTCAACGAGTCTGAAGAAACCGAAGAATCTGAAGAAGAAAGTAATATCCACAGGTAGGCTAAAGAAAATAAAGTCCGCGTAGCTTACATTTTTAAATCGCGAAAGTAAAATTGTTTTAATTCAAACAAAATTCGATTTTTGTAATTGCTAATCTTTCACAGACCATCCAAGAGGAAACTGATAACGCAGGAAGAGCACAAGCGAAAAAGAAAGAAGCAGAAAACACTGGACAACACCTTCGACTTGCAGACTGACGAGAAATTGGCCTTGCAATTGTTGCAGAGTTAAAATCCAAAACGTCTGTAGAAATGCAAATTTGTATTTTTTTTTTATTTATGAACGAGCAGCGTAAATTTTACGCAATATGTACATTTCACAACATAACAATTACCTTATAAGAATAAAGTGTAATGTTACATTGTTGTAAGAATTTCAATTGAACTAGTTGAAATTGTTAATACATACGGTACGTGTACGTAAACGGATATTTGTTTCGGTTTATAATAAATTTATGACTTTTGTAAAATATTTATGTCGGTATATAACACATCTCGCATTTCTAAATATTTATGTCGGGATAACATCTCGCATTTCTTACGAATTATATTCTCACTGCTTATCACTGAAATGTTCTATACACCGAAGTGTTCACTCCAATGTGGAGAAATTTGTTTTTTTTTTAACGTTCTTTCACTCTCTCGCGTTCAACAAAGTTTTCTACCATTGGAGCGAACATTCTCCTATTTTGTAACTCGTAACACTTTTTTTTTGTCGTGTAACCATTTCGAAATTGTTATAAGTTACAAAATAAAGATGCGGCATAGTTCATTTCGCTGCTTGATCTCTGAGAATTATATTTGGTGAAATTGCTCATACAGGAACTGCTCTCTACTAACAATAAAATCTGTAATATTTTTTTTGTACACTTGTATATATTTTATAAAATTTCGATTAAGATTGCTAGAATCTTACGAAGGAAATTTAGACTATGATTAAGAAAGTTAGATCAAAATATTCAAATATGTTTCCGTAATCAGTTTGGTTTGAAAAATTTTTCATTTTCAAATCCGCACACATTTCTCATCATCGCGCCTTATCGTTTTAATTGAAACGGTGTAGCGTAGCGTAGCGTTTTTTTTTTTTTTTTCATTATAATTACAATTATAATATCTTACTAGAAATCACACACAAGAGATTCTCGCGGTATCTCGCATATATTATTTATCTAAGATTCGTCGCTCTTTGAGAACCACAGCTACAAGCAACTTTGGCTAAAATAAAAATCTTCAGTCTTTTTTTTTTCAAGCGGTCGCGATTTTGATGTTTTTTAGGATGTTGTCTATCACATCTCTGCTCGTCGCGGTGCCACCGAGATCGGCAGTGTGCACACCCTGATTGAGGGTTTTGTTGATCGCGGTTTGAATGATGGCGGCGTGATGCTTGTGGCCGAGATGACGCAGCATATCCACCGCCGCGTTCAGCATCGCAATAGGATTCGCGATGTTCTTGCCGGCGATGGAGGTGCCGGTGTTGCGAGTACCAGGCTCAAAGATCGTGTAATGATCGCCGTAGTTCTTGCCGGCTAGAAGACCGGCGCCACCCAGCAGTCCGCACACCACGTTCGACACAATGGCGCCGTATAGATTGGTGGTCAGCACAATGTCAAACTGATGCGGATTCGACACAAGTTGCATGCAGGTGTTGTCGATAATCATGTCGTTGTGAACAATGTCCGGATAATCCTTTGCGACTTGCCGCGAGGTTTCCAGAAACAGTCCATCGGACAGTTTCATAATGTTCGCCTTGTGAACCGTCGTGACCTTCTTTCGACCGTTTCTCTTCGCGTATTCAAACGCGAAGCGAGCCACGCGTTCCGAGTTGGAACTGGTAATGACCTTCATGCTCTCAATAACACCATTGACGCTCTCGTGTTCCAACATAGAATACTCGCCTTCGGTGTTCTGTCTCACGATTACAATGTCAATGTTCTTCTGACGGCAGGTCACTCCTGGATAAGACACACAGTGCAGAACATTCACATACAGATCCAGTTCGTTTCTCAGAGCGACGTTTCGTGACATAACACCCGCCTCTGTGCTGCGAGTTTCTATGTTTCCTTTCAACGCCACTCCGTTTCTACGTATTGATGTGATCGCGTAATCCAAGTCAATGTTGTCATCCGCATTAGGATCAATTTCCACATCCTCAAAGTCTACCGGCACTCCAGCAAACTTGAACACCTGCAGCAATTAACTTAATAATAATATTGTGTTATTGTGAAATACACACACACACACATACGTGATATATTTCCTGTTCGTGACTTTATATTAGAAAATCTACACAACAGGACAATATTCACAAACCTCCTTAACATAACCCATCAACTCTGGCCCGATACCAGCACCGGGTAGAAGAGTGACTGTGTGTCTTCCACCGTAATGGGCCTTTGGTATGGGCATCACCTTCTTAATGGTGGGAGTTTTGTGCTGGATGTCGAAACTTGACTGAGAAGCGCAACGATGACTCTGGAGCACAACGGACTTCGGTTTCAAATACTTCAAGATCGAGCGCGCAGCCATCTCTCTCGACTTGTTATTGTGCTGTAAACACGCATCGTCACAAGATCATCAAGTTTAAACAACGTTAAATCTCACTAGCTGAGATTTAAAAAAAACGCGACAAACGTTATTCAATACGTACTTTTACTTCGGCGACGGTGCTATTTTGATTACGTCCTCGAAGCGCCCGAAGACCTTGCCAACGGCCAACCAGTACCGTATCCAACAAGTATATGTATATGCGTATATCTATGTATACTTACGATGTGTCTTGCATACAAATAAATATCAAACAACAAAACTTTATTTGTGAAACAAACAGAACAAAACTTCGCAGATCTTTACTGTTCGCTGGACTTTGGCAAAAAGTAGAAATTTTACGCCGTTACATATTTCAGTTCCGTTCCGTGTGCTACATGTTCCCCTCAATCATCAAAAATCGGAACGGAATTGAAACAAAATAATTCTGATTGGCTATCCTCTGTTATTCCTTTTTTACTTTTATTTCCTTTGAAACGCACCTTTTCAAAATTTCTCTCTTGTTTTTTTTTTCATTAACTATGCGCTCCTGATCATCAAGAATGAAATATATACGACTAAAAATTATAATAAAATATATTGAAATAAAAAACGTATTTCAAATTTGTCTTTACCTTTTGTAAAAAAAAAAAAACCACTGTATGTGTGCTACGTTTTTTAACCACACCGGAATACAGTAATTATAAAACTTATAATTACTGCATCTGACAGTCCGCAGTCTGTGCAAAGTGGGACGGAAAAATGAGCACACTATACATATATCGGTATACATTATATTTTTAACACAACTTCTCTGCTGAATAAAAATAAAACTATGAAAAACCTGCTTGTTTTGTTTATTTACTACCTTCTACAAAATCCTCTATCTTCTTTAAAACTTCCCAAAAATATCGATAAAATACTGAAAAATTGGGTGCGTTCTGACAACTCAACAGTTGCACAACGGTTGAGAGATCATCACTTATGATAGTACTATTCTTCAAAATCTGTTGAGGTTCCAAAAGTATGATCCAATCAGAAGTGATTATCTCTCAACCGTTGTGCAACTGTTGAGTTGTCTGAACGTATCCATTGTATCAGGAGAACATAACTAGCAAAGAGGTGGCAAAAAGACTCTTCGTGTCACTTCTTCGCTAGTTATGTTTTCCTGATACTTTTTTCTAAAATGTTCCACATGTTTCGGAAATTTTTGAAAAATTGTATCAGGAGAACATAACTAGCAAAGAGGTGGCACAAAGACTCTCCGTGCCACTTCTTTGTTAGTTATGTTCTCCTGATACTTTTTCCCAGAATTTTTCCGCATTTTTCGGAAATTTTTGAAAAATTGTATCAGGAGAACATAACTAGCAAAGAGGTGGCACAAAGACTCTCCGTGCCACTTCTTTGCTGATTATGTTCTCCTGATACTTTTATCTTAGGATATAACGTTGGTGTGTGTGCGCATTTTTCCGTCCCACTTTGCACAGACTGCGGACTGTCAGATATAGTAAATATGTGTTTTACTGTTCCTGGTGTGGTTAAAAAATGTTGCACACACTTTTTGATAAAGTGTCAAAAGAATTTTTCAAAATTTTGTTCAAAGAATTTCGCGATTTTATTTGCGCAAAAGAAAAGTTGCTTGAATAATAAACTATCAAAGAGTTTAGAAAGAAAGTGAGGGAGAAAGTGAAGGAGAAAGTGAATAGTATAGGGATATGGTTATGGGATTATTATAATAGTAATGGGATGTTTCTTAAAAAATCCTTTTTATTTATATGTTGCATTATTGCTTTTTATTTATATGTACATATATAATATACACATGTATCCTTTGAGTATATCTTCTCGCGTACACATTTTATATAAAAATTTCTATATACATAACGCTCGCATAACGTTTGCATAAAATGTTTTAGTTTAATCTATTTGGGTCCCACGGTAAATGTTTTTTTTTTTTTCAATTTGCCTACTCTTCGTTAAAGTTTACATTGACTGCGGATATGCAAAGAGCGCAATCTTGATAAAAACACGTGCCTACCAAGTTGTCTCCAGAACGTATACTCAGACGTTGAAGATCTTCCTTCGTCAAAAATGACCAGTCACAACCGTACGCGAGACTCTGAGATCCGTAATTGTAGTGACCTATAACGGATTGTATTGTTCCGTGTCTACAATCGACGAGATTGTAACCGCCGTACATGCAAGCGACGAGTAGATATTCGTGCTTAAACGGATCCCATCTTATTCGCCAGACTCCACTTTGAAATGCGATCTGCGACGTTGGCTGATTAAAGTTTCTCTTGTCCCACAACTTCAGAGTGTGATCGTAACTGAAATGTTTACATGTTAACTTGATTTTTGCGTTTCGCGTTATTGATTTAGAAATTACAGAAATCAGTATGTATGTAGATTTTATCAACTGTACTTGGTAAAATCTATTTGCAAATATTTGAAAATTTTTAATTCAAGGAAAACGCGATCAGGCGTTTCTTACCTTCCGGTCGCCAACAGAAACGGGCTGAGAGCGTTGTTGTGTATACTGGTTATACCGGCGGAATGCATTCTGGTGTGCGACGCACAGGAATTTATTCTGACATCGTAAACTGTGAACTTGTTGTCGTCACCTCCTGCAATTTTTCACGTAATATTAATAATATTTATTTGTTAAATTTTCTGAACAGAACAAAATCAAAAGAAAAAATTTATTAATTTCTCTTCTCAATTCTATTTTCGAGAAATCAACGTTCCCTTGAATCTCTTTGTCTCTAACGTACCAGAATAAATGATATTGTCATCGTGATGATCGAAGCTCACGCACCATGACTCGAACTCATGCCCGCGCCACATAGAGATCCTCTGCAGACTGTCCGTTTCGTCCCATTTGAAATAAGATATGCATCCTTCGCTGTCACTCGCGACGATGTGCAGATTCAAGGGAGGAGCCAGGAAACAGCTTCTTCCGATGGAACAGTCCAAGGACAGCGCCAGGATGTCCTTGTGACACATATTGACCTTCTTTTCCGTGAGAAACTTCAATCTCGTCTCGTCGTTCTCGCTCGTCAACTGATACATCTGCAGAAATCCACTGGAATTGACAACGCAGAGATATATCTGATTGTTGTCAATGTCACCGGTGCAAACCCACTTCATGTCTAATATAGCTAGTGTTTCTATTTGCTGTATCAGTTCTAATTTTCCCTCGTTTATTAAACGGAGCAAGTAAATTTTTCCGTTGCGTTTACAACTCGTTTTGTCGCCCTCGTTTAACTTATAAGTTCCGCAAGCTAATATATCCCGATAAGATTCTGCGTGACACCACTCGACAGAATCCGGCGAGAATTCTGTGGTGAATATGTCCAAAACTGAAACATACACCCCCGCTGCCATTTCTGACGGCTTATCTGGAACAAAAGAAGTTTCGGACATCTTTTAGAGGGATCTATCGTTTACAACTGATGACATCTAAATGAGAGATTTGAAGAGAATGTAAATTATTTAATTGTTTTTATTCAAAGAATCTGTTTGACAAAAATGAACTATTTTTAAACATTTATAAAATTCAGATCGCATGTACAAACAGAAATTTATAGACACAATGTTTTCTTTTTACTTAATATTTTTTATGATTTCGTCAATAAGAGAGTCAACAAAAGTACGAGGATGAGGAGAGACAGGCGTGTAATAAGATTGAAAGAAATAAAAAGGTGTCCAATATAAATTTATTTTGGCTGTAAATATTACAATTCTTTTTTTTTTTTTTTTTAAGCGTAGGAACACATTTGTACCATTCTTGTATTTCTTTCTACTTATATTATATATATATAAATATATTAGTGTACATTACAGGCTAGAACATATGCAACAACGTATATATACGTGTGTGTATATAATAATCGTATCTTGTCCAGAGAATTGATAAAACTCTTTCATAAAATTTGTGTTGTTACTGCATACAATTAAAATTAGCAACTGTCTTACTGATATTTTTTTGTACTACAATTATTGATATATCGCGTTAAGGCTCTTTGAATGTATCATGAGGTACAGTATATTTCTTGAAGGGTATACATATTATTCCCTGTGTAAAAACTCTCTCTTTCTCAAGGAACACAAATGTAAGTTAAGTGTAAATACAAAATGCAGCCTTTTACAAAAACTTAGGTCCGTAAACTAAATAAACACACAAGTTAATGAACATTATCACTACAACATTTTTGGCAGTGGTACACAGCTTATTTCTTTTTCATACAAAGAGAAAGAAATGAAATCTAAGTGCTTGAGTCTCAAGTGGCGAGCATGATCTGTGTTTTTTCATCGAGGAAAAAGTTTAAACCAGAGTTTAAAAAATCGAGATTCGTAAAATAAAAATGTATACATAGCGCCGTAATGCTTAGATTAAAAAATCTCTCTGTGTGTGTTTGTTACAAATTATCTTAGACACTATTCTTTGATTATTATAATAACTCTCTGAGTTGGTCAAAGTTCGAGGTAGTAGAATCAATACTGTCGACAATCGGAACACATCCTTCCATGACTTTCGTCTAGACTTAAGTACACGTTGTAATTTTATTGTAGAATATAGTTTGTAAACAGACTTCTCACGCAGCAATAAACTTATTGAGCTTTGAATCGAAAACTTCACCGTTTTTAAATATTGTTGCACGCTTTTTTGGCGCTTTTCATAGCCTCGTTACGACATTGTTGGACTAGACGACACGCTCTCACGAGGTCTCGTTCGACCTTAGGCATCGTTTTGCGCAGCTTGCTGCCGGTATAAAAGGGTTTGAGATCGCGACCTAACTGCTCTATGACGCGTAGCAATTTTACGTAGTTCGATTGGGCAGCAACGGAAGATACAGGCACGGTTTGCTGAGAGGCAATCCTTGGATTCGGAACCGTTAACAACGGCTCCGACATTTTCGCAGTAACCCCCACGTTTTTGCGTTGCTTTGCCATCTTGCACGGCGTGACGGGGAGGGGAAGGGGGTTGACGATCTCTGAATTTAAACCTTGAGAAATAATCGATAATCTTTGATTGTCTGGATTGTATCCATCTCCAATTTGATAACAAATTTTTTTTTTTGTTAAATCGTTCAATTCATTTTTAGCAAACAAACAAAGAACATAACGCAACAAGAGGCCGGTCTTCTCATCGCGAGAAGAAAAACACAAATCAATACAAAAGCTAACCTAAAAAAAAAGGTTACCAAAACTCCCCCACCCTAGCGGATTCCGTAAGATTATGCTCTTACAAACCTTAATTATTGTGTGAAGCACGTTCGGCGAAGCGACTCATGAGACTGTGCGGTGTCGAATTAATGTGTGTTTATCACGGCCGATTGCGGCGCGACAAACACATGAAATATGCAAATATTCAATTACTTTCACGGACTTACGACACACACACACTCACCAACACAACCGGTTTCGCGCACGCGGAGTTGCGCGCCGACGGAACGTTGCCTCGAAAAAAAAATTACACCGCGTGTTACACTTTCTGCACTTGCCTGCAACGCAAAACTGTGCGCGATGACGCGTTTTTCCGGAGGAAAACTCAAATCGAGAGATTCACCTTTCTACTGAAAACCACACGTGTTTCAAAGATACGGTTTTTTTGTTTTTTTTTTTTTTTTTTTTGTAAAACAAAAAGACCGCTGATGCGGCGAACGAGGAGAGAAGACAATCATAAAACGTTGTGTTGTACAAAATTTTTATTTATTTAACGATATATTTTTATACGGGATTATACTTTCCATTAGGTACATGTCATCTGAAAAGCTTTTTTTTTCTCTCTCTCTCTCTCTCTCTGTGTTTGTTTCTCCGTCCTCACTCACTGGAAACGTATACTAAAGATTTTTGCAATATACTCCTCCTCGCCCCCGTCACGGCATACCTTTCCGGACCGGGGCGGATACCTCTTTTTTTTTTTTTTTATAAAATATATAAACCAAGATTCTCTATAAATAGAGTATACATAGTGTGTATACAAATTGGTACCCCATTCTGAGTTCTCTCTATGTACTTCTAAATTGCAACTTAAAAGTTAGGAAGTCGTCGGTCACCGTTTTTTTTTTATTTTTTTTATTTTTTTGTTTTTTCCAACGTACGGGCGTACATACGTAGATCAAGCGTGGAAATATAAATTGTTATTGTGTTTTTCGTCTCGCGCGCGAGGTGGACAAACAAAATGCCGAAACGATTCGATTCTGAAAAACGCGCGAAATGCTCGCTCTAAGTATGTATACACCCCCTCTCGCGTTTAATTAATTTTCCCAAGTTCAAACTCTAAGCGTTACTCTCGCACAAAGCAATATTCTCTTCACGTAATAGAAGGCTAGAAGTAGTCTAATCACTAGCTAGCTCGTCGGCAGCAGATCATTGTTGCGCGTTGTGTTGGGTCTCCAGCAGACAATCCCGCACGGCAACTCGGGCCTGCTGAATCCCGTTCTTCAGCCTCTCGGCGGCGCTGCGACTGCCCGCGTAGGACAGACGAATGTCCCTGCCGAGTTCCTCGATGATCATCAACAGTTTGCCGTAATTGTTTTGGCCAGGCACGGTCGAGAAGTTGATCATGCTGGACGGGCTGGCCTGCGCCACTTGTACGGTCTGCACGTTCTGCAGATTCCTTGGATTTGGCACGGTGATCACAGGTTCGGGAATACGTGGAGGTGGCGGGGGCGGCGGAATCTCCGGTATCTTCGGCATCGTCGTCGCGGGTGTCGGCGGCGGCGGCGGGTCGTTCAGCTTCGTGATCGTTATCTCGTTCAGTTTGGCCAACTCGGTGAGTTTCGCCATCTCGTTTGCCATCTTCGAGTACTCGGGCATCTTAATGTCGTTTTGAATATTCGCCATTTTCATCATCTCGTTCATTTTCGTTTTCTCGTTTATCTTGGCGATCTCCTTCGCCATCTCGTTGATCTGCGCGATCTCGTTCAGTTTTGTGATGTCGTTGTTGTACTTGGCCATCTCGGTCATCTTCACCATCTCGTTCAGCTTCGCGAGCTCGTTCATTCGCTGAACCTCCATCTTGGCCATCTGTGACATCTTCATCATTTCGTTCATCTTCGCCATTTCGTTTATCTTGTTTATGTTGTCGTTATACTTGGCCATTTCCGTTAGCTTAACCATTTCGTTCATCTTCGCGATCTCCTGCATCTTCATATATTCCGTGGTTTTGGCGTACTCCGCCATCTTTTCCATCTCGTATCTCTTTGCCATGTCTTGCGACATCTTGTTTAACTCGGAATTCATTTTGCTAAACTCTGCAAGTTGAGCCATTTGAACTATATGCTCAGGTACTTTTCCTCTCTCCATCATTTGCTTCAATTCCGCTGATATCTTGTTCATATTTATCTCCGACATTTGGGCTAAGGCGGCCGGATCGGGAGGCGGCATCTTTGATAGCTCGGCGATTTTTGAGATCTCTCGCGCAAGACTCTCGTCCAGACAACGCTTTTTCTTCGCACGATGTCGGGCCATTCGCTGGGCCTCTTGCATTCTCCTTATCGCCGCTTGCTCCTCGGTTTCCTTGGCTCTGGCGTTCTTCATTATCTCCGCAGCCGTAAACAATCTAACTGCACGTTCCTCCCCTGTTTCGGACATCTATAATCTCGCATTTCCCACACTGTCTCAAAGTAAGATCTCCGACTTACAGACGCAACGTGGCGATACAACGAGCATCGATTACGTTTTCCTCATACGCGTCCTGTTTATATCCGTTTTTTTAATACAAAACTTATATAAACCAAATACATGGAACAATCAAGCTCTCTCCGCTGATCCTTCCGGCAGTTTTTCCACCTAGTCTGACCGCAGCTTTGGTTTTGGCTTATTTACGCGTGCCACTTCCTGAGAGAAGCCTCTGCGGGAAATTCGCTGCAACAGACAATCATATTGTGACACACGTTGCGACGCAATGAAACAAAAAAATAAGATTCAGATATTAACCTAACCTAACCTAACAGACGATAAACTTAAATTACGTTTTTACATTTATCACGGAGATCTAACCGCACGGAGGTCGAAAAAATGCTTCTTGTTGTATCATTCGGAACATGATAGTTGGCGAGGCCGAGTCTTTCCCGAGCGTGTGAGCGCGACGTGGAACTGAGAATTTACCGTTCGCAAAAATACGCATCACGCGCACGCACAAGGCTTTGCACTCTCGCGATATCTTCGGTTCACGTGTGCGAACGCTCTCTCTCTCGTTCCTCCGCTCCCCCGCTCCCGTGTGTGCGCGTCTCAGTCGAAAATTCGAAAGAAGAACGTGTCTGGTCTGGCGTAGGACGCGCGCACACGCGCACGCGCGCCGAGATAAGAACGCCGTCGTCGTCTTCACGGCCGCTGCTCGACGACGACTGATCCCCCCCGCGCCCCGCGCCAATCAACAACAATGGCGGACGTATTTCGGCCGATGCGCTGAAACGCACGATCAACTCACCTTGACGAGAAATCGGCCGGCCTCGGAGTCCCCGGCTCCGGCGTCACGTTGGCGACCTCCCCCAAGAGCGACGGGCACGTCCCACCGCGTCTTCCGTCGATGCGCTCGCCTCTTCTCGGAATTATCCCACGGACAAACGCACAAAGGCGGTATCGGCCGACATGTAAGATTTTCGTTCGGAGCCACTTTAAGGGGCCAAGCGGGGTCGTCGCCGATAGGCTGCGCGTGACGTGGTTGCGTTTATTGACCATAACCCCTTCCTACTATCGTCTGCAACTTCACGACAGACAGGTGTACGACCCGCGAAACTATTGACCGACCGCGGCGGCGCCCGCCGGCGCCTCTGTGTGCTCCGTATCCTTCGGGAGACTCGCGTCTTAAAACGCTACGTATATGTCTCGCGCCCAAGACGGTGGAATAATAGGCGGAGGAACTCGAGACGCCATACGCGCGCATTGGGATCCCGAGACCGTCTGACCGTGTAAGTGGGTCAAGACGTGATATTTTTTCGATGTTTTATCAAAAAATTTTTACAAGAATTTGTCAAAGACACGTTTTTTTTCCGCTAATCAACCGTAACGAGCTTGGGCCTAACTGAAAAAGCGCTCAAATTCAAAGTTTCTTTGTCAATTATTTTAATCGTTGTATTTCACAATTTAGATATTTTTTTGAATATAAAATAAAGCTTATTTGTGTGATATTGTTTAATAAATTACAATTAAAATTTAAAATTTGTAAAAATATTGCAAAATTTTTTTTCATATTTACAAAATTTATCATACATTGGAACACAAAAGATGTAACTTTTTTAACATTTTCTTTTATTTTTCACAATTTAAAAATGTAATACATAAAAATACATAAAACCTTTTGCGTGGCATACTTTACTTCATCTTTTTGAAGTTTGTTACATACTTTTGTGAATTACTCTCACACATTTATATTTCATTTAATTACATTAGTATATATATGTGTAGAGATTTAAAAACTTAGAGTGCACGCAGAATATTGTAACTTTTCAAGTTTTTAAATCTCTTGAAAACATTTTTATTGTACACTAGATGTAATACTTTTTGTTTCAGATTGTACATAAGTATAAAAACTGCAAGGTCAAAATAAATTATCTACATCAAGAGGATCATTTAACCTGGCTTCATAGGACCGAGAGAGTAAGACAGTAACACATAAAAACTATTCAATATGTACACACCGTCGTGTGAATATTACTTTCTCTTGTTGTTAGTTGTTCTACCTGTGTATCTCTTTTTTAAACTTTGGTCATGGCTTGGGTGGGAATTGTTTGTTAACAATTAAAATCTTCTAATACTTTGGGCGGGCAATATACAACTCATGAGCATTGCTACGAGTATTGAACTTGCACGTACATAATATCTTTATATTACACATACGTACGAAGCTTTAAAAAATTTATATATATATATTTTTTTTTTAAATATATTCTGTCACAAAAGAGACAAATTTGTGCACGTTCTGCTGTAAATGTTTTTTCTAATCTCACTAGCAATATATATCAGCATATGCGTATGTACATATGTTCAAGATATGTCTACTGTAAAAAAATAAATTTTTGTAACTTATGCAACGCAACAGAACATGTTGAAATATAAAAAGCTTTGGCAAAATCACGATATCAAACATGATAAAACTCAAATCTTGTTAGTGATAAAAAGTTCATCCAATCCCATTCTTCCTCGATGTTTCCATATTCTGAATCTGGCAACATCTTTTCTCGTAATTATACCGATCACCTGAAATACCGTCAAATGTTAGATGCGCAAACGTTGAGAAGATTTCTGAACTTTGTGTCAGGAATTTACCTCGTTTGTGTCGTTTACCACCGGTACATGACGTAATCCTAACGCCCTGAAGAGTCTGAATGTTCTTGGCAGTGTTGCGGACTGAAAGAAAAATCACATAAAGTTTCGTATTGTTTTTTTTTTTTTATTATTATTATTAAAGCTGTAGTCACGTATTTTATGTTTTTAAAACAAAATATTTACTAACATGTTGAAGCGTATAGGGCGAGGGATTCATGAAAGGACGCAGATCTATTGTAAACGTTTTTTCCTCATCTGTGATAGCTATTTGCTCAATGGTTGGATATCGCGGATACTCGTTTCTAAATATTTTTATGCTCAAAGGTTTATCCCAAACGTCTATGTATTCGTTGAATAACTTGTATTTTAAGAGCACTATTAATTGGGAACGCAATATTAGACCTCTGAATCGTGCGTAGGAATTTATTTCAGCCTGCAAAGACGACGTTAGTTAAACCGTAGTCAAAAAACAACGAGATGTATGAGTGAGAATTTTCTACAAAATGCTTCCTCCTACAAATTGCTTCATTACCTGATCACTGCTTGGTGGATCGACCACGGGAAATCCGTTAAAGGTAACACATTTTAAAAGTTCGACAATGTGTCCTACGTTTTCAACGGTTTTTAGAGATACCACCGGATGACTCATTATCTCACTCGCGTAGATATTATTTGACAACGGAGGTGGTTCCCATGGAAGTAACGGGATTCCAGCCATTTGTGTGTGAATATCGTAAATTCCCTGTTTAAAAGACGGATAAATTTTTATCATCAAACACATCTAAGCGCCTGATGTTTTAAAAGCAGCGGAACAATTGATAAATACCCAAAACAACGCATAGATAGTGACAGTAGCATTACATAATTATTACTCTGTCAACAAGTTCCATCTTTCAGAAGAACAAGTAAGTCAAACGCCGGCTCATTATCATTTGTTGTTGTCTACGCGTCGCGTTTTAGGCACTTATCAATCGCCCTCGTACTTAATATTTAAATACTTCATATATATTGAAAGTATTTAGTTATTTAGATGTTTTAATTATTTGATATTTAAAATATTTAAAATATTTAAAATATTTACCTCGTTAAAGAAATCGCCGACCCATTTTGCCATTATGAGGACTATTATCACAGGAAGACCGAAGGATATACCCTGTGTGGCTTCTATCAATATCGCAGTTAGACTTATTGTCATTCTGACCACTCCTCCTAATTGTGCGGCAGCACCTAACAAAGCATATTTGCCGGGGTCTAATACTTCCTGTGATGAGAGGAAATATTACATTGAATGATTACTATTTCAATGTGCGCGCGCGTTCAAATTTGTGGCTTACACAATCTGGGCACATCTTCAAGAGACCCGATCCGATTAATCTACCCCATGCGGCTCCGATTAGCAGGGAGGGAATAAAAAGGCCACTTGACATCGAGAGACCGAATGTAGCGGCAGCGAGGAAGAAATACAACACAATAAATATGGCCAGCGTTATATCGTTATGAGATCCTATGAAGACGTAATAAGATGTTACACTTGTGTCTTAATGTTAATCAAGATCTATATCGCGCGTTACATACCTTTAGGATCATGAAACAACGATCGCACGCTGCTCTCGGGAGTCTGAAACCACAAAGCGGCAACGGCACTGTATTCTCCTTCCCCGCAATACATTTGAACCGGGAACTTGGTAGGATCGTTACCCAATGGTTTACAGTCGTTTACGAAGTATATCATCAGCGATCCCATTGTCGCGCTTATTATCGCAACCAGAATAGCTTCGACGACTTTCAGCCACTTTTGCCTTATGAACCGCAAACGAAAACATGTGATCTTGTAGTTGAGGTGATTCCAAAGAGCGCCGAGTAATCCGCCAAACGTGCCCATTATCATAAACAGAGGAATTTCGTAGATCTGATATGGCATCGATTCGAATTTTCCTAAATTCAATAAACCCGGATACGAGAGGTCGCCGAGATGTCCGTGATACGCGCTCAGGACCACGTTTAAAGTGAATGTGGTAATCATACTAGCGAAAAACGTCCTCCAAGTAAGACTCTGATTAAAAAAGCTGGTTCCTTCTTCTATACTGAACAAAACTCCGCCTAAAGAATGCAATTACTTTAAATTCTGTTCATAAGAGAGGATTAGTATTTTATATAATGGCACACACATAACACGTACGTACCAATTGGAGCTCCAAAAGCGGCCGATACTCCGGACGCGGCGCCCCCAGACACGAAGTCTCGCTTTTCATGATCCTCTCTGAAGTATTTGAATATTTTCAAATCTTTCTTAAAAGTGGTGCTCTTGCCCTGAGAAATTCCCGCGGCTACAATCGCACCGGAGTGAATCATAGGACCTTCCTGCGTGCAAATATCGAGATTGTAAACAATTTAATTTCGACAAATATACAGAATAGCGATTAAACTCTTGCTTACCTTGCCTCCAGCTAGGCCTCCGACTACGGTGCATATAACACCTATGGTTTTCACAGCCAAAGTCTTAATACGCACAACTCGCGGTATTTTAACTCCATTCAAGTAACATTTTACCTGCGGAATACCGCTTCCCGCGGCAACGGGCTCAACATAGGCTACTAAAATGGCACCTATTAAAACCGGTCCTATATTTAGCAATACCCATATAAAATATGGCAACCACAGGCAGCCTTCCACCACACATTGGTCCACATCTATCAGATACAAGAAACGCATGTATTATCTCACATATGTTACAGTAAATGTGTCTACAGATAAGATACTTGACATACATTTCTTGAGCCAGCCGTACTTTAAACTGGACAACTCCTCAATGAATATATCTACAAAGCACGCTATGAGAGCGGTACAAATTCCAATTAGGAGGAAGATAAACCATCTGGCGAAATTCTTCCTGACAACGAACTTGTATCCCTTGCTCCTTTCTTCATCCTGCAAAAGATTATTTTCACAAGGATCGTAGTCCAGGCTCTGTAAACATCAAAATATGAGTAATTGATTAAAATTGTTATCGCGAAAAGAGATAAAATATATATACAACGTGTTAAAAAAGTTGTCGCCTTCTCCCGATATCATCTAACACTTCTAAACAGGGTCAGAGAAGGTGACGTAATCGTGATTAACTAATTACCTCGTAATTGGTTGATAGGAAGTTGGTTGCTCCTGGAATCACATCCGTGATATTTAATCTTCTGTGCTGACCCGAGATAGCCTCTACACTGATATTCGCATTAACACTGTGCTGTGAGAATAGAATATTCTATAAATATATTTCTATCACAAAACTCACTTCTCTGACTAACTATATACATCAAAATACTCGCGTTACTCATTAAAACTTAAAAATATCGAAGCAAGATATGACAAACATGAGAAAGCAAATTGAAGGCAAAAGAAAAGGAAGTGATCGAATCATTTCGAACGAACTGATAATAATTCAGACTCACTCGAAATCGCACGTCGATATTCTCGTTGGAGTATGACGCAAAATTATTTCTAGGTTTGATCAACCTTTCTCTGTCGTCATAGCTGCAGCCATCGATATTGTCGACGTTTCCTGTCGTGTTACTTTGGCCAGGCGTCGATGGATCCATTGCTTGCTAAATGACGAAGATCGATCTCAGGTTTGTCTTTTCAACATTTCTTGAAACTGCGTAGAAGTGACGGTTTACGAATTAGACGCTGCTACAATAAAATGTAATTTTCACCATCTCGCAACCTCGACGTACGCGAGTAAAGTCTCGCACGGACAAGAGCGTAGCTCTCCTCCGTACAAGTGTATAGACGAGAATGATGATGATGATGATAAATAGTGCAAAACACGTGACTATCCCCTAAGTGATTCATCACGACTCCGGAAGCGCGGCATTCCCCGACCGATAAACGCGCAAGCGTCGCTACTTGGAAGATTCATTTTATCATCGCGAACGTCATCGTACGATATGCGACTTGCGCGTGCGACGAGTTTTAATCAAATCACATTTGAGGGGAGAGTGAAAAGGATGCCGAGGTTACCAGAGGTCAAGGTCTTTCGCGCAAAGAACGGCGCGTGTTATGTCACACAACATAAAAACACGAGCTTCTTGTGTTGTGACTTTTATTAACATACATAGAATAGAAATTGTTGTTGATAAGAAAAATTGTTTTATAACACGTGATACACAGATCAATATAAGAAACGCATTAGTTCCTAATTGAAGTTTCGATTGTCGGCGTTTCTGATCTCGAGAAACAACGTGAACAATGTGTGAAGAGCTTCCAGCCTGGTGTCCTCCCGCGTGGGAATGTCCAGGAGATTGCAAACCACGTCGACCAACTGCGACAGTTCGCAATCGATTTCCGACAGATCCAGTTGCAGCTCGTTCAGTTTGTCCTCCACCTGCGCCGGCCACTGTTGCATCAGATTGTCGATATCCGGCATCGCGCGGCTCATATGCACAGCTGGCGGATGTTTGCTCCTGTGAAGTTGATTGATGTCGTCGATCCACTTGTCGATCGACTTACCGTTTCTCTCGGCGTCCTCGATTCTCTTGACAACCGCCTGTCTGGCGGCGCCAGCGCTTCTCGAGTGACTTCGCAGCTGCAGATGCAAGACCGCCGGATCAGATTGGTCGGTACAAGGCTCGTCCAGCACCGTCAGACCGATCTTATCACCGATACCGTCGGGTCTCGGCACTTTTATGAAGGCGTCTATGTCGCCGACCGCCGGTATGTAGTCCGGAATGAACGGTATCAGCTTGTACGTTAGCTCGATCTTTTGCGGCGCGTACCTAAACAATAAAACAAATCTTGCTCGCAATTACAACAATAAGCTTTTCAATATAAAATTTTATATACACTATATAGATTTATATAATTTATATAAATTTTATATGTATAATTTTATTGTAGATAATATAAATTTTTTCTCAAAAGCTTAATGTATATAGTAGAAACAAAAAAAAAAAAAAAAGAACTTGCCTCATTATATTTTGAAACAGTTCTTTGACTTCCGTCGATGCTTCCAGGTTCTCGAATTCTTTTGGATTGTACAGATCGATCGACTTCGCGATGCTGCTGCCTTGTATGTCGTCGTCGTCGCTCTCCTCGCTGTCGGAAGGATCGCTGCCGATCTCCATCGATTTTTCAAAACCGATATCATGACTCGAATATCTGTTCGAATGAAACACGCGGTGCAATTTAAGTTCCTCGAGATAAGTAAACATACGTTTAAAATTGATTAACGAGCTCATTTTTTATATGCATGTATATAAATACACTATGACAAAGGCAAATCTCTCTTTTGCAAGAAACTTCTGAGAACTTAAACGTCGGCTCTGTTCTCATCACACCGCGCTCTGTAAACTATCGTCAATTGCATTAATTATAGCGTAATCAGGCGTAAATTACCTCCTGAACTCGTGTTGTTTCCTATTGCGCGGAGAGTTCGAGTCTAAGGTATTCGAACTGTCGCTGGCGAGGCTTTTCCTGACTTTCCTGGAACTCGAAGGTCTGTGGCTCGTCGGGCTTTTGATTTCCTCGGCGTTTCGCACCACAATGGCCTCGTCGAATTTGCCGATCGTCTGAACGGCACGCGTCTCGTCCTCATCGTCGCTGCTCTCCCTGATGTCCATGATCGGCGACGTGGTGCGTCCATAGGCGCGTCCTTCAACGATCGCCCTCAGGGTCTCTATGGTGACGTAAACGGATAAACTGGGGCGTGAATAGATCTTATCTCTCTTCTATCTATCTATGTATGCGGATTTGCACGGATCGCTGAATGTGTGCGACGAAAAAGGAAAATTTGTAATATATTCCACACTACCTGTCGCGTTCGCTCTCGCGGAGACTTGGCGGGAGTTTGTTTTCCTGGCGTTGCCATAGTTTCATCGATCGGATGAGCACAACGTAAGCGTAACACAAATTAATCGAAGGATCAATTATTGATCCGATCGTTCAAGTAATTCGCATCTGAAGACGCTCATAAAAGAACGACGTAATCGTCGAATAGAATAAATGATTACTAATTAATCATTAACAAGTCAGTGAGTTAGTTGTATAATTGTTTTCTGACTGAGAAACGGCACGCTTATATTTCCGGAGGATGTGTGTATTTAATGACAGGAATCCCCGCCGTGTGTTCTGTGGAGATAATCTATAATATGATGAAATGTGCAGAAGATGAGTCAGATGACAATAAATATCTTACGTGAGTATATACGACGTGATTCGATTCGATTTAACCGATAGGATCTATTGCGAAGTTTATGTTTATATTTTATGCGACAATTAATATTTGTATTTTTACGCAACACAGCGCGTTGGCAAATGTTTTATTTCTGCATTCATCTTGCGCGTAATCTCTCGTCTCACACGAGCGAGTGGAATTGCGTGTCGATTAACGTGATGTACGTAATCTCGTAAGAAACAATTTCACGTTAAAAATTCACGCCTAAGGGGACCTAATAACAATTTAAATTATAAAGAATGTTAATGTACATCAATGTACATTGTTGAGATTTGAAATTAGTTAGAGCGTTAAATTTAATTTCAAAATGTTTTTATCGTCAAGTGGTTTTGTTGTAAATTTTGTGATCACTTAAAAAAATATTAGTACAATATTATTTTATAATATATCAAATAATATTTTAAAAAAACTGAAAAATACTTGAAATAATATTATATTTAGTATATTAATTATATTAATTTTATATTAATAATTATATTAATTTTTTATTTTTGACTCCATAAAGTAACTAAATTGCAATTACTTTTTTATAATATTAATCAATTTACAGCTTGACGATCTTTTGCTAAATTAATTTTAATTTTCACCGAATAAAAATTCGATTGATCAAAACGTCGGCATTTTGGATTTTAATAAAAAAAAAAACGATTTTTAAAACGATGTTGTATATTAACATCAATTGTAATTTGACTCTATTGGCCTTTGACTGAAATTTATTTAAAAATATATTGTCGGTTTTATTATTTTCACATTTTTTAAGGAAACTTTCTTGCCGCATCTTCCGTCATTGCCGACAAGTGCCGACGTCTTGTGTGTGTTATTTAATCGCGAACTCAATCTTCGACACGCAATTCAACGAAAAGCACTGTCCTTATAAAGATAAAACCGGTTTCCATTTTATGACAGTCAATACAGACGAGTGCAAATAAACTTCGCAAAAATATAATGAAGTTTGCAGGTGCAGTGTTATCTGACGATAACGCACACGCTCGAAGGGCTCATCATCGTAGTAAACAATGTGTAAACCAATCGATAAGAAACTCAAACGGCCGTAATAAAATCATTTTTATTAACTGTTTTTTTTTTTTGGTCGGTGTAAGTCGATTACAAACATTCGTAGTAATTCCACGTATAAACATTATATCGACTGATATGCGTGTATACGATGTGTAAAGATTGATAAAAAACATAACTAAAGATCAATATAAAAAACAACTTCGCGACAATCGCGAGCTGCGTCGCGCGGCTAAAAAGACATACGTATACAAATGAGAAAAAAAATTGATTCTAAGGCAGTTAAAAAGTCGCGGAAGAAAGGGGAGATTCTTTCGGGGCGGACAAGGTGAACATCCTCGTCTCGAGTTGAGAAAATCTCTCAAATTGTTTCAAATTGCGCGCAAAAATTCCCTCGTTCCGTCTTCGAAGTGCGACGTACGTTGTTGAAAAAACGCGCGATCCGTTTCCGTTACATCGGATATTTTCCGTAGACGTGACCGCTTCTGGTGCGTCTCACCAGCCATTCTCGAGGTGCCGTTCGGGAATTCAAGTCTCGACTCGTCTTTTGTGAGTGTTGAGAACGACTCGAGCGCGCGATGCAATTTGCGGTTATCGATCCTAAAAATAGAGTCGCAAACAAAAATTTCAATTTTGCAACACAAGTCTTTAAAGAAGAATACTCGCGTATCTCTTTGTCAAACATGTAATAAATGTGTTTAACGATCTGTTTTTTTTTTTTTTTGCAAGAGGAGATTCTTACGCGGAGTTATCTTCCTCTTGGATGTGGATTGACGACGCGAAATGTCCTGCAACTCCGGAACGATATCGCGACGCAACGAACGACCAGCGAGATTGTCACAGAAATTAAAGCAGCTTGCCAAACCGGAACTCGCGGATCTCGAGTACCAAAAGGACGACGGATCGTCCTCGAAAGCCATCGAAATCCTGTCGGTACCGGAGAGAATGAAGAAAGAAAGAAATTAAAACATTTCCGAACTTAATTACTGACATTTAATTAATGATTTAATTGTCAATTAAATCATTCTGAATAAATTGAATTCAAATTTGAATTTTTACGTGTTGTTAATTATAACACGGGACGAGTTCTCTCTTTATTTTGTAAATTTTTATCGCAAAACCGAGAACTTACGTCTCGATGCTGCGCGCGTTGTAATCGGACGCTTCGTTCTTCGATGAACTTCCGGACAGAATCGTGATCGCGAAGAGGATCCCGCAAATGACAAAGAGCACGAGAAAATCGACGGCGTTGTGTTGCAACGTGTGAACGTTTCGTATTTTCGCGTCGTCGATCATTTCTTCCGTCGGTGCGAACCACGTGAACTCGCGGATAAAATTCTGCAATAGATAAAGTTACGAGATAAGATCTTCGAAATAAAGGTCAAGTGTATTATTTGAAATAATTTGATTTTGTTGTTTGTGTTTCTCTCGTTGTGCGCTTAGAAAGGCGCGTACAATAATTTGCATATTTGTCACGAGAAGTTCGCGCAACCGTTAATTAGATTTGGATTATTGTATTAATTAAAATGCCACAATAAAATAAAAAAAATAAAAAAAAAAAAACTGTAACACGTGGAGATACAACGTGATGACACACGCGATAAGAAAATCCTGTTGCATCGTGTGTTATCGACATTTTTTCACTTTAGGTTAAACGTCAGAAAAACGTTACGTACTCGCAGAAATATTACAATTTGCCGGACGATTAACAGGATGAGATAATACGCGTCGCTCAAATTGTTCATTGTCGATTTTCGCGTTTCTTACTCGAGTCGTCTTTGATTTTTTTTTTTTTTGGACAAAAAGTTGTTTATATCAAAATTGAACAAATGTTTTTCCGTTTTGTATCATCATTTCTTTGTGCGAGGGGAAAACTCGTTCGCGATGTGTCAACTGTGAAATTTGACAGAGAGAGAAAAGCATCGCGAACCGACAGTCACTTTTGCTCGCGAGCAGACGCGTTTGTCACGAAAACTATTTTTGTAACAAAAAATATATTTGCGCACGTTGTTTGCGGAGCGACTTTTGATTGTATCCGATAGAATACGGACTCGCAAAAGCGGTCCAGCTAGCGATTTTCCTCTTTCGAGGATTAATTGAGAGACGAGATTATATCGTTAAAAAAAAAAAAAAAAATTACTCTCGCGCGTATTTGCTTCTGACGCAACATACGCGTCGGAAACATGACACAGTTTTCTGTTTTCTCGCGCTCCGACTTGATTTCCCTCGCAAGTGGATATATACCGTTATTAATTATTATGCGCAAATGTGTAAAAATACCGAAGGACTCCGCTCTGTTCGACGAACGATATGAAAGTCGTAATTTCAACGCGCGTGACAGACGGAGAATAAGATCACGCGTGCGAAATTCCATCGAAGCACCGCCAATTTGCGGATGTTACTTAGTTTGCGCATCGGATTTGCGAGGCGGATAGTTTTGTTATCTAATTAGAATCGCGTTTCGTGGATGAGCTCATTGTATTTTACCAATTTTCACGGAACGTCATCGCGTGTGCGTACGACGTTCCGTGAAAATTTGTATGTTTCGCACGACATTTCCTCCATGTGGGGAAAAAAATGTCTTTCGCAATATCTTTCAGGAAAGATTTTGCGTACACACGCAATTTTCCCACAAACGAACAAGCGCCGCGTGTCTCGTCCGGTCTGTTCAAGGGATCGGCAAAAGTGATCCGATAATTTTGTCGTCGCGTTGCTACTTTTCTGACGTCATGGTCATTAATGATTTAACGATCCTGGCTTGTTTTTCCAAAGGTTCTCTTTGTTCGTTTTAACATCCGCGCGCCAAGTATTTCTGCGCGCGCGTATTGTGCATTTCTAAAAATATAATTGCTGAGAAATTGAAAACACAAGGATCGCTACTACCAATAAACTATAGGACGACGATATAAAATAAAATATTTTTTTTATTTATATTTCAAACCCGAACGTTTCGATCCTGTAAGCTTGGATCTTCATCGGCGTGTGCGCGCTATCGCACACTAACAAACGCAATTAATTAAACGAAGAAGAGATCTTTAAGATATTTCTTTTTTTGTTTGAAAACTTCTTCTTTTCAATTTACTGAAACTTTTGCGAGTCAAAATATTCGTTTGTCAAACGAATATTTATATATGTTTAATAGCGAGTTGTGTTAGTTCACTGCGCTCGTAACTTACTTTACGTAATACGAAAGCCGGGACACGTGACAAGCGTGAAGTAACTATAGCACACACACAGAATAGAGAATAGAACGAGTAATCTAATCGGAAAAGAATGACTTTATCCGAGTTTGCGGATTTGTTGACCAATCCGCGAGCGGGAAAAGATCTCGGCCTCGAGCCGCTGCAAGATGCAAGGAACACACACGTCGGATGTATATCTCTATCTCTAGTCGGCGGCACTCGGGATCCGCGCAGACACGCAGGTGTTCCCGTGTGTAAAGTTGCCGGTATCCGATCAACAACTTTATTGACCGGAAATCAATCTTTGTTTTCGCCGAAAGGGAAAAGGAAACTTCTTTTTCGTCCGTGTTCGCGCGATTTTCTACGCGCGGTTTGAAATTTTCGAAACGTAGTTAGGTGAGAAAAACCAATTGCGCGTCTAAATGAGAATCGCGAGTGATCGTTACGCGTTCCAGTGATTTCTTTATTGCGACCGTATCTAGTTTTTATTATTTTACGTGATCACAAAGAAAACACGGCGTCCTTTAGACAGCGCGCGCGCGCGCGCGCTATTGCTTGATTGAATAACAAGAATTTCCTTTTCTCTCCGAGACACGCGACGGTTTTTGGCTCAACGATTATTATTAAAAAACAACTCGGAACCTTTTTTTTTTTTTTACTTTCGAAAGAAGACTGACGACTATTTTTTCGCGCATCCGTCATGGCAAAGGAAAAAGTAGTAAGTGTGACGCGTAAGATTTTTTTTCGAATTATATTTGCAGAAAAAATCTGTGTGTGTATACAATATTTTTTTTTTTTTTTTTTAATTTTATTGTTTTTAATTTATATTTAATTTATTTCATTTTATTTAATTTCTATTTGAACTTTAAACAAATCAATATGTTCTTAACAATAATTTGCAAAATACTTTTTTTATAATTAATTTATTTAAGTTAACAATTTATTATTGATGTTTATTAATTTTAATTTTTTCAACGTAGAAGCTATTTTGTTTCTAGACACAAAGCGGATACGCAAACGAGGCTTTCCAGCTGAACGAATTCGATTCTCACGAGAATATTCCACCCGACTCGGCGAAACAGTCGGACAAACAACGGGAAGAAGATCCGGAAAATTCGGTGCGTACATCATGTCGAGAGATTGCAACTAACGTCGTTAATTGTGGATAATAATATTTTTTCAATCACATCACAGGCGATCGGCAAAGGAGCGGAATGGGGAGGCAGACTGGAGTTTCTGATGGCTTGCATAGCCACTTCCGTCGGATTGGGAAACGTTTGGAGGTTCCCGTTCACCGCGTACGAAAACGGCGGCGGCGCCTTTCTGATACCGTACATCATAGTTCTGATCCTGGTCGGGAAACCGTTTTATCTGTTGGAAGCGCTCATGGGACAGTTCACCAGCGAGTCGTGCGGGAAGTCGTGGTACATGGCGCCGGCCATGAAGGGTGAGAACCTGGAACTTCTTTCTTTGACGGTCGTGATTATTTTCTCCCGATGTTTTAGGACTGGGATACGCCCAGGCCTTCGCCGCGTTCTGCGTCGTCTCGTACTACTGCGCCTTGATGGCACTGACCTTGTACTATCTGGCGGCAAGTTTTCAGTCCGAGTTACCGTGGTCGATCTGTCGCACGGAGTGGCAGGATTGCATTGACATCAATTCGAACGGCACTAGTGTCTCGAACGACACACGAAGAAGTTCCGCGGAACTGTACTTCAGGTTGCGATTTTCTGACTTAGACGCGTGACAAGAGAAAGCAAATTATTTTCGTGGGAACAAACCAATAAAAATTGTTCTCGCGTAACTTTCAGGAAGATAGTGCTGCAGGAATACGAATCGATCGAGGACGGCATCGGCGCGCCGTCCTGGCAGTTGACAATCTGCTTGGTTCTCAGCTGGGCGTCCATCTTCGCGGTGCTGTTCCGCGGCGTGAAGAGCACGGGCAAGGCCGTCTACTTTCTCGCGTTGTTTCCCTACGTCGTAATGACGGCTCTGCTGATCAGAGCCGTCACCCTCGAGGGCGCCGTAAACGGCATCCTCTTCTTCGTCACGCCGAACTGGGAGGCCCTGTTGAAGCCTAACGTCTGGTACGCCGCTATCACGCAGTGCTTCTTCTCGCTGTCCGTCTGCTTCGGCCCGATCATCAGCTACTCGTCCTACAACAACTTCGGACACCGAGTGGACAGGTGGGAAACTCGCTGGATCTCTCTTGATTTCGGCAATAAATATTGTACTGTAGGTGTCGTGACTCCGCGTCGTTTCAGGGACGTGATGATAGTGACCACGTTGGACACGTTCACCAGTCTGATGGCCGGTTGCACGATCTTCGGCATCCTCGGTAATCTGGCTCACGAGATGAACACGGACGATATCTCCAAGGTGGTTCGCGGCGGAACCGGTCTAGCCTTCATCTCGTATCCGGACGCGCTGTCGCGCTTCAACGTCGTACCTCAGCTATTTGCCGTTCTGTTCTTCGTCATGCTGTTCGTCCTCGGCACCGGGAGCGCAGTCGCGTTGTGCGGCGCGATTTTTAGCATCTTTCGGGATAATCTGCCGAACGTGAAGCAATGGCTTCTGGTGCTCGGTGTCACCTGCATCGGCTTCCTCGTCAGTCTCATTTACGTCACGCCGGTGAGTCAAACTCATTTGATATATAGACAAGTTCAACGTCTGATATATCATCAAATGCTCAAATCGTCGAGCAGGGCGGGCAATGGTTTATAACGTTGGTCGACTACTACGGAGGCACATTCGTGGCGATAATCGTCGGCGTTCTCGAGATGGTGACCATCTTCTGGGTGTACGGTCTAACGAATTTTCTCAACGACATGGAATTTATGCTGGGCAAGAGATTGGGTGTCTATTGGCGAGCGTGCTGGCTTCTGATCACGCCTCTTCTCATGATCGTAATACTGATCTACACTTGCGCAACTTACGAGCCGCCCACTTACGACAACATTCGATTTCCAGATTACGCTTACGGTCAGTGAAATCTTTTTGCGATCTCAAATCGCCGTCGTGCGATACGCAGCAAAACACTGTTTGTCTTTCTTGTTTTTTTTTTAGGAATAGGATGGTTTCTCCTGGCTCTGGGAACTTCTTCGATAATATGGTTCATCGGTTCGAAAATAATTGCAAATAGAACATCGTCTTTTATTGAGGTAATTGCGCAATATTAGAAATAAAATTCGATTTTTTGAACACAATCTCGAAATTGGATAATTACTGACAAATAGAGGGTAAATTTAATTCTTGATTAATTAATTTCACAATTAATTTCTGTGAATGAATATAGTCCGTTCGAGCAGCATTTCGACCGGCGAAAGACAAATGGGGACCTAAGGATCCGAAGATACGCATGGAATGGGAGACGTTTGTGATGGAGAAGGAGTTTGGAGCTCAAACCGGTCTGATGAAAATATTTTTTAAATAAGAAAAAAAATAAACAAGCTCTTATTTATTACCTTGTTCTCTTCTTCTAAGTCAGTTATCTTTCACGCAGCAAAATGTAATTTATTTATCGTATAAGCCGTGTTGAATATTTAAAAAAAAGTTGTATATAAAATAAATACAATAAATTATTTTTATACAAATATAGTTGTACACATATTTTCAAAAACGCAATCTTTTCCATAAATATTTTCTTTTACAAATATTTTCCTCTTATAACGTCTTTGTTTTATTAAATTAATATCTTCGAGTGTCGTTTCACAAGTAATTTAAAAACAAAGTAACAAAATACGTTGAAAAGAAATAAAACGCGACGCTCGTAAAACTTTTGAAAATATATCGCTCGGCAGCACCTGCCGCCACAATAAAAGTTAGATACGCGAGGTGCACATCGTCTGATTTATGCTTCCGACTTGCGATTGGACACGATCGTTTTAATTATGCACGGATGTAATTACGAGTCGTCAATCAAATTACGTAAGATCTGGACAATCAGGTTTATGTAGCGCTCCGACATAATTTCTTCTTTGTTTTTTTTTTCTTTTCAGTTCTTCTTCCGTTTTGTGTCAACTCACCATTTCGTTAATCAGAAGGTAATCGAACGAAACGTATTTCTGAGGTGTACATATAGGAATTCCTTTTCTGACAACTCTTCTTGTTTGTTCACAAACACGTCGCTTGCGCGCAGTCGATGTAATTTACACTTGAACTCAATAAGTTTATTATTTGCACTTGAAGGAATTTGCGCTCGCGTTATGCAACAAACTCGTGAAATCATTGCTCGAGACTGCAAATAGTCAAGTGAATTCGATAATGAGAAAATAGTAGACCGATGAGAGCTGAAAACTCGAATAAATTAATTAGTCAAGTATGGAAAAGTATATTTAAGAATTTAATGAACTAATTGAGCTTCTCTTCTACCGTCGCGATTTTCTAAATTTACATGTAAATAAAACAGAAAATATTTCGACTTCCATTCGGTCTCTTTTCAAATTTTAACACCCGACGCAGTTAATTTATCGAATTTTTTCCGACGATCAAGTTTGATTTCTTGAGAAGAACGAGACGACAAATGGTGTGTGAGTCGAACTTTCACAATTTTAAAAATTAAACAAAACTCAACACATTAATATAATTGTCACAAATGATTTATTTGTATAAAGATCTTAAAACTCGAAAATTAAATCTCGTTAATTGAATTACCATATTTACGTGAGAATAATTTTTTTTTGTTTGTCACACATCAATCATCATTTATACGATTTAAACGAGCAATGCGATATCGCGCTTAATGATAATTGCAATGATTTAAGCTTTCACACGGCGGGTTACGGGTTTCACGAAACGACAAAAAAACATCGTCCCGACGAGACATTTAACATTAATCACTTTAGTTCCACCTCAAAGCGCCGTAGCGAAATCACATAATGGTTTAATGACGAAAACAATTAGGCGCGCGAGAGTTAATCGTTTCTCTTTGCGCTCGATTCGTCTTGTTATTAAATGTCATTCAGATTACTCATCGACGGCGGGGGCTTAAGCAGGTGTCTCGGTGCAGATAACGCGCGCGCACGGCGAGTGTAGCGTAAAATTAACGTACGCGCGAGAAAATAAAAACTATTCGATATTTCCGCGCGACATGTAAACGTACATTTGTATTGTATCTTGCCTCTCTCTCGAAACGTTCTCGCGCAAAGCAAGCGAATGACAAAATAAAAAAAAAAAAAACTAAAATTAAAAAAACAAAAGAAGAATCATCTTCGTTATTTGAAACAGCGATTATCACGACTAAGTACGGGTGAGTACTCGCGCGCGCATTTTAATCCGGACGTAAAAGAATCGCGCGTGCGAAGATCTACGTGGCGCGCGCAAATTCCTTAAGCAGTCTATCAAAGTCAGTCGTCTGAGGAAGACGCGTGTAGACTTTCGAAAAAAAAAAAAAAAAACGACAATTCAACAGTGTGGAAAATTATATTTTCACGTAACAGTCGACGTCGCAAAGCTCGTGCTCGAGACAATAAAACCAGCATGGGCCTTACAAAGGTTCGTCGCTATACAATACACACACGGTGTTACGACAGCGAAATTTCGCGCGACGAGATTCGTTTTTTGATTATTATTTCAAAAAAAAGAATGTGAGAAAAACAAAAAGAGAGACGGGAGAGAAGTGAATTGACTGAAAGTTTCATGTTGTTTTTCGCAAAATTTCGAAGGGCAACAAAATTAAAAATGACAACTTTTGATTTTTTATTTATTTATAAAACGCGTGTTCTTACGTGTGTGCTCGCGCGAAGATAAGATCTCTTAGCGATTCTTGTCGGAAGACAATTATTAAAAAATTAATCTACATTTGTATGCAATGCCGAGAGTGAGACTTTATTGGCACGAATATGAGTGCGAGTGTTTGCAAAGATACCGTATATACGTTTCTCCGATTCATCTTGTTTTCTCTCGTCTCTATTACTATTGTTTAATTGTCACTCTACATCCGAGAAACCGCAAATTAATTTATTGGACGCGCGTTATGTGTTTGTTTTATTTTAATAATCGCGTCTGTGTGCATGACGCATTTGTACGACACTAGAACTTTGAAGCGGTTTTGTCGTATAAAGACACACATGTCAATAATCGACTCCCGACTGGTAGAGTAGGTGACAAATATTGAGTGTATGTTACATTCGTAATTGTTTTACGCTCTTAACTATTGTACTATTATCGCCTACGTGTTTTAAACAATCTCGCTCGCTTCTCGGTTTCAATCGCCGGCAAACGATTTTGTGGTGCACATTCACAACTTCAACAATCTCTTGCGTTGAGAAGAACTAAAGAGCCTATTTTACTTTTAAATTATGTATATATATATATATATATATATATATATATATATATTTTAGTATATATTTTCAATTTCATATATTTTTTAATTGTCAAATTTGTGCGATTAACTTTGATTAAACTTGATTCCGAAACTTTTTATTGTTCTTTAATTATTCATTATTTTGTTGTATTGAAGAGAATCTAAAGTCGTTAATACTTTGTGAAAAAATAAAACAATTATGTAATAGGCACTAACTTGGTTTAACTGCCAAGTATTTTAATTATCTTGTTTTTTTTTTTTTTTTTTTATTTCCGAGCCGGTTTTACACTGGTACTTTGTGTATATTTTTAACTAATACGCTAAAACAACGGTATCGCTCTCTTTTTTTACCGACTGCTAGGCAATTAGATTAATTTGCTAAACGAAACTGCTGTTGTTGCACTTTTTATCCGGGATTTTCGCGATAAGATAAAGCGCGTACTTGGAAATAAACATCAATAATTTGTTAACAACAATAATTGAGTCACAATTGCAATAATCTGAACTATGTGCTCTACGTTATCGAGATTATGTGGAATATTTGTTTTTTTTTTTTTTACATTCGATAAAGAAGTTACAATTGTAATAATCTAAACTATGTGCTACGTTGTCGAGATTACGTGGAATATCTGTTTTTTTTTTTTTTTGTTGTTTTTACATTCGATAAGTGTTGCTGACAAATAAACGCTTTGCCGCTTAGTTGAACGATCCAAACCGGAATTTTTCCCACATTACGCAAGACGAGAACGCGTGTGACGCGATGACGTCGGGATATCGTGGTTTTACACGTAGCTTATGTTTTATGTAAAATCGGTGAACTGTTGAAATTTAAATGGAAACAGGATGTATCGCGAAACACTCGTTTGATATAACGTTTGTGGTTGAAACGCGTTGGAATTATTACGACGAGTTAAGCCACCCGTAAAGGCGATATATTTTTTCGCCAAATGTGTCCACACGCGCCTTTGTGCAAACGCGACGTTTTCTTCCTGTAATAATTTTGCAGGAAAATCCGATCGAAAGATCAGATCTCGTTGTGATCGCGCTGCAATCTTTTACGTGGAAACGGGATTTATCAGATAAGAAACAATTTTTTTCTAGAGCTGCGCTATCGATACGAACGAAACGCCGGGCATCTTCAAGATCTCACCTCCGTCGGACAACAGAAACGAGATCGACAACAGAGTAAGTGCGAAACAACATGTACGCAACGTGCTTTGAGAGTTTCTTTAAAAGTTTCCGAAAACGTTCGTCGCTCTCTTCGCAGATCTCGATATCGATCAGGGACGAGGACGAGAAAGACAACAGGGCGCAATGGGGAAACGCGGTCGAGTTTCTTATGTCCTGCGTCGCGTTCTCCGTCGGTCTCGGAAACGTCTGGCGATTCCCGTACACGGCCTACGAGAACGGCGGCGGCGCTTTTTTGATCCCGTACATAGTGGTGCTCTTCAGCATCGGCAAGCCGTTTTACTACATGGAGATGATTCTCGGACAGTTCACCAGCAGATCCTGCGTCCAGATCTGGTCCGTGTCGCCTGCGTTCCAAGGTAACGAGTTTTGTTCGAGTTTCACACACACCCGGAAAAAAAAAGTCCTTCATCTCACAGACGATCGTATTTAATCACTTGGATGTAAAATTATATTGGTCTATGAAGGACTTTTTCCGGACCCAGATTTTATTACACGCAATACGCGCTCCAGGTATCGGCTACGGCGTGGCGGTGTCGGTGTTCTCTGTGATTACTTACTATTGCGCTCTGATGGCCTTGACACTTTTTTACCTGGTGGCCAGTTGTCAGTCGGTTCTCCCGTGGGCCTATTGTTGGGATGAATGGGGCGAGGATTGTTTCGACAGCACGTCAGCCAATGGAAAAAAAAACGGAAGCAGTTCCGCCGATCTGTATTTCAGGTACATAAACTTTTTGCGCAATATACAAACGGAGATTTATATATAGGACATCCTTTACCGATTTATTACTTACCGTGCCGTAAACTGTCCGGAACAAAATTCTTCGTACGTGAACAAATTCTATAATTATTAATTTCTATAATTATTTTCTCTATCTAGTTTGTATATTTATTTTATAGAATTTTATTTTATAAATAATCAGATACAGAATTTGTTCATAGAAAAAACTTTTTTCCGGGTATCATAAAACTCCTTCACAGCTGCAGCCGGTTATTCGCGCGAGAAAGAGAGAGACTCGTGAAATATTTATTGTATTGTTAAACGAGTGTTTTTTTTTTTTTTTTTTTAAGAAAAAGATTTTTAGTTCGAAAGAAACATTTCCAGTTGTCTATATATGTTTAGAAAGTATGTTCTCAATGAAGCGGGAATCGAGAACGGACTCGGCTTACCTTCGTGGAAACTGGTGCTGACGTTGTTCGTGAGCTGGATATTCGTCTTTTTGGTGATCTGCAAAGGCGTGAAGAGCACCGGCAAAGCGGCTTATTTCCTGGCTCTTTTCCCGTACGTCATCATGATCACACTTCTGATCAGAGCGGTTACGTTGGACGGTGCGGTGGACGGTATCATCTTTCTCTTCACCCCCGTGTGGCACAAGATTCTGGAACCGTCGGTCTGGTACGCCGCTGTCACTCAGTCGTTCTTCTCCCTCGGCGTTTGCTTCGGGGCTGTGACCATGTATTCGTCCTACAACAATTTCGATCACAACGCGGCTAGGTAAAGAAAATATTTCCGAACAATCTCGTAGAGCGCGTAAATGGTCGTACAAACACGTTTAAGTCTTCATCTGTATTATTTTGATAACAAAAATAATATATTTTGTCACATTGTTTTATATTTTTTATTTAAATTTTATTATTGCTAGACACAGACGCAGAAAGAAATTTATCTGCGGTAGCAGGTCGGAAAAGAAATCTAAATAAAAACAGCAAACCCAAATCAAAATATAAGATGCAAAATAAATAAAATCACGTGCATATAAATTAAACAATTTGCAATAGAACAAACCGAGCAAAATAACAATTACATTAAAAAAAAATTGAAAAAATTAAAAATAAATTTAAATTAAATGTCACGAAATATAATTGTCCAAAGAGACTGCACGATCGTGACGACTCTGGATCTCTGCACGAGTCTGATGGCGGGAACGACCATTTTCGGGATCCTGGGCAATCTCGCTCACGAGACCGGCAGCGAAGATATCAGTACTGTCGTTCGCGCGGGGACCGGTCTGGCCTTTGTGTCTTATCCGGAAGCATTGGCGAAATTCACGGTGATACCGCAGCTTTGTGCGGTGCTCTTTTTTCTGATGCTCTTCGTGCTGGGTATAGGCACCACCGTTGCCTTCTGCAACGTCATCATCAGCATCGTAAACGACCAGTTTCCACGGCTCGATCAGTGGAAAATCGCGGCCGGACTTTCGATCCTTGGCTTCGGCTTCGGAATTGTTTACTGTACACCCGTGAGTGTTGCGAGAAAAATAAAAATAAAAAAAAATATATATATATATATATATTTGTGCGCACTTCCGATATTGTCGATATGTTATTTTGTCGATAGGGTGGCCAGTACATTTTGAATTTGGTGGACTATTTCGGTGGGACCTTCATTATCGTGTTTCTGGCCTCGTTCGAAGTAATAGCCGTTTCCTGGGTTTACGGTAATGACAGACATGTCTCTCTGCAAAGCCGTAACGAGAACCGTAACTCACTTTGTTTTTTTCAGGCGTTGATAACTTCATGGACGACATTGAGTTCATGGTGAAACGTCGACCGTTCTTCTACTGGCGATTTTGTTGGTGCTACCTGACTCCTATATTTCTGTTCACCATTTTAATTTACTTTTTGATCAACATGACGCCGATCATGTACAACGGCGAGTACTATCCGACATCAGCGTACGGTACTGACACGTTATCTTTCATATAAATTTGTTTTCTCTTATAAATGTCTAAATAAATGTGCAAAATAAATTATAATGGCAATTAAGATACAAAATTAATTAGAATACTCTTATTGCAAAATTATTTTTTGACTTCATAGTTGCGGGCTGGATTCTCTTGGCCTTGGGAATAATTCCGCTTCCTCTGGGCATGATCGTCGCCGGAATTCGAAATAAAAGAAAGTCGTGCTTAGATGTAAGTAAACATTTACGTTTTATTTAGAACATAAATTTTTTTACATGAGTTGTGTTTACGTGTGTGTGTCATAATCTAAACTTATGATATAATTTGCTACTTTTCGGTTTTCAGATGTATAAGCCGAGCGCCGATTGGGGCCCAAAAAACTCTAAAAAATATGACGAGTGGCGGGACTTCAAACATGCGAAAAACATAGCACGACTCGGCGCTAAAAAATCGAAAGTTATAGCTGCGCTGGTTGGCAAAAATTGATGTATGTAAATAATAATAAGATAAGAAAAACTAAAAATAATAGTAAAACTACTTGTATTTTTTGTATATTTTTAAAATACAAAATGGATCACAATCACGAGTAAAAAACATTCAGTATCGGCGACTCTTTGTCATATGTTACACATAGTGCAACATTTGTATTTAGAAAATTTAAGGACGGAAGTTGCTGAAAGTTTCAAGTCTCCAGACGCTTCCTAACTATTAAGCCGCGACATTTAAATGCGTTTTGAACATGAGTTGCACAAATTGCGCAATGTGTGTTTCTCTCCCCTCTTCTTTATTCTGTAACCTGTAACGACATTTTCGTTATAATTGGCACAACGTTGCGCGATTGTTCCGTTGCACATTGCATCGTGCCCGCGCAAAGATTCGTTTAACGCATGCGTTTCGATCATATATAACGAATGCGTTAAAAGTTACAAGAACTGACCCGTCAGGCCTCACAGAGGCAGAGAAACTGTTCAAAACTGTTTTTTCTATTTGGGTTCTATGTTCAGAAGAACATAGAATATTTGTTTCCATCTCGGCTGCGTTCTCATCTGTTGAATTTGCGCCCTTTCTTCTTTAAAGATCTCCCAATTCTTACGTTGCTGCACTTCTTGCGGACCCCATCTGCTCGCGGGCGCGAAGGCTTTCTTCACCATCTTAAACAATATAACGTGTGTGTGTTAAGTTAATCGCTTTTTCAAATTTCATGTTTAAAACATAGCAGCAATAAGACAATCTTCAAATATATAAGATCGGACTGTGAATATATTGGCTTGAGTCAGAGTTACCTGTAAAAACGACAATTCGCGATTCTTCAGCATCGCAATTATCATCCACAGCGGTATTTGAAGAACTCCGATACAGAGTATCGTCCATCCAGCTGCGTGCGCAGATCCCGGGAACGATCTTCCGCCGTAGGTTAACGGCGTCAAAGTGGCTACCGTGTAGATAAAAATTGCAATCAAGATCAACGGTGTTATTACAAACCAACAAATCCGCCAGTACACGCTTACTTTCCGATCCAGCATAAACTCCACGTCCTCTAAGAAGTTTTCGAAACCTGATGAATATAAATAAATTATTATTAACTAAATTATAATTAATTATTAAAAACTAAAACACGAAGTTTCAAAATGATAACTTGAAAATACAGAATTTTTTTTACCATAAATCCACACTACTCCGGTCATCTCAAACGAAGCTAGAATAAAAACGACGAATGAAGTGCCGTAATAGTCCACTAAAGTTAAAATAAATTGACCGCCCTGAAAAATTCGCATTTGTTTTACAACACGTTAAAATTATTTTACAAATATTCGTCGACTTACAACAAAGTTTCTCGATAGCAAATTAAATTTAACGCCAAACTATTAGTACCATTTTAAATCTACAACTTGACATATTGATGTATTTTTTTATTTTTAAATAAAAATGTATTTTAATGACAAAAAAAAACTAAACTTGTCGAAGTGGAACTTGGCGCGAGTCGAGAGATTTTATTTTAAGTCTGTGATCTTATTTCGTTTCGAAGAGTTTTACTAACCGGTGTTACGTAAACTGTGCCGATTAAAAATCCCAAGAAACAAACCGGAACTACGGTTTGCCAAGTGTTTGATTTGGGAAATTGCTCGCGTATCACAGTCATGATTCCCGTCGTCATACCCACGGCGCTTCCTACGCCGAGCACAAACATCATCACGAAGAACAACACGGAGAACAGCTATAACCGAAACAAAAAACAGGTCGTTTGTTTTAGGGAGAACGTTAAGAATTTTTTGTTCTCTAAACAATGCCATAAAATAAATGTATTTTGTTACTTAGACTTGTTCCCTTTTTTTTTTATAGAAACTAAATAATTAAGAAATACCTGCGGAAGAACGTTGAACTTTGCTATTGCGTCGGGATAAGATATAAATGCCAAACCGGCTCCACCTCTGACCACTTTGGATATGTCCTTTTCTCCTAATTCGTACGCCAGGTTGCCAAGGATCCCGAATATCGTGAAGCCTGCCAGCAAGCTCGTAATCGTATCCAGCGAAGTAATTATTAAAACATCTCTGTGTGAGTGATTAATCAAACGTGAACGAAATTCGGAAACCCATAATTAGACAGAAAGTCTTAAAGTAATGAAATTGTCATTAAGAAGTTTTTAATTACTTAAATTAGTTTTTAATTATCTACATTTATTGTATCTAATAAAAACCACTAATTATTGTTTAAGTTATAAGAAATGCGTGATTGTTTTTAAAAACGATACACACAATTTTTCTTGCGTTTATTCTTTTTACCTGTAAATGTTGTGTTTGAATTCGTTGTGCGAGGAATACGTGATGATGCTGCCGAAGCAGACGGAAAGCGAAAAGAAACATTGGGTTACAGCGGCGTACCAAACGTTCGGATCCAACAGCTTAGACCACTTCGGGGTGATAAAATAGAAGATTCCGGCCATGGCGCCGTCCAATGTGACCGCACGAACGAGCAGAGCGATCAACACGACATACGGAAAAATAGCCAAAAAGTAAGAGAATCTTCCTGAACTCTTGACACCCTGAAACAATACTGCGCAGACAGTCATCCAGCTGCCAAGAAGACAGAGCGTCAGTTTCCAGTTTGGCCATCCGATCCCGTCGTCGATGCTCTCTTTTTCGTGCAAAACCACTCGTCTGTAAATTGTTTTTCTCTTTATCTTAAATTTATAGGAGAGAGAAAAACACAATGTAAATTGTTTTTCTCTTTATCTTAAATTTATAGGAGAGAGAAAAGAATTTTTCTTGTCATATCAAATTACTACATCAAAAAAAAAAAAAAAAAGATAAGATTCCTTATCGCGATATTATCGAAACAAGATAGATCTCACTCACGTGAAATACATTTCGGCCGAACTTTGAAGCTTGATGCTGCTGTTTAGGAAATTGAAAGGATTTACATCTTCTTCCGTTGCATTAAGATCGACGCTGTGATTTCTCTTGGTGATGGAATTGATGCACATGTCGCCCCAATCTTCTTGACAAGTGGCCCACGGCAATTCGGACGAGAAGGATGCGATTAAATAATAAAGCGTCAACGCCATCAGCGAACTGTAGTAGGTCGCCAGTGCAACAGTAGAACAGAACTGTGCCCATCCGACTCCTGTTGATGTAACAATTATCTATTTTCTTTTTTTTTATCAAGTCAACGCGCAATTGTCAGAAAATTTGATCAAATCACGAGAAAAAAACTAAAAACTTGAATTAAAATTTGAAGGAAAATAAAAGTTTTTCGCAGCAACTCGAGATTCTCTCAGTTTGCTATTTTTTTTTTTAATAGGAAAACAATAAAATTAATTACCAACAAAACCCGGAGACATGGCCCAGACTTTGACGGACGAGTTGCCGGAGAACTGTCCGATGATCATCTCTAGAAAGTAAAATGGTTTTCCCACGAGGAAAAGCAAGATCACGTACGGAATCAGAAAAGCGCCGCCGCCGTTTTCGTAAGCGGTGAACGGGAACCGCCAAATGTTTCCGAAACCGACCGACACGGCGATACATGACATGAGAAATTCTATGCTGTTGTTCCACGTTGTTCGTTTTTTATTCGGTTTGTCTCCGATCTCCGATAGCGAAACTCCAGGATACGTTCTCTCCCCATTTCCGATGGCATGTAACTCGGTTATTTGGAAGACGGTGTTGTCAAACCCTTGCTGCTTTTCATTCTTCTGTAATTATACAATTCCTCGTATTGTGTATGACTATTAACAACTCGTGTATCTACATATATATATATTTTTTTTTCACATGAAATGGCTCACATTTCCGATACACAAATAACAGACATGAGACAAGAATGACGTAAGCTGATTAGTTTGATTTTACGTTTGTCGTCTTAACTACCTTTCGCATACAAACTCCAAAAATAACTACTGGCAATACAGACTGGGTCTGTGAGACCTGCGCGACTTTAAAATCGATTATTTCCGCAAAAAAAATCAATATTTTTAATTTTTGTCCTTTTGAATCGAAAGCTTGAACGATTCCGCGTCAATAAAAAAAAAAACTAGTAGTTTTGAAGAGCGTTCAAAGAAACCTAATAATTTTCACAAACTGTTAGCTCATATAAAGATAAATATAAACTAAAATATATAAAATAATAAACATATAAAATAAACAATAAAATATACAAAATAAATAATGAAATAAATTAAAAAAAAAAAAATCAGTAAAAATTAATGTAGCAAATTTATGTGCGTATAATAATAGAATAGATGTTAGGATGACGATGATAATAGTGTTAGGTTTTAGATATTCTCTCGGAAAGACCCCGAGAACAATGTAAAGATATCGAGAGCGACGAGTTTATTATCGCGAATACCCTTGCGCGAGAATCCCTCACGGATTACTCGGCAAACATCGGAGTATTATTTATCGTGCCTTGAAATTACAGACTGATCTCGGACGAGAGAGAGAGAGAGAGAGAAAGACAGATGTTCTTGTTAACGATCATAAAACGGGATCATTTTTCATCCCGCTATAAAAAAAATGATACTCGTGACATTTGCGCGGGTCTTTTGCGCTTCCTTTTTTATCGCAAAACACGTGCGCGTGTATATTAAACTTCTTGCACCCAGTTTTTACTTGCAGTACTTAAAAATCTATCCCTCGGTACACACGCGCAAAAACGTATCTTCCAAAGCAAAACGGAAACACAACGGCCTTAGGATGACTTTCACCTAAGAGTTACGAGACACGTGACGGAAAAGAAACCGACGACAACGACGACGATCTTACGGGAGAAAGAGAGAGAGAAAGAGAGAGAGAGAGAAAGAGAGATGCGTCTTAAAATGACTCAGAAAAGATTACCAAACGCGATAAAGATCACGAATTATAAAACAAAGGTTATCGAACTTTTGCCCGGTTTGCGTCTCGCAAATTCCTTTCGGATGATCTTCGGCAATTTTATTGTTATCGCGTTCAAATTTACATTTTTTGCGCGCGCGCGCACCTCACACTTCGATCAGTCCCCGCACACAGCTGAGTTAACAAACCACGTGTTAATTTATAAAACTAATAAATCAATATTATTTTACAAATTATGCAACAAATCAATCAATTGTTACTTTGTTCAACAATCAAATCATATCTTCAATTTTACATCATCATCAACAGTTTTGCGTTTTTAATTTTTTTTTACACTTACTTCGTACATAGCGAACTCCGTACAAAAGCCAAACACACGTTGGAACTTGCGACGTCGTATATCGGCGCGAGAAACCTCGGCACTAGAGAATCAAAACGAGCAAATCCGGTATCCTCAACGTGACGCTCTACCGACAAGAACTGGCTGGGAACTCGAAGTGTTGTCATCGACACGAGTCACACGGAAAACGCTTTATAAATAAAAACGACAACTATTGCCGCTGTGCGTACACCTCAGGGCGGCTGGTGATGGAACACTGCGTGCGCTTAAAACGCGACGACGATCTATCTATTCGTCTAAATAACAAACTGCCAGGTAGGAGCGCGGTAGTGTGTGAATCATATGACGACGTGTAACGTGAAAGGCTAATTACACACTTCTGGACCAGAAACGCCGCTCAGAGAGAGAGAGAGAGAGAGAGAGAGAGAAGCCGGCCAGAAATAAGAGGGGTGGGTAAAGACGCATATGTGTCCGTGGTGGGAAGAGACGTAAAATTTACGAGAGGGAAAAATTTCAAAAGTAGGAAAAAAAAAGGGAACTTCTCTATTTCTTTCCCCTTCTCTTTCTGAGAAAGAGCGATTGCGCACAAAGATACTTCTTGCTGTTTGAAAAAAAAAGAAAGGGATAGATTTAAGAAAAAAAAATGCCAGAACTGCAAGAACGTACAATACATGTAAGAAACATGTGGAAACTGGAAATTCCGCTTTTTGCCCCCTCTCCCGCAGGGCAAGTAAGAAATTATGGAGGGGTTATCTTACTGTAGAGTCATACTTATGTATATATATGTATATATATATATATATATACATATGTTAAATAACGTAAGCAGGATAAAGCGTGATGTTTTCGTGATTGATTCCTTACTTCCTGTTAAAATACACGCAAGATCTTTTTTTTTCACGGAAATTCTCGTCTCATTAGTTGACGCAAAAATGACTGAGAAAAGAATCTTGCGTGTATTTTAAAAGGAAGTAAGGAATCAATCACGAAAAATCGCGCTGTACATCCTGCTTACATTATTGAACACGATTTGCTACGTAAATCTTAAAGGTCGTTCTACGAATTTCACGACTACATTGTCGGAAGAATTGAGAAAGAGCGTTTATATTTTAGTCACAGTGAAATCAATAGAAAAACGACGAAAAGAATGTTCTTTTCATTTTTTCTTACATCCATTTTAGATTTTGACATACCTTGCGATTTCTGCTTTTGACGACTTTGCGACACTGATTGGTTGCACGGGCATAATGTAGAACGACCTTAGAAGAAAAGTGTGGGTATAGATGTAGGTAACGAAAGAGAAGAGAGAGAAAGAGAGAAGAAAAAAAATAAAGATGTGACATATTTACTATTTAAAATAAAAAGATACAGGTTACAAAGAATCTATGTGCAGATGTAATAAATAGTTTATGAAGAAAACTGCAAAATATTAATTTTTAAAATAATTCTGACAAATATTAACACGTTATTTATTTTATATTATTGTTTTAATTATATTATATTAATAACATTAATGTTAATAATATCATTATTTTCTATTTTTTCGTATTAAAAAACGTAATTTTTAAATTTTTTAAATAATAAAATAAGCGGAAAAATTGTAATTTTGTAATTCGAAAATTTTATTATTCATTCTAACTTATTTATATATGCGCGTTAATTTTGTTTGGTTTATTGAGTAGTTATACATCGACAAAATAACGTTTTCGATTTTGGTGATTGTTCGCAATTTGGAAAAGCAACACACGTCGTCTTTGATTTATCTCCGTTATGCACATTGTATTTATCTCGTGATTCATTCGTATTCGTACGATGTTCCATTTTCCTAATAACGGCGAAAGCAACCGTACTGTTACGTAAGCAAACCGTAAGGACGACTGCATTCCCACGCGAAACATTATACTACGCAAACCTCCATTGGATGTTCATTAGTCACATAGACGTTATGAGCGTCCGTTACGTGTCTGCTAATGGACGTTGTGTATGTGTGTCAGTTGCAATACACACACATCATCGTCAAGATAATGTCACGTATTAAGATATATGCGCGCTGTATATAGTATATATAAGTACAATGTCGAGGTTTCACCGTCGCGAGCGCAAAAAACACGTGAACGCGCTCGCATTTTCCTTGAACCATCGATTTTGTTTCACTTTCGAATAAATACATTGTGCGAATCAGACGGAATTGCCTCCGAGCGAGTCACCGTTGCGCTCGACATTCCGGTTATTATTTTTCTCTTCCGTTTCACGAAAGTCTCGGAATTCCAGCCACTTCCTTCGATCTTCCGCATTGCTCGGACCCCACGACTTCAGAGGCCGAAAGGCTTGCCTTATCATCTGAGAAATGAGAATCAAACTCACGGATTGTATTGTATAATGTTATTACTTGCAACAATGACTCACGTACTTCTTGAAAACGAAGATGTCTCTTTTTTAGCATCTCTATGAAGATCCACAAAGGTATTTGTAAAACACCGACGAAGAACAGGATCCAACCTACAACTAGATTAATACAAACGCGTAAAACAAATAAGAATTTTTGAACACACACTTATTATTAGTATTATACATATTTATCGTTTTGTAAAATAAATATTTTTTTCCGGACAACTTCGACGTTCTTTTATTTGGAGACTTCTTTTGTTTACCTACCGTAAGCTGAATCAGGATAAAAAACATTGTTGTACTTCAACGGTTCTGAAGTGACTAGTGTATATAGAAAGATTACGAGAAGTATGGTGGGAGTGACGACGCTCCAGCAGAGTCTCCAGAATATCGACATTCGTCTGTTCAGCATAAATTCAATGTCGTTCAAAAAGTTGTCGAGTCCTGAAACGATTAAAATTCGCATTCTCTTTGATTTTTTATCTCATGTTTGACTTTTGGTTTTTCTCAATTCGTATATAACATGAGATATCGCACGATAAACAAAACGTACGAGCGTACCGTACGACCAAGCGACGGCTATCGCCTCGAACGCAGCTGGCAAGAAAGCGACAAACGAGGTCGTGTAATAATCGGCGAAGGTTACCATGAACTGACCTCCCTGAGAAAGAAACATTTCGTGTTCAATTAAGATAACGATGTTCTGTCTATAAAAACTCGATCGTAAATCATGTTTTAATTAGCGTACCGGTGTGACGTATATCAGACCGATCAAGAACTCGCAGACGCAAACCCCGGCTGCTACGCGCCGGTAGCTGACCTTCGGAAACTGATCGCAAACAACCGAGATCACACCGGAAGCGAGTCCGACCTGGCTGCCGATTCCGATAACGTACAGCATCACGAAGAACACGACGCCGAAGAACTGCGGCGCGACGGTGAATTTGGAGATCGTCTCCGGATAGGAGATGAACGCCAATCCGGTGCCGCCTCGGGCCACAGCCCCGACATCGTCGGTGCCCAATTCGTGGCTGAGATTACCCAGAATGGCGAATATCGTGCAACCCGCCAGCAAACTGGTGAGGGTGTCCAGAGTCGTTACGATCGTCGCGTCTCTGTAATACGTAAGAAAGAAAGAAAAAAATACTTCACGGGATCGGGGACGAGTGTTCGTTTATGTCCTTCTTCTCATGTTTAAAACATGAAGACGCGTATACGCGCGTATACGTCACTAAAACACGTATTTGCCTACTCTCGCGTGTATGGGTTTTACATCTAACGTGTTTCATGATACGGAATGTACAATTTCGTGATCAATTCCGATCGGAATAATTTTTAATTTGTTTTTTTTTTTTGTTTTTTTAGGAAGAGAAAAAGAGAAAAACAATAATTATTATCGAAATCATTCCGCGTCGGAATCTCCAAAGAGTCGCAACCACCTTGGACGTCGTCGATTAAATTTCGTTTTGAAACAATTCCGTAAACGATATTAGAAGAACTTAAACACGTTTTTTTTTCCTTGGAAGCAAGGACAACTTTGTTGTGTAACCATCCGAAGTAGACCATTTTTGTAATCTGTTATGTACATTCGAACAAAGATAACAATCGTATCGGAATGCATCCGAAATTCTTCCGATATCTCTCTGAGGTAATGGCTTTTTCTTATCATGAATAATCAAAAAATATAAACAATTTTATCGGCGTAAAAACAAACCGAAATGAGTGACGACATCACTTCGACGTGTCTTCGAAAACAGTCGATTGAATTTTTCGAAATAATTTTTGAGAATAATGATAATAATATACATAAGACTCACTCGGATTTGTCTTTTCCTTGAAAGTAAGGACGACCGAGTAACTTATTATAAAACGCAAAATGTGAAGATAAACATAAATAATGATTGAGAATTTATCGCGCAAAGATGTGTGTTAACGTAACGTGCGCGATAAGTAGCGCGCGTACACGTGTACGTACTAACCGGTATACGTCGTGGTGGAACTTGTTGTACGAGGCGAACATCGGGACAGACCCGAAACAGATAGTCAGCGAAAAGAAACATTGCGCGACCGCGTAGTACCAGATACTCGGCGACAAAAGCTTCTCCCACGTCGGGGTGACGAAGTACAGGATACCGGCGACGGAACCGTTCAGGGTGACCGCTCGCACGAAGAGCACGAGGAGGACAACGTAAGGAAATATCGCCAGGAAGTACGCGGCCTTGCCGGTACTGCGAACGCCGCGTATTATCACGAGGAAGATCGTCAGCCAACTGAAAAGAAGCGCGACCGAGAGACGCCAGTCCGGCACACCGATGCCGTTGTTGATGTTAGCCTTCTCCCGCAGGACTTCCTTGCTAGTCATCAAACATAATTACCATATAATTGTATCTTTCCGTCAATTATTTCGATTATTCATTCAACAAACTGAAGAAAATCCTAAAAATAGAAAAAAAATAAAATAAAATAAAACACAAATTGAAAAAGAAATTAAAAATGTCTAACAAAAGCAAAAGCGGATTAATTTGTGTAATTAAATTTTATCGTTTCGTTATTTCGTTATCATTGTGTCAACGTCTTATCAAACGCGAGATAGACGTGACAAAAACTGGAAAAGTGACTTGTCGATTAGGCATTAGATATGATTTACTAGAAATATAATTCGGCGGAGCTGGAATAGCTGACATTTTCGATCTTGATGCTGTCGTTTCCAGGCAGAGAGTCCACGCAGAATTCGCCCCATTCCTCCCGACACTTGCCCCACGGTAATTCCCCTTGAAAACTGATGACTAAGTAAAACAGCGTCAACGCCATCAACGAGCAGTAATAGGACGTCAATATTATCTGCATCATAAACTGCGCGATTCCGATGCCTGTAACATTAATTCGAACCAATGCGATTTTATTGTCTGCGAAAAAAAAAAATAATTTTAACAAATAGTCGTCGAGTATTTCTGAAATATTATAAAAAATACAAATACATAGATAAAATTAATTTGATTTTTATTTCAATTGTTTTTCAACATAACTCAACAGAGAGAGACGTCACAGACATATTCTCTTAATGTAACAATAAAATGAAAGTTTCAAGGTAAAATTAAAAAAATTGTATAAATTAATAATTTCGATACGAGTAACTCGAACCGTAAAAAAATACAAATTTACCTCTGAATGCGGGCGAGAGATCCCAAATTTTCACGGCCGATCGGCTGCAAAATTGGCCGAGCATCATTTCGAGCAAGTAAAACGGCTTTCCCACCACGAGCAGAACAATGATGTACGGTATCAGGAAAGCGCCTCCGCCGTTCTCGTAAGCCGTGAACGGAAATCGCCAGATGTTACCGAGACCGACCGACATTGCGATGCAGGACAGTAGAAATTCCCGACTTTTCTCCCATTGCTGTCTCTCTGGCTTTATGAAACAGAGAAACAAAAAAAACGAATCACAAACAAAAAGTTACGCGCAAAGAAAAGAGAAACTATTCTATAATCTTTTTTTTTTAAATCCTACAATATTTATATTTCGCATTACAGAGTGAAAAAACCACATTGTTGTAGTTTTATTATTACGCGCAATTAAAACACCATGTTGTTCGTTATTTTCAAATAAATAAGAGATAACTAGATACCGCTTTGTGGATAGATCGATTAACTTCATCCCCATTTGCCGTCTCGTCTATAACGAAAGCGGGATTTATCGCGCCGCTCGAGGCTGTAAACGTCTGAAACACAAAATCGCGCGCAATCAAAACGAGTTAAAACGTTAAAATCTGCTATCTGCTTTTTTTCCCTCGGTGTATACCTTTTGGCTCATTTGCGAATTTTGCGTGTTCTTTTCCTTTGAATTCGTTTTGATTCGTTTAACACTACATATACATATATATATATATATTTACATGTGATTTTTTCAATTCAACGAGTTAACAAAACGATAAGATAATAAAAATGTAGACAATCAATTCGTTCACTTGAGCGACGTGTCGATATACATATGTATGTGCGCTAGAAGGACGCACACTCCGTCGAGAATCGCGAGAAAATCGAGACTGAGACTGTAGTAAATATACTATTTCGAGAAGATCTAAAAAACTTACAGCAATACACAGAATATAAGATAACACGCGATCGTTTAAGAATATCTCAAACAATGTTTTATGAACCGAATGAAAAGAGATAAATGCACACGACTCCATAAGTGTATCACAAATATACACATCGCAAATACATATTGCAAGTCCTGTTTGAGCGTTTGAGGGAAAGAATTAAAAATTTCATATTTGATGCTTTCGCGGTGTGTAGTATTAACATAAAAAGATGTTTTTTCGGGTTTGAACCGCGTTAGTGTCATTTTTATACCGACGTTTCGTGAACATTACAGCTCACTTCATCAGGGTTTGAAGACCAGCCTGATACTCAGTATCAGTATTTGTATGTTAAATTAAAAATTTCATCAAATCTTTCAAGTAATCTCTCAATTTTTTTGGCGACACGTTCGAATTGCGGCTAAAAAAACATTCCGAGTGTTTCGTATCTTCCGCCAACAATATTCGACGATTTAAAAAAAAAAAAAACAAAACCGGTAAATCGTTTAGATATTAAATATTTGTTTGACGACAAAAAAAATGTGAAATAACAAACTTGCGATTTCAATTTTAATTCGATCTCGAGAGACGGACAGCGCAAAGATATTTCAAAATCGTCACACCACAATCGACGAAACACAAAATTCCCCAACAATTCTGACCGCGCACGCGCGTTAGCGCGCGGTAAACATCACCAGAAATGTCATCTGTTCTGTCACATTCGCATTGCCACGAGATTTTCGTAACACGCGAGTCGAATGTATCGTTTATTTATTTCTTTATAAAATAAATTACGCCCGTAGTACGCGATGGAGAATCACGAGGAAGACGATTTGGAGGAACTACGCTCCACGGTCTACACGTTTCCACCGAGCGTGCAGAATGTGATCGAACAGGTTAAATTTGTCATAATTTTGTTGTCACAATCTTCTCGCGCAATGACAGCTTTGTATTTTTTTCTATGTCTGTCTTTCTTTGAGATTTTTTTGACATTTTTAAATCTAGCCTAGCTCTGATTCCCATTTTATATTTGTACAACATATATTGACTGTATTTATTACATTTATTGTGTACTAATTTGTATATTCTTGTTGTTAGGTTTTGCCTAGCACCGACCCATTAGACCAGTCCAATTTCAATGTGGTGGATTACATAAATTGTCTGTTCCCTACCGAACAATCGTTGTCGAATATAGACGACGTGGTGAATCAAATGGAAAGCAAAATACACGCTATCGACAAGGAAATAAGATCGGTCGTACGTGGCCAAACGAATGTGGGCCAAGATGGTAGAGCGGCATTGGAAGACGCGCAGAAAGTGATAAGGCAATTATTTATTCACATAAAAGACATAAAAGACAAGGCGGAGAAGTCCGAAGAGGTGGTCAAAGAAATTACAAGAGACATCAAGCAGTTGGATTTTGCCAAAAGAAACCTGACCGCCTCGATAACAGCGCTGAATCACTTGCACATGCTTGTGGAAGGGGTCGATACTTTAAAGTACAGTATTAGAATTTATCAATATTACAAAATGTGAACTTTCAATTGTCTAAAACTTATTTGTCAATTTTGTATTTGATCGTTCCAGAATATTAACTCAAAAGAAACAATACGGAGAAATTATTTTGCCACTGCAAGCAGTGATGGAGGTGATGCAACATTTTAATAGCTACATGGACATACCGCAAGTGAAGCAATTATCTGATCAAGTAAGAATATAAAGCAAAGAGTTTTTATATAATTTGTAATTGTTTAAAAAAAAAATAAAAATTTTTTTTTTCTATTTTTTAATCACACAAAAAGGTGCGACAGATCCACATCGAGTTGGCTCAGCAGATCACAGCGGATTTTAAGCAGGCTTTTTCAGGCCAAAATCCAAAGCATTTCAATCACTTGACGGAAGGATGTTTGGTACTATCCGTGTTGGATCCTAAAGTAAAGTACGTATGTTACTTAACTATAAAAATCAATATAAATAATTGAGAATATAATAATGTACAAATATATTTCATTCTTTGTTTTGTTTGCAGAAAGGATCTGCTCGTCTGGTTTGTGAATATCCAGCTGCAAGAATACGCACATCTGTTTGACGAGAATCAGGATTTCGCTTGGTTGGACAAGATAGATCGACGATACGCGTGGATCAAGAAGCATTTGCTTGACTTCGAGTCGAAGTTCGGTTCGATTTTCCCGCCCGATTGGGAAATTTCTGAACGAATAGCCGTGCAGTTCTGTCACGTTACGCGTGAAGATCTCACGAAACTGATGAACAAGAGACGCAGCGAAATCGACGTTAAATTGTTGCTTTACGCGATTCAGAGAACCAGCAACTTCGAGTCGCTGTTGGCGAAGCGTTTCATCGGCAGCACTTTAGAAACTGTCGATACTACCAAACCTACGACGGTCACCAAGGAAGTGACCGAAAAAATTCCGGGAAATCCGTTCGAGGAAGAAAACGAGAAGGTACGGCAAATTTTTTTCAAACTTGAATGTTACATACGCATACATATATCATTCGTGTATTTTACCAGATCGAAGATGAAAAACCGAGACCGTCTCCGTTCGAAAATCTCATAAAGAGATGTTTCGAGCCGTATTTGAATATTTACATAGAGAGTTTGGATCGCAATTTGGCGGACTTGATGGATAAGTTCGTGTCGGATTCGAAAACGCAGCCGCCGGGCGCGAAAGAATTTGACGGAATTGAAGGCCCAAGCAGCGTTTTGAGCTCGTGCGCCGATTTGTTCGTATTTTACAAAAAGTGCATGCTGCAATGCACGCAGCTCAGCACCGGCTTAATTATGCTGAGTCTTGCTGAGACTTTTCAAAAGTATCTACGAGAATACGCGCTCAAGATTTTGCAGAATAACTTGCCCAGGTAAGATTTCGTCAAACTTTCATAGAAATCGGTATAGATTTTAGAATGTGTTTTTTTAAACATTTCAATTGTTATTGTTGCAGATTCGGAGGTAGCGCGAGCATTGGCACTAGCATGAGCAACATCACACGCGACTTCAGAGACTTGTCGACTTCGGGTTTTATTCAAAACTTTCAAAGTTTTCTGAAAGAGGGAGAAACCACCAGATTTAGCAAAGAGGAACAATCTCGCGTGTGCTGGTAAGTGTGACTGGTTGTTACTCTTCTGTGTTAAGAAGAACACAAACAATTAAACAATTATGTGTAAATTTTTAGTATATTAACAACAGCGGAATACTGTTTAGAAACAACGCAACAATTAGAGAAGAAACTTCGCGAGAAAACAGACAATTGCTATTCTGAGAAAATCAATTTGTCTCAAGAACAGGATATCTTTCATAAGTATGTTTTTTTTTTTACTTTTTTTCTGTGTAACATATATTTTCTAAAAGTAAATTTATTGTTCAAAACTTGGTTTTTAGCGTGATTTCTAATTGCATTCAGTTGTTGGTTCAAGATCTGGAAACAACCTGCGAATCAGCATTGACTGCAATGACCAAGGTACATCGAACAGACAAAATTTAATATAAAATATCGTATCACAAATATATCACAACTTTTTTTTTTACAGGTGCAATGGAGTTCTGTCGAAGTTGTAGGCGATCAAAGCAATTACGTTAACACAATAATAGCGCATCTTCGACAAACAATACCTCTTATTAGAGATAGATTGTCTTCTTGCAGAAAATACTTTACACAGCTCTGCGTTAAATTTGCTGAGTAAGAAATTAATAAGAAAAAATTTATTTTATGTGTAACATATGTGTACGACAGATTCAAACTTCGTTCTCTACATTTCTTATTTCAGCTCTTTTATACCAAAATTAATACAACAATTGTTCAAATGCAAACCGTTAAATGCTGTTGGCGCAGAACAATTGTTGTTGGATGTCCACATGTTAAAAACAGCTCTGTTGGATCTTCCATCTACAGGTTATCAAGTACAGAGAAAAGCTCCGGCAACATATACTAAGGTAATTTGTAATTTAAGAATATAAGAGATTTTTTGTGATCACATATATATAGTGTGTATTGGATTTATTCACATTTTAAAAACTATCTGATATTATTCATCGCCTAGGTTGTGCTTAAAGGAATGGCAAATGCTGAAATGATATTAAAAATAGTAATGTCTCCAATTGAATCTCCCAGCGATTTTGTTAAACAGTGCAGAATGCGCCTGCCCGATCTGCAGTCTACAGAATTTCAAAAAATCTTGGATATGAAAGTAATTTCCACGCAAATAAAATCACAATTAACTGTAATTATTTTTTTGGACAATTATCATGAAAAATTATATGATATATTCTAGGGACTGAAAAAAACGGAGCAGATAATACTGCTCGAGCAATTTAAACAACCTGAGAACACGGACACTTCGTACGTTACAAAGAGTCACATAGTGCACGACAGTCCAGAACATGAGGCTGGAAGAATCAAGAGACTAGAGAAACTCATAAAGAAAAGAATTTGAAAATGCTAAAGGTCGCGATATATTTGTACATATTAAGAATTCGTGTTCTAAGCTAGAATAATGTAAAATATCTTTATATGTAAAATAAAAATACCAGCATGAAAATATATTAAAGCAAATTAAATACTTGTAGACTTGTAAGTTTTCCATCTTTTATTTTTAGATTTATAATCTGTAAAACAAATATAATCAATGATGTTAACCTTGTTTCTGCGCGAGCTCCTTGGCTTTAGCTTTTTCTAATTTAGCTATTCTCGCTGCAGATTTACTTCCCAAGATACCACCGCCCCAATGGCGCCTGATCTCGTCATATCGATCGTTGAAGTTCGTCTTAATAGCTTCGACAATCTTTGCAAAATTGGCCCTGTCACCAGAATCAACCTGAAAACAACATTAGTAATGTTATAGCAATGTTTTGTATTCAAGTACATGAATCAAACTTTAAAAAAATTTTATAAACGCATATCAGACATTTTGACACTAATCACAATTAATCATTGGATTGGCTCTGGTTGTACTCATCATACAGGGAGAAAATTAAATTAATGAAAGTTATATAAGAACTAAACATATATAGATACACCATTTTATATACGCACCTGTGTAAGAGCAATTGCCGTACAAGTCTTGCGTCTGACCAGACGTCCCAAACGTGCCTTGCCTTTGACAATACAATAAGGTACACCCATTTTACGACACAGAGCAGGGAGGAATAATACGATCTGCAAGAATAAAAAGGTAAAACAGATTGACACACATTATTTTCTATATATAAAATACGTTAATGCACAAACTGTAATAGTATCAGGTGTCAATGTCATCTTTTGTACAAAAACATTTACATTTTTGCACTCAGGTGAAGAAATTCAAACATCATGTACAACATAATGAAATATAAAAATATAGAACAATTGTGCAAAACTCACTTCAATAGGATCGACGTCATGTGCAACAACAACTAGTTGAGCCTTCTTTTGCTCCACCAGAGTGGTCACGGTGTTAGATCCACTTCGAATAAAATTTGGTTTTTTTGTTGGAGCTTCTTCCTTCTTTGATGAGATTTTTTGTTCAGCTCTTGCCTTTAATCGTGCCTTTTTCATGGCTGCTGACTCTGGTCGGTATTTTTCTAATACCTTAAACAGCTGCGTAGCTGTTATACAATAATAAATGTTATACAATAACAAATAAATGTTATACAATAATAAATCATTATACTGTCATATGAATTTTTACATAACACACTTAATTTTACAAAAATTCTATAAATTGTAAAACTCACCTGTTTGCTTGTCCAAAGTTTGAGTAAATTGGTTAATGGTTGGTGGAACTTTCAATCTCTTTTGTAGTACAGCTCTCTGACGCTGTATACGAATGTACTTAGGCCATCTTACGAATCGGCTGAGGTCACGAGCAGGCTGAATATCCTGACCTGAATTTCAACAAACTAGTGTTTTCTATCACGTGTAGTACAAGCGCATATCATTTTATTAAGTTTTAAATTATTGAGTGAATAATTATACTACAATTCGACTAACCAATGCCAAAGTTACGAGTTCGTTTCTCGAACAGCGGATTGGTTACCTTCTTCGGTTCAACCTTCTTGACTGCCAGAGGTGCGGCAGCCACCTTCTTTCCTACCTTCTTCTTTGGCTGTATTTGAAAAATTAAAATAAAGAGAAAAACAATGAATATGTATTGATCCGCACGTGTTTATTTCACATATTTTTTCCCGAGAAAAAATCAAAATTTTGGAATTATAGGTTATGAAGAAACACACCGCATCATGGTACATCAATATTGCCAATAAAATTAGTCGACAAAAATATTAATTGTCTAGAATGGTTTAGCCGTCTTACCTTCTTTTGGACCATCTTCTCAAATAGAAATCTCAACGATTTCTATAAATATTATCGGATGTAAAGACCAGTACTTCAACGAAAACCAGGGAGTTCAAACTCGTCTCTTGCGAGAAAGGGAACGCTGTTTTCAGCGCCACCTGGGCTAGGCTAGGTTACCGGAAGTAGTGAACTAAAAAACGAGTGGTGGGAGGTACCGCCATATTTAAACCGTCGCACGCGCGTGCCAGTTTAGGTATGAGGTATACGTATACAGCGAACTCGTTAGCTTGTACTGGTACGCATTGAGTGCGACTTTTTCAATGAAACTTTTTTTGGAAGTTCCATTGAAAAAGTCGCATTCAGTGCGCACTAGTGCGGGCTACCGAATTTGCTGATAGATATTGAAAGTAAAGTTAGATATTTTCTGACCGATATCACAAGGTTTAAATGTGCATGTTGGTTGGATGTGCGTAGTTCCACTGTGAATATTTTTGGACAATAATAGGTGTTTTTACACCACTTTCTTAATTATCATCATTATCTCTAGTTTAAACAAATACATAACTAATAATCTTTAAAGACAGTATACTCACAGGATCTAGAAATCAACAGTGAAAACCACTCTATTATACAACTCCGTGATCACGCGTTGAATCCACGGTTTTAATTCAAACTTCAGTGAAGACTTAGAATGGCGTATGGACTAGCAACAGGGTCCACTGAGCCATAAGGGCACCGATACCGAAGGTTTAAATGTGTTATTATTGTTACATAAAAAATATTTTACAGTTATTATACAGACTATTTCTGAATTATAATCATAAAACAATAAATAACTTAGTTTATATATTTATATAAACTTAGTTTATATACTTTAGTAGAAATGTAAACTTATAGTTTATATACTTTAGTAGAAATGAACTACTGATAAAACTTCCGGAGCTAAAAAATACGGCGAGTTCGAACCCCCTGCATACGTCACTGACAATCACAGAGCACACCAATCGGGCACTCCCACATTTCTAAGCGCGCGCACGCGCGCTCGATTTACATTCGCTAGCGATCCACTACATTCTAACTCTGACAGTCTGTGACGCGGGTCACTGTGCCAGTTGCTAGCGAAGTTGAATCGAGCGGAATCTTTGTTTGCGCAATTTAGAGCGCGATGAAGTTGCTATTGTTTCTGAGTCTGATAGTTGTGGCTTCGTGTGCGAATAACGTCGCCAATGGACCGAAAGTTACCGACAAGGTTTTTATAAAAGATACATACAGGTTTTTAATACACCAATACGTATAATGCAATGTAAACGAAAAAGCGAGCGGATACGCTAATTGCGAAATAAGAAAAGTGACGCTCGTGAATACGTGGCACTTGAGTTTATCGCGCCGGTTTCATCTGTCGGCGCGATGACTGTCAGATATTTTCTCCCTTTGCGTGTGTAAACAAAGGAAAATCCGCGTACACTTGAAAATGAACAAAGAGCCTTTGTCTTGAAAACCTGTAGTTTTGTATTCGTCAAGTACATTTTCTGATATTATTGTGACATAACAATTAATTAAATTTGAATATATGTTGCAGGTATGGTTTGATATCAAAATTGGCGGAATTCACGCAGGCAGAGTAGAAATTGGTCTTTTTGGTAAAACTGTTCCAAAAACTGTAAAGAATTTTGTGGAACTTGCCAAGAAGCCTGAAGGTGAGGGATACAAAGGCAGCAAATTCCATAGGGTAATCAAAGACTTCATGATCCAAGGTGGAGACTTTACTAAAGGAGATGGAACTGGAGGTTGGAAGCAAAATTAATTTTCTTAGTTATTTTGCACGTATAAGCTTTTGACCTCTCTGATTATTAATTTATTTTATTTACCAGGTCGCAGTATCTATGGTGATCGCTTTGCAGACGAGAACTTCAAGCTGAAGCATTATGGTGCCGGATGGTTATCCATGGCTAATGCTGGCAAAGATACTAATGGATCTCAGTTCTTTATCACAGTTAAACAAACACCCTGGCTTGATGGTAGACATGTTGTTTTTGGCAAAGTTATCAAAGGAATGGTAAAATCAACCAAATACCATATCTCTATAACTATATCTGATACTTTAAATAAATTATATCTGTTATGTTATAACAATTTATGTGAGAATAATTGAGTTTCATTTTCTGTAAATGTTTATTTTACAGGATATAGTACGCAAAATTGAGCAAACAAATACAGATTCACGAGATAAGCCACAACAAGATGTTGTTATTGCCAATAGCGGTGCAGAAACTATAGCAGAGCCATTTAGTGTATCTAAAGACGATGCTACTGACTAAATATCAGCATTTATGGACATTCTCATTTTTGATTTTCTTTTACACAAAGTGATCATTATAACTTACAAGTACATGGCTCTGAGATCTTTATTAGATTTTCAAAAGCAGCAGTAACAATATATTGTGATACTAATTGTTTATAAAAGCAGCAATAACAAGAATTTTGAAAGCTCATACAAACAAGTATTAAAACAACAATCACGCGTAATGTATCATGGTACACGTTAATTGTAATAGGAAAAAAAATTGTTTGTTTTGCATTCGTTATAAATAACATTTGCATTTCACAATTTTTATACATCTGTATGTAATTTTTCTACATTCACAAATAAATAAATTTGTTTAAAGTGTGTTATGTCATTTTGTTTCCATGTTGGAAAAAAGAAGTGCACGTTGCAATAAAACTTCTAAGTTTATTGAGAAAATACTAAATGCTATAGTCCATATTATTATTATTATTGTAGTTTTTTTTTTTTTTTTTGATACAAAATATCTGCATAATTAGTGATCATCATTTTTCTAAGATATATTTTGGTCTTTTTCTCTGATTAAATGAATGCGCGCATGATCTATAGTATACGTAACGTGTACTATGGATATATGCGTACATATGCATGAAACGGAACGTGTCCCAAGCTACTGAGCCGGTCAAAACATTTTAAATTCCTCAATTTGAGGTTCTGTTTACTCTCCATATAGGTAACATCAAATCACCGTACTTGCATGTGACAAGAAACACGGGACAATCAGTATTCCGCTCTCATGAAAAAGTAGCAATGCTGTCAAAAAAACAAACATTTCTTAATCTTGCGCAGAAATGGATAAAAAAACGAAATAACATTCTCTCACAACGATTTCTCGCATCCAAAATACAAACAGACACAAGACAAGTGCGGTGAGCAGCCAGGTTATGATATGTAATTGCATACACGCAAACTTTGTTATTACTTGAAAGAAAATTGTCGTATATGTGAATGTTAGTTTTTTTTTTTTTAATACTTGCGATGGCTTGGTACCGAGTATTAATACTTGCGTTATGTCAATTTTCTTTGTTCTTTCATGAATTTGTTTTTCATTTTCAGACAGAGGTGGAAACCTACTGTAGGATTAGAAATTCATGCTCAGATTGCAACAAAGTCAAAATTATTTTCTGACGCATCTACTAACTTTGCCTGTCCAACTAATTCATGTGTCTCGTTTTTCGATTGTGCCACACCAGGAACATTACCTGTAAATTACTGGCGTATTGCATATTATATAATAAACTTTTAATTATTGTGCGCATACAAGTATAGATATTACTATCTTTTAGGTTTTAAATAGGAAATGTGTGGAAGCTGCTGTATTGACAGCATTGGCGCTGTCTTGTCAATTGAATGAAACTTCCTTGTTTGAGAGGAAACATTATTTCTATGCGGATTTGCCTGTAAATATAATAATATAAATACATTTGCCTGCAAATAATAGTACAAATACATATCACAAGAGAAGACACAGCTGTCTATGTCACTTCATATATGCATATGTTTATTAATCTTAAATTATTTAGACACATATGCTTATTAATTTTAATTTAGGCAGGATTTCAAATAACTCAACAAGGACATCCTATTGCAGTCAATGGCGAACTACAATTTTATGTGATAAATCCAAAACAGCATGGACTGCAGTACTTGAAATCCTCTAAACTAAAACAGATTCAATTAGAACAAGACAGTGGCAAAACTTTGTATGATGAAAGTACAGGAAGGTATATATATATATATATACATATTGATTTAGTATTTGTTTTATTTAATTATTAGCTCCTTAGATAAAAGAGTGAGAAAAAAGTGCAAAAAAATAATTTTTAATTTACCGTATCTATAGAAGTTTAATTGATCTCAATCGTGCTGGAATACCTTTAATGGAATTTGTATTTGAGCCCGACTTAGCTGATAGTGAAGAAGCAGCTGCTCTTGTAAAAGAGCTAGTACTCACATTACAATTATTGGGCGTCTGTAGTGGCAAAATGGAAGGTCAGTTGGAAGAACTATATTATTATGTATAAATTGTACCTTTTCAAAAAAAAAAAAGGTAAAAAAGGCGCCAAGTACACGCGCTGCACGTATCTCTAAAAAAAAAGTATTACTATATTATTCTATACTACATAGAAACTCTTTCTCTGCAAAATCTAGTCTACAAAAGAAATTTATATCAGAAAGTAGCGCCAAGGTAATCTTGTATGTTTACATACCTTGTACATTGTTACAAAATAAAATAGTATAAAACGGCCAAAAGTCGAAAACCCGTGTGGAACTGTTTTCAAAATAAAAAATATTTAATGCAAAAAAAACTCGCCGCGCGCGTGCACTTCGTTGCGCGTAACTTGGCGCGAGGCACTGCCGCGCGTGCCTCTCTTGATAATTCAATACATACTACATAGTGTGTATACACAGATGTACATTATAGAAGTATTTTAAAATATACCTTTAAATTTTTTTAATTGCAGAAGGAGCACTTCGTATCGATGCTAATGTTTCTGTAAATAACCGAGATGATAGTTTAGGTACTAGAACAGAAATCAAAAATATCGCAAGCCCGCGTGCTGTTGCAGCAGCTATTGAATATGAAATAAAAAGACAAATTTCTATTCTCGATGCCGGCGATAAAATATTTAACGAAACTCGCGCATGGGATACGGAAAAAAAACAAACTATTCCTATGCGTGAAAAGGAAGACAAAGAAGTAATATATAGTTCACGATTTTTTATATTATGATGATAATGATGATGTATTGTATCATCTAATGTTTTCCTTTTAGGATTACCGATTCATGCCCGAAACAAACTTGCCACCTTTGCGCATACATGTCAGAGAAGAAATACCAAATAAAGATAATTTAGTCGATGCTGTAGTGTTAAGAAAACAGCTGCCTGAATTGCCGGAACAAATACGTCAGAGATTAAAAATGGTTTTCAATATTTCACCTGAAGTAATTATGTCTGTAATGGTAAGTTTATACTGCAATATATTGCAATAAAAAAAAAAAAACACATTTTAATGTCTTACATTTTTTTGTTTTAGAGTGATTTTATATTATTAGACTTATTCTTTAAAATTATAAAGAAAGATGAGAATCGCCAACCACAATTGGTAGCCAAGTTTCTTGCAATGGAACTATTAGGTTTTCTTCATAAAAATAAATTATTAGTCGATTTTTGGTAAGTTCTCTTTTTTTTAAATAAAATATCTCTCTAAGCTTCAGACAATACTTGTTTAATAAACATTTAGCATACCACACGAAGATTTCATCAGCCAAATAATTGACTTATTACAAGACAAAATGATCAACTTAACAACGGCAAAGAAACTTTTGAAGGAATTATTAAATGATTCAAGAAAACTTCCGATAGAAGTAATTCTTTTTTTCTTAAAAACCAGTATTTATAGAAAATAAGTTTTATTTGATTTAGTTTGTACAATAAAACTGCCTTGTATTTTGTAAATAGATTGTTGAAGAACGAAATTGGTACATGATATCAGATAAAAAGCAACTGGAACAGATATGTTTAGAAATTATAGAAAAAAATCCAAAACTTGTATCAGGATTCAAATGTGGCAAGAAAAACTTATTTAATGCATTAATGGGACAAATAGCAAAAGCTACGGAACAACGTGCAGATATGGCTGCTGTTGCAAACCTAATGGAAAAATTATTGAGGTAAATACAATTGATTTTATAATGATATATATATATAGTGTATATATTACATGTATATAAAAATTAAAAAATATAAAACATTTAAATATAAAAAGTAATGTTTAATCACTTACCTTTTAGTAAATAACCGCACATTGTTTATGTAACATATGTAGATATGTAACAATGTAAAAATTGCGACTTAAGTTTAATAAAATAAAAATAATTAATATATAAAAACTATATATAAGTCTATATATATATATATTAAATATTTACACAAATATATATTATTTTCTAACAAACTTCATTACGAAATAACTACATTGAGTCACTTTTTTTTTACAATTGTTTACAATAATATCATTAAAAAACATGCTAACTCTGTCACTTTACACATTCCATTATTCCAATATTTATAAATATTTTATCTTTATCCTGATTATTAGACAATCATTAAGAATGCTATAAGAAGATAATAGGTAACAGCATTTTATATTGAACAGATAGTTAAAAATAATAACACAGATTCTACATTTCACGTAAATATTTCGAACTGAAGTTATAGCCAAAGAAAAGAGAGAGAAAGAGAGAGAGTATGTGTGTGTGTGTGTGTGTGTGTGTGTGTATATGTGTATGTGTATGTATGTGTGTGTGTGTGTGTGTGTATGTGTATGTGTATGTGTATGTATGTATATGTGCTCTAATATACAGTAATTTCAGCACTTTAAAGAGATTTATAAAAATCCCAACGAGTCTCTCTATAAAGTATATTTTACATATCATCTGTGATATATTATATAATTATATATGTAGTATGTTACAGAGTAATTAAAAACATTTACTTCTGTATATATATATATATTTATATATGTGTCAAATTGTTTCTGCCTATACTGCAAAATGGCAATGATGGAAGGATTTATAAACTGCAGTCTTCAAAGAAAGGCCACTTGAGTAGCATTTAAAAGTCATTGTTTTCTGACTCTTTTACTACCTGCATAATTTCATCAAGCACAACAGACGTATCATTTATTGCATTGTTCGATGATGCGAACGTATTTGTTTACGATTCACTGTAGACTTGCTTGTATGCAGAGGGCATCAGAGACTTGCTCTGCGGTTAAAAACTCTCTTTACCAAAATGCCACATCACCATTGTCTATAATGTATTTACAAAATTTCCTTACAAAGAATCAACAGTAATATCGTGATTTGTTAAAAAAGAAAACGGCTCACAAAAGTTAATAGGACAGTTATCATATAATCGGAATCGTTTCAGATCGAAATTTTTCAAATTTGGTCAGTTTTTCTATTATGAACATTCTGAAACAATCCGGAACGATTATAGAAATTGTCAATGTTGACAACCGAAGCAAAGAAGCTAAAGGCCAATGACATATGCAAAAACTTAAGCAATAAGCAAATCAATAAAATCATAGAACGGTATTTTGAACGTAGTTTACACTTGAAAAAATGCTAGCCTATAATATCAGATGACTTGCTTAATGTTCACATTTTATTGCTTAAATTTTTGCTTACAGGCCTTTAAACACAGATTTCTGCATGAAATCATTGTAACGCAAAAGTCTGTGCTTTTACTGGTTATTTTTTTCGGCGCACGTGAAGTTTAAACTCAGTGTTCTTTTTGTACTCTGATTGGACGAAAATTATCCGTTTTCTATTTTTGTTCGGTTTATTTCTACGTTTATTTTCGCGCATATTGAAACGCGCAGGGAAAGTCGATTTTATTTCGATTCCAAAGAGATTTTCATAATAGACCAAAAACATAAACGGAATTATTGCGATCGAAAACTCGTCAGTCGAAATCCTATGATTTCGATCGGTTTCCGAAAAGTTCATAATAACTGTCCAGTTCGTTTTCTTTCTAATAATCGAATAAAATAAATCTGAATCTTCTTTTACTATACACACAAATCATTGACTCGATTTTTATATATATATATATACTGGATTATAAAATTCATTCTTTATAAAATTCATCTTTCTACAAGACATAGTAAAAAGTAATTCCACAAAGTAAAATCATCTCTAAGTCTTTTACAATCAAGTATTCACAGTCTAAGAATAGGAGTAACATCTCTTCTCGCTTTTGGCACAGCCATGCGATTTAATTGATTTCGTTATCGGAATAAGTTAAATTAGCACAAGAAAAAATTCATTCGACAGCATGAATTGCGGATTTATGAGAATACTAGCGATAATGATGATGCTGTTATAGTTAAAGCGATTCATTCGATATAGATTTAATAAAACTTAAACTTTCATTACGGTGTGCAGTTGGGACTACAAAAAATTTATTTGGATAATTTGCTGATTACTCTGATCAAGGCACCATTTTCATCTTTTAGCCTCTGATTTTCGCATTTTAGTTGCTCCATCACCTAGAAAAAAAATTGTCACACTAATTCTTATTGCGCTAATCGAGAACGTAACATTATATAAAGAGGGAATATATTAAAGAAATAATACCGTTATCAACGGAATATAAGTGCTCACAAAACAACAGGAAAATATAAACAGAAAGAGGCACTCACAAGTATTACTGCAATCAAAAGTCGTTAAAATATTCGGGTACTGCATATATTAGCAGAAATTAATAGATGTTTAAGTATTGTAAGACAACTCATAAGTTGATCGTGAATAGCAAAAAGCGTTCGTACAAATTATTTATGACATTTATATCACATATCAAAAATACAAGAATGACATAAATTTTATTTTCTTTTAATATTATTGCATCTATATATACACAAAGTATTCTTTATATAATAATCATTCACGTCTATACTAAACATTGTGATAGCTCTCAAGTAAATATCTCAAACGGATTATTATTTGTAAACGGTTGCAAAATTTCAATATATTTCGACTTAAGAGTAGTAATTTTTTTTTTTTCACACACAGATATTTTACAATATAAAGTTTGTATCTCTTTAAAAAACAATCTTCAGGCTTATATACAATATAAAAAGTTCAAGTATCAAATTATTAAGTTCAACGTGAAAAGTTCGGAAAATGTAAAATCTTAATTAATAAATATTATATAAATTGATCTTTTATGTTTTTATTATTTGCAATTAATACTGTAATCACCTGCCATATTCTTTCTTTGTTGAGCACCTTTAGAACACTACAAAATAATCATTGATTATACGTAAGCCGTCTAGTGTGTGCATACCATGTGTGAAATAACAATAAGTATGCAATATTATACATAAAAGTTAAAAAGAGGGAGATTAATGACAACTTCGTGGATTGGCCATTTCGTAAAGTAGTTTCTATGTCAATAAGTGCAATAAAAATGCAACGATGTTTAACATGCTTTCTGGAAAAAAAAAAAAAAAAAAAAGTTGAAGATCTAAGTTAATAAAGTGTGTAATATATATATAAGTGTTGATTTTTCTCTCAACAATCGAACATGTTTCGGGAAACGTGTACTTTCACACAGTTACAATTAAGATGAATGAAACAAGAAGGAAAATAATCAGCTGCAAAGTCATGATGATTTTTTGTTTCTCATGTGAAACACGTGCTACAGATAGATGATCGATGCTTGGGTGATAGCATTCAGTTTATTGATGTTATATGTTGTATATGTGGAAAGGTGGTTTTATATATATATATATGTATATAATGGAGAAAAAAATTTCCTAAAGTTAAAGTTTGTAGAGTTTATAATCATTCCTATATGCATTTTATAAATGACAGACTGCGTTCGTTCATATATATTTCTTGTTAAAAGTTTTTCATATATATATATATATATATATGTATATATATATATATATGATTTTGTTTTTTAGTAAAACATTATTAAAAATGATTTCCTCATAACATGCAGTACAACAAAACTAACCGCGATCATTCATTTATATAGTTTCATCATCGAACAGTTCTTTGCGCTAACAATTTTGAATAATCATATATATACGTACATGTCTTTGTAAACGTAATAAATCATATATAAAACTCTCGCGTCAAAATACATTGCACAAGTAACAAAGTTATTAGTATTATCACACAAGATATGCGATCGTATGTTGATTATACAGTACTGAGAATGAGTATATGTACATATAGCACAAACCTGAAGTCTCTTTTTTTTCTTTCTTCTTTTTTTTTTTTTTTTAAATCAATAAGCTAGTACAGTTTAATTAAAAACTCTGATTAATGATCGCATTACATATTGAAAATGCACTTTGCAAAGCTGAACTGTATGATAAGTAGATGAGTAGTATTATCGTTTCAGTTTTTAATATTGGCGGTCAGAACACAAAATTGTAATTAATCATTCAATTAAGTAATTAATTAAATGCTGTACGTGAGATATACGTTGTCTATCGTATAAACGCAGATGCTGTCATTATGTTCTTTACCTATTTAGTATTGGTGAGTTTGGATACGACGCGGGTAAGTGCCCGATTTTCGGCTTTCAATCTCTCATTTTCAGCTTTGAGCTTTTGCAATTGCTGTAAACAGTTAAACGATTAGCCTAAAAAACCCCGCCATTCGTCGTTTTTTTATCCCAAAAATATCCAAAAACACATAACTAATCCACGTTTTCATTGATGACAGATGAGTAACCACCGCGTGCAATTTCCCGCTAAGCTACTATTAGGAATTCTGAAAAGCGGAACTCAGGGAAAACTATAAAAATGAAAATCATGAAATTTTTCCCGTCAAACAAAAATCGAATACGAATGAAGAATAAGAAGGAGGATAAAGCGCCGTAAAATTGGCAAAAGGTAAGAAAAAGCATATAAAATATAGATGCGCCGAAGCACTTCTTTGTACAAAAATAATCATCACTGTCTTTCCTTGTTGCTAACAATCGCAGCAACAAAACAAAAAAGAAATGACGATATAAATAACTAAAAAAAAAAAAACAAATCTAAAATTGTGAGTATCAAATATATACTGAGAGATACCATATATATTCATACATATAAGATCACAGAATGAGAAAGAGACAATTGTGTCTCCACAAGGTTTTTCATTATTTAATTTAATACATCAGAAAGCATTTGTTTCTCGTCTGCTTTCATATATAAAATGGTAGTCCATAAAAAAAAAAAAAAAAAAAAATACATATAGTTAGAAAAATCTGAGCTTACCTTCAATTCTTCTTCCATTTCTGAAAGTTTTCTTTCCATCGCTCGCCTCTCTCTTTTCTCCGCTTCGGAAAGAATTACTTTAGTTTGGCTGGTTTGCGCTTTCTCCAATAAATTCCTAACTTCCTTTAATTGTTCATCAGAACGCTTCAGTTTCTCCTTTAACCTCTCGTTCTCGGCTTGAGATTCCTCATATAATTTCTTATAATCTAATTCGCCGTTTTCGGAGCTACTATTGGATTTTAGTCTGATCGGAGCTGATGACGCATCTGACGACAACGAAGATATCGAGCCTAATCTATTGGTTCTGCCAGAACGATCGTTTCCACTCTAGAAACAGATATTCAAAATATTGTTAATTTTTTTATTGCACAAATATATTATTGCAAATAATTTGATATTATTGCTTATATATTATTGCAAATAATTTGATTTAGAAAAAGCTTTTGTAGACTTTTTCTGTAATATTTCTTTTTTTTTTTTTAATATTATGAATTAATATAATTCACATGTACTAATAACTAATTTTTAATTAATGTCTATGTACAACAACGCGTTTTAATACGCACAAAATTTAATTAAGCGTAGATCTAGAATAGAAAACAAATTGCTTACAGCGTATCCTTCAGAACTAGCTAAACTTTGTAGACTGGAACTTCTCGATCCAATATTAAGATTTTGTTTTATTTTCGATCTGTTAAAACTCTCGGTTTTTTTCACGTGTGGGCGAGCGTTTAAGTTTAAGTTTAAATAGTTGTAACTAGGAGATGGACTCAGATTCAAAGAATTGACATTTGTGTGAGAAGGTAAAGTCACGCCACCATATCCTGTCGTTGTTCCACCGTATGTCGTGAACAGATTTGAATAATTTGAACTGTTCGTATTTTTCGCATACGGATTTGTTCGAAACAAATCGCTACTCTTTGTACTTTTATTCAGAAAACTCGAACCGGAATATAGTTTTGGGTTTTTTACGCTCAATAAACTACTACTGCTACTTGGATTGAATGTTAAATTATTTTGATTTAACGAAAGTAATCCACTGATCCGTGACCTGTTTCCAAAAATTGATTGCCCATTTTTTGACGCTTGAGCTCTCAGGCCCGCAGCTGTTGTTGGCTTAGTATGTGCTCCTTTTCTGTACGAAGACATGGTTTGCGTCACGTGCAAAATTATTACAAGGCTTTAAACAACATTTGCAGCTTCTGTTTTCTTTTTAAATTCTTCACCGAACTTTTTATACGTTAATCGCATTTAATCGATTATTAGCAAGCTTTGTCTCAGTTTATATAATATCTCGAGTGCTTTTCGATTTTTTTTTAGAAGCGAAATGCGCAAAACCAGCGCCGCGGATAGCAAATGATAGACTGACGGAGACTGAACGGAGGAGAACTCAAGACAGGCAGTTTGCTTTAAAGCATTAGTACTACTATGCGCTATTTTCGGAATGCACGCGAAGACGCACACAAATATCAAGGTTGTATGTTTCAGAGAACAAATGCAGTAACGCAATTTTTAACTATTTCTTTTTTTTTTTTTCACGTAGCAGCTTATAACAATATAAATCAGTTGATTTATAAAATTTAAAAACGGATATAATCTATCCCATGATAAGTTCGATTTCATGCTGAGAGTAAGCTTAAAAGAGTAAGCTTCGAAAAAAAAAACATAAGTAAAAATTTCATTATGTATCAAAGTAACTTCATGTACACGTATTTTAATATAAACTAACGACATATCGTTACAAAGAAATGTATAAGACGATTTAAATGTCTTGACGATATTTGTGAACGGTAAAAGTAATCGGCGTGTACACCATTTCTAAATGTCAAAGCGTCACGTATTCCAAACGCGTTGACAGAATACTTTTAGATACGGTCAAGCCCGTGTTCACGATTATTTTTATTTTTTTTATTTTTTTTTGATTGCCGATTAAATTGTCCAAGGTAATTTAAGCTCTGTTAAAGCTTTTTAGAAGGGAAAAAATATTTGAATCGATTTCATGTAAGAGAACAAAACACATCCATTTGGTAATTGAGTAAATTTATGTGCTGACGTCAGAGCAACACAACGATCCTTGTTATATATATTTCTATATAGTATTATATTAAATATCGTATTTTCCGAATGTAGGGTGACAGAATAACGAATGTTGGACTATTTTTACCGAGAATGCACGGAATAGAGGTTATTCTTCCAAGATGCTAAAAATAAGCCGAAGCTCCCGTGGTTTATAACGGTTGTTTATATGAGATAAATAAAAAAGTTACGCCGGAACTGTGAACCAGTTTCCGAAATTATTAAGCAACGATTGCCAATAATGCGAATATAATGGAAAGCGTGTTCTTTTTGCACGATTTATATGCTCTCAATGAAGTAATCGCGTAATTATTATATTATTTGGACCTATATTCAACAATCAAAAAAACACTTTGCAAGATAACAATCTACTATTAGTATTGTAGTCTCAAAAGGAGATGATAGTCTCATCGTTATACTCTCCTCGATTTACAAGCGTTGTATTTTCCTCTGCGTCACTCAACTGCGCGTTATCCAATTTTGGATTTTTGGCACGTGTCTACCAAACTGTGGCAAGAAGCTCGCAAATCGAAATTCGGACAGATGCTCTGGCGTCAAAAAGATTGTATAAAAAAACCGAAGGCCAGTGAAACAGAGAAGTGATGCATTTCATTTTGGATCAGCGGCATCAATTCATCATGCAGCAATTATAGCGATTATATTATACTTCATTTGCATAAGTCTCTATTTTGAAATATATATTACTTCGAGATTTAAAAATGATAAGTGATTTATAATATACAACGATTTGTTAATGTTTGAGAGTGACACGCGCGTTGCACGATATTTTAAATAAAATGATGAGTTACTTACTTCATTGTGATTGACCTTAGTATCGTCACAGTCACCACCAGCAGTTACATCTTGTTTCTCTGGATCAATTTCCTGTAAAAAATTAAATCAAATGTTAAATGTTTTTAATTAAAACTAGATTTAAAATCTTTAAGATCTCTAAAATCTATAATATTTGTTGACACAAACTGACAAATGCGAACTAAAAACAAATGAAACAAAGATGATCTGAATATAAAAATCAAAGCGTTCTCAATTATATCTTTTTACAATCCCAGTTAATATACAATTTCAGATCGTTTTTTCATCGGATCCTTGCACAGTTCCAATAAAATTACATTTTTTAGCGAGTCGTAAACGACTTATTGAATAAAATGTTCATAAAGAATTCAAGTTGTGAAAAATATGTAGTGTTTCGATATTGTTACAAAATTACTAACGTCCATATCCACGTGGACTACACCTGTTGATCTTCTTTTAGGCCGACGTCTCCTTTGAATAACCGCTTGTGTAGCTTGTGCATTTCTACTGTCATTTTCTTTATCTTGTTCTGTAACACATAATGAACTTTATGTAGCTTTGATATTTCTTAGTTTCTTAAAACACATTAGCCATTAGCGGACCCTATATTTATGTCATATTGATTATTCTGTGAATAAATTACCTTTGTCATCAGGTTGCTTTAATGATCTTCTAAGAGGCAAAGTAATTGTGGTTTCTGTACTACTCGTGGCAATGGTTTCCACTGGCGCTGACGATGGTCTAGGTACACCAGTTCCACCAGACGGTCTTCTCATATAAGCTGTTGTGTTATCATTAGGCTTATTGTTAGCATCCTCTAACTGAAACTATATAATAAACGTATGTATATTACAAATCTTGATTTACACAATAGCGCTTGTGCAGTGCACATCTTTCACTATTAATTAAATTTTATTATAATTTTAAACGCGCATTGCGCAAGCATAAATAAAAACAGCTTTCAATCTTTGCAAATTAATCATAAATAAATAATGCTTTTATAAGCACAAACCTTGCTTCCATTGTCTACCCTTAACCTCCAAGATGGTCGTCTCTCAGGTAAATTAGATTCTTCCGAGACTTTATTTGCAGTAGTCACAGTAGTGGAAGTAGCGGTTGTTATCGTAGCTGTGATCGAAGCTGTATTGCTGACAGTAGTTGTGGGCTGGATTATTTAAAAAAAAAATATGAAAAAATTGTTGCCAATGCAACATGTATAAAAAAAAATGTAATAAAAAATGAACTAGTATGTTTTAATAAGGAAACCATAAGTATCTAATGAAAGCCATTTAATTTCAGTTAGTTTAAAAAAATTCAGTTTTTGTTATAAAATTTATTATATCCAATTATATTGCGTATAGTGTTTTAACATATCGTTTAAAAGTATTCTTTCAGGAAAAGTTAGTAATTTATATAAATCACACAATAAAGCAATTTTCGGCGACAATAATATGATTGTTTGGTCTACCTGTGTGGACGGTGTCACTGTTGGCGACTCGTTATTTTGCTGTTTCTTCTTCACTAATTGTTCCGCGCTCTTAATCTCATCCAACGTTACGCCTTGAGTAGATCTTCTTGTCTCTCTTACTCTCTTTGCATGAGCTTTTCTTTGAGTTTCACTTTCCTCATCACGCACCGGCGGAACAAAGGATCTACACACATATACAATACACGAGATAGAAAATGTCGGATTTTATAAGTTGCAACAAAACGTATACAATATTTTCAGATTGTTTTTATCTGTGCAATAAAAAAAACAAACTTAGTAAAGCATTATGTTTTCAACACAATTTGTAAGCAATATATTTAGAGATCTTTCGCATAAAACACAGTAGGAGTATATGTATCCCTGCAAAAAATAAGTAATACATCCTTGTTTCAAATGTATATATTTGGTGTAATGGGTCATATTATTATGTGCAAGTAATATATTTTTCCCTGTAGTAAAATATTGTATTAATTTTCAACTCCCACGATCAAATAAAGGTGTGTAATACTCATAATGTTCTGGTAAAAAATTTCCATAGAATATCAATAGACATTTGTCGCAGTGGATTAAATCACATCGCATGTATCACAGTGCGTTTTTGTAGAATTACATGTTTAACAAGTATGTAACATGTTCAACAAAAATCGGGACATAAAGTGCATTTATGTGTAATAGTGTATTCATTTGTTGACCGGTGAATTTGGGCGTGTAGTTACTTTGTGAATTATCATATAAATTCAAGTATATATATATATAAAACGATTAATTATGCAACTAAAAGGAATAATCACACCGCAAAAGCAAACTTCCATGCTATTGCCAGCAAATCAACGTAAGTTATATACATAAACATCTGAAAGGATATATGCAAAAGTCACAATATTTTGGGAATATCTTCGGAGTAGTGAGTACCCACTTGAAGAAATTCTTGAAGATATTTCCTGGACTTAGTTTGCTCCCTCCTGGTGTAGTGGGAGTTCCAGGAGCAGTTGCTACTGCATTATTTGCATTCGATACAACTGTAGATGCAGCTTCCACTGGTTGAACACTACCCCCAGCCATATTAATATTATAATGCACAATACAAAAATATAAATACACAGATGTCAATTATGCCAATGTAATAATGTATTCTGATGTTGTAAAAGTGTTTATAAGCCTCATGTTTTAAAAAGATATCTGTGTATTTGTGTATTATTAAAAACAAATACGTAATTTATCATAATGTTGATAAATTCCAAAACGTATTTTGAGCACTTTAGAAAGTAAAAAGTCATATGCTATCTTGTTTAAAAGCCTTACATTTATAAAATAAAAGAATGGCTCGATTTTCCTTAAATTGTGAATATTTGTGAAACGATAATGTAGAGAAAAGAGAACTTAAATGTGATCAATATGTTTTACATATTTTATAAAACACATAACGCGCGCTCACTGAAATACTGCAACCACTTCCAACCTTTTTAAACCTAAATTAGATGTCAAATAAAATTTTAGAGATGTATTTAGAGAATTAGAAATATACTTCGTAGTAACTCTCTGTGTGGGTGTGTGTTTCATATACTCCTAATATAAAAAAAAATTATTTACCTGCGAATTTGATTAACTGGAATAGGACTTGTTGTTGTAGTGGCAGTGGTAGTTGTTGTGATGGATGACACTAAACTCGAGGCCAATGTTTTAGATGCGGATGTTGGTGAAAGTGTGTTGCTTCCTTGTGGCAGTCTTGACAATTCCAAATTTAATTTCACGTCTTTCTTTCTATAGAAAGAATAAAATAAATAATTAAAAAAAAGAAACAATATGTAAACTGTCGAAGATATATTTTATTGCCGATCTAGTATGCTATGTAAAGCTCACGTATATATGTACAGCAATTATATGTATAACTGTAATATATGAATTTAAAAATAAGATTAAAAAAATCAATTTAAAAATAAGAGCTTTTTCAAAATTATATTGCTAAAAAAAATAACTAAAATTTAAGGATAAGAATACTTTTGCATCAATCTTATCATGGCGCTGCAAATAAAATTTCTTTTTGAGATTGTAAATCTTTAAGACCGCAAAAATAAATATTCATGTTTTGTGTTTATCTCAATTATTTAGCCATGATAAAGAGGGTAAGTGTAATATTAAATAAAGATATTTTTTTCTCAAGAGTAAGTTCTCAAGATAGTTTTCTCAAGTAAGTTTTCGTAAATAAATTTGTTAAAAAGTGTTAACGGTTAATACTGTAATATGTGATTATAAAGCATCATTGTTGGTTTTAAATTAAAGCATCTTAAAGTTTTAAGCTTGGATGAAATAATAGCACATAAGCCACATTAAAAGCCCATATAAAATGTATAAAAGAAATTTTCTCCTCAAGTCACATTTTTGCTTCTAAATAATGTGAATAGTGCAATAATGCAACATTCTATACGTAGTATATACAAAGTTCTCACATTGAACTGAATAAAAAATTACCTCAACGAATATTAACAAAATCGTTTATATTGTACAAAAACAAAAGTTGTAACTTTGAGATTACAGACATGCGGCATGTACCTGTGTGTTTCGCGTAGAGATGCAGAGCGAGTCGTAGCATTGGTATGAGTAGGAGTAGCTGCATTGCAGCGATGGAGGGTAGGGCACGAGAACGCCTTGATGCGGGCACGCAATGCCAAGTACTGCCTATAAAACCTGCATCACATGCATCACCGTGCCATGCATATCTCTACACTAATTATCATTATAGTATAGGGACATATACAATTATGTGAAACACTAAGACTTCGCAATTTTATGCGAACACATGAACAGCAAAAGAGTGTACGATATAAATATTCTTAGTTAAAATAGAAGCGCTGTTAATAGCACTATGTATACCTGCTAATATCAATAGCAAATAAAAAAAAAAACATATTACTAAAAATATAAAAGCGTTGTGAATTTATAATATTAAAAATATGATATGTAATACGTCCGAAAAACACAAGAACTTTGAACTTACTTCTCATCTGTTTCAAAACTATGTGTTCTTCTTAGTACCACATCGGGCTCCGCACTGACTTTGTTTGGTGTTGTCGGTATTTTAATATTGTTATCCTTATCCTCAAGTTCTGGAATAAACAAGCATAATTTCATTAAAGATTCAACCTGAAATTGCGGAAGATATAGTCGAAATATTCGAGGTAAACATACTTGTAGGTGAAGAATTAGTAATTTCAGTACTTTGCACTCTATTTCGAAAGGAACCTGAACGTCTCCAAGATGGTACAACTCCTTCTTCGTTATTTTCAGTCTGTTGTTTTGGAGGCAATACTGGAGCCTTGAAAATGGAAATCAAAGGATTAATCAAAAACGAAAAAACGTTAACATAAAATAACTTTGTTGTTTAGATACTTTACCTGATTAGGAACTTTATTAGTTTCGATTGGAGATAATGGACTATAGGGTGATGCATTTTCATCTTTGTTTACTCTATTTTTCTTTTCTGTAAAATAATGTATTAAGAATTATTAAAATTATAAAAAACTACATTGCAGTATAAAAATATGTGTATATGAAATTTGATTCTCTGTATATACACAAAGTGCTAAACAATTTAGTATAAATTCTTATTTGGATATCTAATGATGTAAAATCTATATTAAACAATACATGCAATAATTAATGAAAGCAATAATCCGCATCATTAAAAAAAAAAAAAAGAAAAAAAAGTAGTCTTACAGATCAAACTTACCATCATCTGTAAGACATGTTGCGTGGTTAGACTTATCAGATTGATTGGAGAAAGTGGAAGAGTGTGATTCTGAGCTAGTCTCAGATTCACCTTCACCATCACTCTCTTCCATGTGTGTTTCACGTGTTGCTTCTGTCCATGCAGCAATGTTATAAGAAATACAGATTACAGTTAACAATCAAAAAATTAGAGATAATAGATTCACAAAACTGCATAAATAGATTACAAATTTGTGAGAAAAAAAAACTAAAATTTGCAAAACGTAAACTTTTTTCATCATTTTTCTTCACATAAAATTGATAAACATGGAAGTTGCAGAGTAGATAGTTATTTCGTATTAATATAAATCACTTATTTGAAAATAAATCCTAAACGTGCGGATTAGATGATATCGTGAGATTGTGATGCGAGCAAAAACTTACCAACATCGCTGTTTGTACTAGTGCTGGAATCTTCTTTATCGGATTGAATCTCTAATTCAACCTTCTTGACTTTATTTGGCGTTTCTTCCTCGAAGATCTCTACGGATTCTTGTGCCGCTAGTGCATTATCAGCGCTTGTTGAGACACTGTAGTTATTAAAAATACATTAGAGTAACGTTAACGTATGTTTCCTTACATTCTATTATACAAATTCGTCTTGTTGCGCACCGTTTCTTTGGTATAGACGATTGCTTTTTGTTATTATTTGTCTGCGGATTTTCTTTCACTATAAGTGCTTGTTGCTCCTTCAAATCTTCAAGAGCTTTAAGAATGTCTGCATCAGCAACATCAAAAGCAGTTTGTCCCTAAAAAGTGAGATAATAAATTTGTTATTAAGCAGTTTGGATTGAATCCTGATCAAGTTAAGACGATCTGTGAGTTTATTATAGTCGGCACTATATAAAATCATTATAAACGTTTATTTTTCTTACGGCGTAATTTTTTATATCCATCTCACAGCCGTTCTCAACAAGAAGTTTGCAAGCTTCCAATTGGCCCCAATGTGCTGCACCGTGCAAAGGTGTCCATCCATCAAAGTCCTGTGCATCAACATTGCATCGAGCTTGTAGTAATATGCTGCACAGAAGTGTTAAACAAGTTCAATAAAAAAAACCTCACCTAGTATTTAATGTATCACAAAAAAAAAAAGAAAAAACAGTTGAGTTTTTAAATAATTCTAGTCATTATTGTACACGGTATGTGTAAGAGATTAGAATTTCTTTCGGTAGAATTTTTTTTTCTAACATTTTTTGCATTAGATAATTTTATTCTTAATTAAATTTATATGTATCTTACTGCATGACTTTGATATAGCCTTTGGCAGCGGCAACATGAAGTGCAGTGGCTCCTGATCTGGGGTGTATGGAATCTTTGCCTGGTGCACCTGATCGCCAAGCTTTCGCATCATTCAACATTGATCGTTCTTCCTCACTCCTAGCTTGATCACAATCGATACCTGCAAAAGACGTCTTTTATAATTGATATACAATTTATTTATTTTTTTTTTCTATTGTTGTTTTATAATATCATTCCAATTTGAGAAAAAATCCACAAGTTTTTACATATTATATTAACATAAATATAAGTTTATTTAAAAAAAACAATTTTAATATTGATAATTTTGCGATTATACATATGCATGTGCGAACCTGCTTTATTTATATGCTGTTGAAGCATATCTTCCATCTCATCGCTTTCCGCGATATCCAGCGCCAGTTCACCGTCATTATTAACTGCTGCCAGATTACATCCTTGTTCTATTAAGTATCTGTAAAGATATTTATACAAATTTGTTCCAACGAAATATGAGCAAGCAAAAAACGTGTTTCACACTTTACACAAATGTAAGATATATTTCTACATTGTGTAGAAACAGCACTAACTTGGCAATGGATATAAATCCGCAAGACGCCGTGGCGTGTAAAGGAGTCCAGCCTTCGTTGTCTCCACGATTAATATCTGCTCCTTGTTCCACCAAAAATTCAACCATATCCAAGTCATCATCAATGCAAGCCTGTTATAAAACGATTAATATAACATAAAAATTCAATTTTACATGCTAATTATGTTTTAATTACGCGAAGAATATGTATTAAACGAGAGAACTGAAAAGCATTTACGATTGGCAAGATGTATTTCGAGGTCTCTCTCGGCATCGGAACCGCCGATTTTGCTCAGTCTGGTCGCAATCCAAGATTTGAATTGACGTTGTGTTATAAAATATGCTTTTAGATTTTCGAGCAATAATTTCCGAAAAACTTTAAATGTAATCTAAACGTTTTGTTTAATAAAATATTGAATGTATAATAAAATATATTGTGTATGAAAATTACATAATTGATTCAAATTATATGAAATTTGAAAAAAAACTTAAAGGATTATTTTTCCGGTTTTTCTATGTACAAGAGAATGAAAATATACTCTGTAGAAATAAAATACATTTATTTAATTATAACATTTTTTAAAGTTACAGAAATGTTAAAACTACAGAAAATTAACCATCTTTATGTACAAATCAAGTTTACGATACAAGTATGAACTATTTTTTATCGTCATTTAAATGTAATTGCAAATTTCTCCGATTTCGACAATATCAATGTAAAAAAATTTAGGTACATATTACAACATTGCTAGACACAGAGGATTTAAACTGAACACAGATGCTGCAGCCTGTGACTTCTAACAGAGAACTATAAATAGCATTTGATGCCTGATGTATTTTCACATTCTATTTTCGCAAATCCATGAAATGCCTTAACTTCCTCCTTACTTAAATAACATCCATATATACATATATATATATATATATATATATATATATAATATAAATATATCGTTTATCGTTTTACGTTATGGAAAATATTATTCTAACCTGATAGAACTTGGTTAATTCTCTACATCATTATCTTACTATAAAAAATATTGTTGTGATAAACATTTCTCAGCTTTTTTATTTTGTTTTTGTTTGTTAATCAATTTAATTGACAATCAAGCATGAAAATAACTTATGTAAAAACAAACAAAATTTACAATCAAATACTTTATTATATCAAATACTTTTTTTTTCTTGCAACTGTACAAAAATTCGAATTACAATTTATGTATTACCATTTTAATTAGAGAAAAAGATACGGTCGGCAAAATTTATTTGAGAAAAAATTTTCTCTCTGGCTTAATAGTAATATAATTATTTGCTTTCTACATCAGGAATTTTAGCGTGCCAACCCTCTTATTAATGTATCCTCATTAATTACTTAGATACTGCAATAACCGTTACGGCACATATATATGCAAGGTGTCCCGGATTGCCCAGTTGCGCCAGCTTTTAGAAATATCCAGAAATAGGTTGCTCATAAAAGCTTACATCTTGCGAAAAAATATCGCTGTCAATGTGACAACAAACTGACCTTATACAATGTATTGTATCTTAGAACTAAATCATGGTTATAATATTAGAAATTTAAATTGAGAAAATTGTTTATCAGGAAATAAAGATGTAAAAATAACTTCTCTTTTAAAGTAAAAAATACAAAAATTATAATTCGGTGATATTGTCAATTCAGATTTTAAAGATTTTATAATAACATTTAAACTTTTCAATTATAACAATAAAATTGTGGCTTTCATATTTAAAAAACTTGTAATCTATCAAAACAATGATTGAGTTTTTCAACATTTAAAGCTTCTATAACTCTCTAGAATATTAAAGTAAAATAAATGTATCTGAGAAAATAATTTTGCTAATCAGTGCTTTATAACAATTTTCGCAAACTAAAACATAAGTGCTATAACGATAATTCAAATAAAGAAGTTTAAACCTCTCTCTTTCTCTTTTTCTCTCTTATTACTTACCTATGTATAGTGTTATATGTAGTACTCATTTAATGAACTAGATTGTGAACGTAATGTTAATTTTACAATTATTTTTTTATTACACACAAAGGAGATTATGAGCATGCATAAAAATCACAAAAATAAAACATGTTGGGCTCAGCAAAAGTATTTCATATTCCAACATTGAAAACACAAGTTGAAGATTATGTAGACATATCACGGGCAACACATATATACAATAAAAATTACAAAATATATAAAATATAAAATTTATAAAATGTTCACATGCTATTTTTCTTATTAAAATAAAGAAATTTTATATATACATATGTAGGACTTTTCAAGAATTTTTCATATATACATGTAATCTAAGTAGAAATATTCAGAGAGAGGAAATATTCAGAGGAACTAAGTTTCTCTTATCTCCCCTTAACTATGATAAGTTGTTCTTTTAAAAAATATATATGCGTTGACACATTTGTCTAAGATTCCATCATTTTGACAATATACAATCTATGTATGATATTTATATTGCAGTAGGACATGTAACTTTTTTAAACAACATTTTTAAGTAAGTAACGTGAATAAATAATTAATAATATTCACATGTGCAACATCATTATATGCTGTTACAATTTTTGTATTAAATAACAATTTATAAATTAGATCTCGCAACTAGAGAAACTAAAAAATTAAAAAGAAGACACAGATCAAACTTTTCGGAATGTACATTCTATAATTATAAGAACATTTTTAAATTATAATAACAGACAAAGATATCAAGCCGACAAAGATATTAAGACAACTTGCGATGACGTTAGCATTTTCGTCGCACGAACATAATATTATTGCTTAAAATAGCTTCTTTTTTCCGATACACAGTATAATTACAGTTAAACAGTAAACAGTAATTAACGGTTAAAAGCAGACGCCGTTCGTAGCTCGGCAGTGGTTACGTGTGTTTCGGCCTTAAGAAGATAGACGTTCTCTGAACGCGCAATATTATTATACCGAACCAAGACCGACATGTTTCCAACATCAAGTTTGTATTTTCGTCAAAACCTTCTCATTAACAATCTTATTGATATGTAAGTAACATACGAGTAAGTTTCCGCGAATAGTCACTCAAATTAGACAGCTGGGGTTTGTAAGCAGCCATCTTGCAGAATTACGTTCTCGATAGAAAGAGAAAGAAAACAGAAAATCGCATCTCCGCGAGAGAATCGCGAGATCTGTCAAAAGACAGCAGATTCGCAATCGAGATATTCGAGAGATCGCGAAAGAGAGCGTCGCGACCGAAAAAAGCCTTACCTGATGCAAAGCGGTGAGGCCGTCGACGTTCCCGGTGTTGATGTCCGCTCCTTTCTGTAGCAGACGCACGACCTCCTCCTTGTCACTGGCCGCGCACGCCGCCAGGAAGACGCAATCGGCGGAGAACTTGATTTTGCGTGCAACTTGGCGCGGTTGTGCGGGCTCGCGATTCGTCTCGGACTGTTCCCAACGTTTGAGCTGTTCGGCTCGCTTGAACAGGGCCGAGCTCGAACGTGTCTCGAGAGACATTGCCCCGGTGGCGACGACGACGGCGGCGTCGGCGTCGGCGGCAGCGGCGGCGGCGGTAGCGGGCGACGGAGAGAAAAAAGCACGACGCGCTCACGACAGCGCTCGTCGCTTCTCCTTCTCTCAAACGGACGGGCAGGACAGCGGCGGGGACGAGCAGCTCCTATAATCACTCGTCTTGTCGCGGGCTTCTTTCCTTCTTCTTGGTTTGGCACACGCGCGCGGCCGCGCACACATGCAAACGAACGCGATCTCAACCACAGAACGTAGACGACGACGACGATGAAGACGACGATGAAGACGATGACGACGACAAACGGCGACGGCGAACGACGACACGACGGACGGCGACGATGACACACACTCGTACGGTCACTCACTCATTCACTCGCTCTCACTCGCCCGTTCGACTATCTCTCTCGTTCCCACCCGCTATCCTCGTCTATCTCTCTTTCTCTCTCTCTTTTCTTCGTTCTTCACCGCCGCGATTCTCTTCGTGCGCTCTTCCACCTCGCTCTTACACGACGGACTGCACTATATACACGCACGATATACGGCAGAACACACACGCGGCACCACACCACACCACAACGCATTCACAACCGCGCGTTTTTAACTACGCGCGATTCGGCACGTGAAACAGGCGTTTCCCGCGAGTCTGTTCCATATATGAAAGCGAATCGCGTTCCCGTCCCGACTGTTATTGCCAATCTCGCCGTGACGGGCTAACGGAGGGAGCGGTCGCAGGTTCGGTCGCGTTCAGTCGAACACCTCCTCTGCCAGGCACTCATTTACGGAACAGCTAGACTCGCGTGCTCTTTGCTATTCTTGGCCGTTCTTCTCGCGCTCCGTGTCCGACGAACGAGCTCGAACTCGAAACCACGGCATTGCCAACGTAACAAATCGTCGTGTATCTAGAAAATTTATTTCACCACCGGGGACTCTCCCACGGCGCCGATCGTATTGCGAGAGCGTGTGAAAATCATACAAATTCCCGGCTCGATTGATTCTAATTAGTGAGTAATTTTTTTAAGATTTGAAACAAATAATAAAAGAATTCACAAATCGAAAGAATTAATTTTAATTTAACGAGCGAGATATCGAAATGATTCACAGCGCTGTGCCGGTGCTCAGATTACCAATCGGAACGTGTTGATTGGTTGATTCATAGTAAATTTATATAGAGTTTTTTATCTTGGAAATTTATAGATCCTTCAAAACTCGCACACGCCGCCGAAGTGTGTGTTGTGAGAATTCACGGCACACGACCGTCTTCCGATGTCTCTTCGCGCATCCATGCGATTATCTCGAGTAACATGTGATTTATGACACTGCAACTTCCTCCATCCTTTTTTTTTATACTGAAGTTGGATTGCATCAGCCATATCGGTTGGATGTGCGCAGTGAATATTTTTGGACAATTGTCGGTGTTTTACACCACTTTCTTTATTATTATCTTTAATTTAAACAAATGCACAACTCCGTGGCTTGGCGTCAGGAACCCAATCCACGGTTTTAAACCTGTTATCAAAAAGACATAGAATGGCGTATGGACTAGCTTTATAGGTCTACTGAGCCAAAAGAGCACCAAACCAACCAATCCTCCATCCTTTTTTCTTCGTTCTTATCACCATGAAAGCGTGTTGATTTTTTCCGCGGAAACTCATCGTCAGGCTTTCAAGGTTAACGGGTGGACTTTTGTCGTTTTAAATTGTTCTAAACTTAGGATAAAATTTAAAGACGAAATTTGTGCGCGATCGACTGACAGAATGGGTACCGAACACATGTTGAGACACGATATCGAACGATGTTTGAAATTAATAGTGTCTGGAAACGACGCGGCTGTCAACGACGGATGGACGATGTTGCAGAATCTGCAAGACAATCGTGAGCTCACCCGGCTGATCGATTGCGAGGACATACTTAGAAGCATTTTGAGGAATCAGGTGATAAACGTGTCCGAAGTGCCGAAAATCATGGCGTGGATGTCACCGTACATAGAAGAAAAACGTTTCAACACCAATCCGATTTCGAACGATGTCGCTACGCTGCTTCAGAATACGGATATTCGGGACATGTCACAGCTGACCGAAATTTTGAATATTTTGACGGATCACAGAGTGTATTTGCCTAGGTCGGCGAATTACACGAAACTCTGCGAGGCGATAGTCACAAGCCTGTCTTCTTTTCAAATGCCGTTGGACTCGAAAAAAATTCAAGAGTTCTACGACAATACCACCAAGATTCAGAATTTTCTCAAAATACTCTGCTCGAACACAAAAAACGGAGAACGCGACAGTTTGATGTTTACTTGTCTTCAGACTTTGTACAACATCATATCGGATACCAACAGAAAACCTGAACCAGGTCCGGGACTAGCTGCTATATTGCAGCTGGTAGAATCGTCTGTTATTCCACAGGCGGTCGACTGGATTTTATCTCAAACGGATTCGGATCGCGAATTGGTACAGGCTTTGAAAGTTTTGTGTAATTGGCTTCCTAAGTGGACAGGTGATCGTCTGAGTGTTTGGATAATGGAGTTTATACGAGGATTGGAAAAACAACGCAAGTACTGCACTCTTCTCGAACTTACAGAATCCTCGGTGGACATATTAACATTAATGTGCAGTGTATTGATGGTACCTGTAATTCGTCAAAATGCTTCCAATATTATATTTTACATTTTAAAGAGACAAAGCTCGGTGTCTGTTGTTCAGAATATAGCTAAAAGAATTCTAAAGTTGATAAAAGATCTGATGCAAGAAGATTCAGAATCCAGCAAAGATTGCATACAAAATTTAGTTGATATTATGAAAGTGTACAACAAAAGATTTTCATGTGTATCATCAATATGTGGAACTATGGAAAATTATACTTTTCCTATGTTGCCAAGACCACAAAATGTTAGGGAAATTTATAAGGAACCGGTATGGATAGATGAAACTAAAGAATATGAACCAGTTTTAGAACCAGAAAGACCATTATCTGGAAAAGTTGGTCTGTCTAATCTTGGTAATACATGTTATATGAACAGTGTGTTACAAGCTTTATTGATGACTCGACAATTTTGTCAAGAAGTATTGACTTATCGTCCAGAAACAGGGAGAACACCCTTGTTAGAAAAGCTTCAAAATTTATTTGCATTATTATTATATTCCAAGAGAATATGCTTGGCACCCACCGAGGTGTTACAAGCATCAAGACCTACATATTTTTTACCTGGACAACAGCAGGATAGCTCAGAATTTCTTTGGTTAGTATATTGCTTCCCCTGTCTTAAAAGCTTTTATAAGTGTGATTTAAAATCTCTGTTATCTTTTCACAAAAACATTCATTTATATATCACTAATTATTCAAATAATACAATTTATCTATGTTTATATTTTTTATACACAAACTCTTAATTGCAATTAATAAATTTGTTTTTTATAGTCATCTCCTTGATCTTTTGCATGAGCAAGAAAAATCTGCTAATACTAACTGCGGGGGAAATGACAATGTGTCTACTCTTAAATGTAAAAGTGAAAAGCAGGAAGATGATGTGACATTATCAATGGAGCCAGAAAAAGGTATTATTAAACGTTGGACAACTGAGGAAGACTTAACGGAAGGCTTAGCGTTGCAACGAAAAACACAGTCACTGGCTGATTTTACACGAGGTAATAAGTGCAAATTTTGATTACAACTAAGAAATATCGCGCGTACATTCTTGCGTGTGAAATGTTTCTAATTCTTTTATTTATATATATATAATAAATATTATATTTAATTGTATATATTTTTGATCGTAATGTCTTAAATTTGTGTGTAAACAGGGGAAGAGCTAGGACAACGACTCAGCGATTCTCATTCGGATTCAACTGACAGCGGTATACAATCTGTAGGAGGTGAAGAAACAAGTACATACACATCCCTTGTTCATAGAGTGTTGGGCGGAGAGTGTCAAATCACTTACCAATGCACACAATGTGATACAAGTTCTCGCAATACGGACAAATTTCGCGACTTGCAGTTGTGCTTTCCCGAGGAGATACAGGAGAATCAAGAAGTCTCTGTTCAGGATCTCATTAACTATTATCTCACACCAGAGAAGTTAACGGGAGAGAATAAATATCGATGCGACAAGTGTACAAAATTGTGCGACGCTCAGAGGATCATTACTATTCTGCAGGCACCTGCTTATTTGATTCTGACGTTAAAACATTTTCGATACGACTTTGACACTCGATTAAGGGCAAAACTTCGACACAAAGTGGTATATAACGATGCTATACAGTTGCCGGTGTCGGTGGAACCGTGTACTGTAGCCGAGACATATAATCTGTATGCCGCCGTGGTGCATTCGGGATACAGTATGGATTACGGACACTACTTTACGTATGCCTGTGATTCTAAACAAAATTGGTACAAATTCAACGACAGTTTTGTAACTCAGACCACGTTTGAGGATTTCAAAAACTTGAAACCTCCTGATACGCCTTACATATTGTTTTATGAAAAATCAAGCGCCCACGATGGTATCTACGAGGACGATAAACTCGAATTGTCGACACTGAGCAAACGACTGCAAGAATTAATAGCAAACGATACCACAGATTATATAGAGGAGCTAAGACGTCGAGCGATTTCGTCGCACCGTAATCAACTTCCGACAAAAACGCTGAAGCAACATAACAATTCTGACGATGATAATCCACCACCTAGCAGCTGCCGGGGTGCGATCGATGTCCCAGCAAATCGCTTTCTTTTTTGAACAAGTGGATGTATCACGCGAACAGATCCATAAGTTCCATCGCCACTTGAAGAATATTCTACATTTGTGTCTTGATATTTTATGTGTGTTAGTTAAAATAAAATGTCGACACGGTTGCGCGTAATCGCAAAAGGATGCGTCGTATGATTTTGCATCATATCATATTGCTATGGGAAAGTTTTCTATGAGAACTGACGTTAGTTTTACCTGTTTACATATTATTACGAAGAAGGAACTGCACATCACATTACCGTAACTCGACGATAGTTACAGTATTGGAAAAGGTGATTACACTAACTATATACAAAATAGCGCGAGATAAAAACAGAATTCGAGATTTCATGTAAGACGAATTTATGTGTATATATATATATATAATGTATAAAAAAATGAATGTATTATTAATAATCACAGACGATACGTTCATGTACAGAGACAATTGATGCTTTCACATGTGCTAGATCTAGAAATATTCAATATGCTCTCCATGTAAATTTAAAATTTTTATCCTGTGATGAAAATTCAGGAAATAAGATAATAAACAAAAGTATCAGATGGAGTTGTAAACTTGTCAATTTTATAGCAGACTATCTCCTGTGCAGTGTGTCAGGAACAGGAGAAAAAGTAAAAAAGACGATTCACTATAGAAGCTCATATCGGACGATATTGTACTTCTAATTGGATGCACAAGCGTTTGCGCACTACTCTTACTAATACAATGATTCGAACTCCAAAACAGAAAGCATCCGATTGAAACTGCGGAGTAGTAATTCTAGAGCTAGTAAATGTGTGCAAAAGTGTTAATTCCGGTTAGTGTACATGAAAAAAGTGTATTACGCATAAAACGGTTTTAGTTATTAATATTGCATTGTGTTCAATGTGTTTTAAATTTAGTGCTTTACACACACACACACACACAAACGCACGCACACGCACACACACACACAAACGCACACACAAAACGTTACTGAAAAGTGTAACGTATACTCGAAACATTTGTAAGCCTTATCCTCGTTATATTACTTTTATAAGACTTCATGTTAATTGCTATTAAATTATGTTCTCTTAAGTGTAACTTTTTATTTTACCTCGGCGATGTATGATTTGATATTTCCGATTTAAGTAAAATTTTTATTTTGCTCACACAGTGCGCTCGCTGTCTCGGGTCTTACATCGGTCTCATATGTACTACATATTTATTTAGCGACATATATAAGTCTGAAAGAAATACTTACATTTTTTTATAAAACAGTTGTTTATCTTAGACGGCAAATGTATTTCATTGAAATTTAATTTTAAATTGAGATAAAAGAAGCTTTAAGATTCTTTTTTTTCGAACAACCAAGATATAATATTTTGCACCTTTTTTAATTAATCTAACATATTTCTAAATTATTTTGATAATATTATTATTTTATAAGCGCAGTTCTCAAATGTATATGCTAAACTTGCAAGTGCACTCTATCTCTTTTTTTTTTTACAAACTAAAATTTTTTCACAAAATTCTATCGACATAAAAATAGAAAAGCTTTTTTCAATATTTGTACGTTTCTTAAAAGCAAATGGTTTTCTATCTCAATAAAATATTGAAACAAACTTTTGTACATGAATGACAAAAGAGAGTAAATTCTTCTTGATTTTTCAATTAACTCTAATCGGCTTAGTTAAGTAATACAGTACGTTGTTATACAGTAATGAGAAGAGACATGGTGTAAGTATACTTACACCATGGAGGAGAGAGATTATCTGTCATCACATACATTTAGTGTTTAACTCACAAATCGATAACTCGCGCAAACTCACAAATTTTATAACGCTATGTCATGAAGTTTGCAGAAGAATTTTGTTGAAATGGTTTTATCGAGGAATGTTTAGGTGTATGTATGTGTGTAAAGTTACAATGACTAAAATGTTGTTAAGAAAAGTATATTAAGAAACATAAAAAATACAACTTATCGGCTGTGGACTTTTGTATATGCGTTGTGTAGTTATTTGATCAAACAAAACAGTATTTGATAAGTACAAGGAACAAACTATCCGATTTATAATCCATTACGATTGTTATGCGTTTACTTTTAATAAATTATTTTAATAAATATACTTTACAGAGACGTAAGTTATAAATTTTAAAAGTATTTATAATATTGAATACATAACGTATGCGTCTTCTTGCGGTAAAAGGAATCTTCTGATTAATAAGGATCGTCTGAATGTGCCAGATTGAGCTTTTTATTTACCGATGCAATTTTCGTTTTCATCTCTAGATTGTAATACTTTTGTTTCGTTTAGCAAAGAGTCTATTTTTTTAAACAACAGGTGAACGACGCGTGTATACTGATATCCATGTTCCGATAAGAATCGTGGAAAAATATCACGATTCAAAATTAAAAAAAAAAAAAAAAAGAAACCAATTTGCTGATATTATAAAAAAAAGTAGTATATTTTAATGATAGATATATTGCGTGCGCGCGTGCAATATGTATACTCAAACCACTTCGAGATCTGTGATACCTTTGTACTCTCCGTCAAGTTAACATTAACTTTTTGTTTAGCTCGGTGTCCATTGAATGCGGATATGCGGAGAGAAGATTGAGTTTGATTTATGATCCGAGCTTATATATGTATACGTGTACATATGTATACATACACATATATATATGTATTGTACAGCTTAAAACTATTACTCTTTTAGCAAATATGGTTGATGTTAAATAATATATTGAAATAATTAAAGTATATTTGGAATGTTTTATTTATTGTCAATGTCAACTAGTATTAATTGCGTGCAATGTTTCACTATGGAATATTATTATATATAATCTTCTGGTATTATCTAAAATAAATTTGCTATTAAAATCCATCACGATATAATTTGTATTATTTATGTTCTATCATTCTCTGCTGTTTATTTTTTATTGGAATTTGATTCTCATTCTGATAAATTCTTGATAATTCATTTGGATATGAGCTTTTGATATACAACAGACAAGATTTTAATCTATCTTTGAGAGCTTCTTTGTGTGTGATTTCTTTAATAAAATATATATGTCTAATACGTATATCTTTTTTTCACGTGACTTCGCGTAATTATTTACAGATAGATAATATTACGCTCACATGTGCGTGCGCGTGTGTATATTATGTGTGTATAAAAATTATGTAAAAATTCTTTTAACTCACGCGTCATTTAAGTAAACATCACATATAAAATTGTAAATCAATTTAAATAAAACTGATAAGATGACATTATCTAAAACACATCTAAACAGATTCCATTATCATCTTCGCACTTTGAAATCATTTAATGTTTACACACGGGATTGATTGTGTTGAAAAAGATGAAGAAGGTATATCTCGCTGCTGTGGCAGGTATGCAATTTTAATTGCTTGTATTTAGATTTTTTTTCACGTGTTATATGCACGCGCACACACAGAGACACATACGTATATATATATACATATTAGAATTCTAAAATATTGTCTGGTTTTTGAGGTTAAATTTAGAAATATGTTTTTAAAACTTTAGACAAATATTTATACATAAGTTTACAAATACTGTTTACAAATAATTTATTCGGAAAACAGGGTCTCTTTCATCATTCCTTAAAACCTAATATTAGTGGTGTTGTGGCAAATGATAATCAACGTTTGCTCCAAATTTCAAGCTTTACAACGGCAACAAAAATAAAATATTTTGATATAATTATGATTCAACCAAGATATATTATAGAAAAAGAAGAATATTTGTTCCGTATATGCTGTTAAATTTTTAATTAATTCATCACTTGTTCCTAAAAGATGACACGTCAATAGTTTTTTTCGCTTTGTATTTTTACTCTTTGTGATTTTCTAACTGCTGTCACTTTGTTAATATTGTATATAAAAAATGTGACTTTGGCAAAAAAATATTTTAACATAATAAAGTTTAAGATATTTTTTTTTTTTTTTGATTGGTTGATTCTAAAGTAATTTGATGAAAACATGTATATAACTTTTATCTAATACAATTCTATCTTTTGCAAATAAAATCTTTATATAAAATTATTTTTTCTATATGTATAAAGAAAAATAACTTTATGTTTATTGAGACGTATTATATATTTTATAAGGAAATCTTGGTATGCTCTCAATCGGCCAATTTTTCGGCTGGGCATCGCCTTCCTTACCTGTCTTGATACAAAATAAGGATGCTACGTATCCCGTGCATTTGACTTCTGACGAAGGTTCTTGGGTCGCAGCTTTACTTATGCTCGGTGCGACTATAGGTGCCATTACATTTGCCTTTATTGTAAATACTATCGGCAGAAAAAACACCATGTTACTTGCAGCTGTGCCATCAATAATTAGCTGGTTGATGATAGCTTTTGCAACATTGCCGTGGGTAACGAACACTTTTACTGATTGTTAGAGATATGCACAAGTAAAACTTGGATTTTTAACGCGATAAAATTATAGAGCACGTGATTTAGATAAGATATAATTACATTGAAGCTAGAAACTGCTTATATTTCCGGAAGATAAGGTATCGATTGATTATGTGATTTGATTGTGTCATCTGAAAATATTCAAATATTATCGTTGAAAAAAAATTCCAACTTCAGATTTCCGTTATCATAAAATTAAAAAAAATAAGAACATTTTGCAGAAATCGGAAAAAAATATTCAGTTTTTGCTTCTTTATCCTTTCAGTTCTTTATCTTTTTATCTATGTTTTTTCTAGGAGTTATACATATCGAGATTCATATCCGGATTTGCTGCAGGCATCGCTTATTCCGCCACGCCGATGTATCTGGGTGAAATTTCACCGCCGAAAACCCGTGGTATCTTAATATCTATGCTGACAGTTGCTACAAAACTGGGCGCTACCTTTGAATATATGATAGGCCCGTTTCTATCCGTGAAAACTCTTGCCCTCATATCTCTAGCAGCTCCGTGTCTGTTTGGAGTTGTTTTCATATGGGTACCGGAATCCCCGTATCAGTTGATGCGACGTAATGGTAAGCAGAAAGCGATACAATCTCTTGTTCAATTGAGAGGTGAGAAAGATGTTTACAAGGAAGCGGATGATATCGAGCAGTTTGTGAAAGTAGATTTAGCTAATGAAGCTGGTTTTCGAGAACTTTTACTTGTGCCGGGTAATCGCAGGTAGGAAATGAAATTTTCTAACGTTCCATCTACATATTTGCGCAATAATTACATACATATTACGCGAAATATTAAAAAAACAATTTCTCTGCAACTAATAAAAGTTGTAGATATTAAATTTTTTTATTTTTATAGTTAAAAAAAAAAAAATAAGTTTTAAGTCTGGAGTTTTTTTATTGAGAAATGTTTTAATTTACAGAGCGCTGATAACTTTGATATGCATGGGCATATTTCAACAAATGAGCGGTAGTCAAGCCGTGTTGCAATACGCTGAAATTATATTTGACGAGGCAAACGGCAGTCTGGAAGGTAAATATTTAACGATGATATTGGGAGTCGTGCAAGTAGTCTGTACGATAATCTGCATGTTTGTTACCGATTACTGCGGCAGAAAATTGTTGCTGATAGTTTCTTCCATTGGTGCCTCTTGCTCGACCGCCATAGTTGCGACGTATTTTACTTTGCAACATCATATGGATATTAGCAAAATCGCGTGGCTACCTGCCATCGGTGTACTCATGTACATAGTCATGTATTGCCTGGGTCTGGCCTCGCTAGTGTTCACCATGGGCGGTGAACTGTTTCCTACAAACGTGAAAGCCTTAGGTTTGATGATGCCAATAGTAATGGGCAATATTATTGCCTTTATCGTGACAAAATCGTACGCGGTTATAGCCGCAAACATCGGCGTACACGTGCCGTTTTGGATATTTTCCGCGTCCAGTTTCGTCTCCGCATTATTTACGTTTTTTTACGTACCGGAGACTAAAGGAAAGACGCTGGAGCAAATACAGGAGAAATTGCACATGCCGCCTAAGCAATAGGAGAGTATGTAAAGAAAGAACATTTTCATTTTCACATGCGGATCTTGAAGTGATAATTATATGCGACTTACAAGTACAATTTACATTCTTGAAATCGGAACAGATTAGATTCAGAAAATTATTTAAAAATTCCGCAATTCTATGTAAAATTGTAAGACTCGCTTGCTCTCGTAAGACTTGCAATAACTCAACTGCAATTCTGTGCGTACTTTTGTTTTACGATCACGCGTAAATACCTTGCGATTTTTTGTAAATTTCACGGTTAACAAAAAGTTCATCATTCAATTAGTAGATTATAGATATACAACAAAGACGCTGATGTAATATTACAATGTACGGAAAATTGTAATTCCTTACGATTGTCTCGCCGTGCAAAATAATTTTACAATTTTACGATTTATTCATACATTTGCTTAGAATTGCAGTTTTTTTAATGTTTATAAGATGTTCTCATCTAAAGTAATCTGTAATGAGAAAAAATTATTTATAAAATTATATTTATAAAATTAATAAAATATATTTATAAAATTATATTTATAAAATTAATAAAATATATTTATAAAATTAATTATATTTATAAAATTTATTATATAAATGTATAATGAGAAAAACTGAAATGGAAAAACATGTAACTTTTATAGTAAAAGTTACTGCAGCATACGTATATTTACTATTTATATATAGCATAAAATTCATAAGTATCACATATTTATGTAAAACAACTTTTCAAACAATAAATGTAGATACTTCAAAACTCGATGCATTTACCAAATTTTCTTAAAATCGTCCAACATGTGCGTCTAAAATATTATATTATGGAAAGTTGATATCTCACAATCGGATCTACGAAGACGCGTTCAAATTGTTGACTTTTACATGATAAGTATGTGATTATAGAAATTGATAAAAAACGTCATTATAGGTTACATGCAAGAAAGTTGTGGATTATTTATATTGTACATCTCGAGTATTTTGTGCGTGTGTGTGTGTGTGTGTTTAAAAAATGACTATCAAAATTTAGGAATGTTTGAAACAAAGAGGCGATAACATATGATATTATCTCAGCTTCATTAAAACAGATTCTATCGCCAATCATTCGAGTTTGATTTTATCGTTAACAAGAATTTTTTTTGAGATTTCTCATTTAATGTTCGCACGTGGAATTGATCGGATGGAAAAAGATGAAGAAAGTATATTTCGCTGCTGTAGCAGGTACGTAGATAATTCTATTTAGAAAAATGTCGCAAAACATTTATCTTTTATTATTTTGTTTACATTCAATTAATTAACTTATTTATTTATTTTCTCATTTACATACAATTATACACTATACATTAAAATATTTTAGATCTTAGAATTGAGAACAACTTTGTAAATACATCTTTATTTTGATAACAAAAAAATAATTTTTTGTATACTTATATAAATAGATCTTTTAACAACAGAATGTTTTTAAGGTAACATTGGCCTGCTGTCAATCGGCCAATTTTATGGTTGGGCATCGCCAACCTTACCCAAACTGATACAAGACAAGGATGCTGACTATCCTGTGCATTTAACTGTCGAGGAAGCTTCTTGGATAGCAGGTTTACTCATGTTTGCTGGAGTTCTTGGCTGCATTATGTGTGCATTAGTCGTGAATATTATTGGTCGAAAAAACACTATGTTATTTGCAGCTATACCATCAATAATCAGCTGGCTGCTTATAGCTTATGCGACATCGCCAATGGTAGATCAAAATTTTTACACACATTCGGCAAAACATTTTAATATTTACTACCAAAAGAGATAAAATCTTGAAAAAAATCTTGAATACCTTTAATGCGCGAAATTCTTCTTATCATTTATATTTTCTTCTTTTTTTTTCAGGAACTTTATTTATCGAGATGTTTGTCTGGAATAGCTTCGGGTATTGCTTATTCGGCCACGCCGATGTACTTGGGCGAAATTTCGCCGCCAAACATTCGTGGTAATTTGTCATCCATGTTGACGGTTGCTGCAAAACTAGGCACTGTCATCGAATACGTGATAGGCCCGTTTCTCTCAGTGAAAAATCTCGCTCTCGTGTCACTGACAGGTCCGTGCCTGTTTATAATCACTTTTATTTGGGTACCGGAATCACCGTACCAATTAATGCGACGTGACAATAAACAGAAAGCTATAAAATCTCTCGTATTATTGAGAGGTAAAGAAGATGTATATAAGGAGGCAGAGAGTATCGAGAGATCCGTAAAAACAGATTTAGCTAACAAATTTGGTTTTCGAGAGATTCTATTTGTGCCGGGTAATCGCAGGTAAGATTGATATCTACTTTTAATCGATCGTTCCTTTTAATACGTACATTTCTCACACAAATTCTAAAAAACAAGTTCTTATCTGTATATCGATTAAGAAATTCGCGTGTTTTTTATTAATTATAAGAATGTCTGTATTGAATAACATCTTTAAATATTATCACAGTATATTTGTAGTAAATCTTTAATGTCAAAATAATAATAAAACACATTTTTTTTAATGTCAAAAAAATATCCTAGTAAGTAAAACACTTTATCAATATGTTTTCTCACATTTCAGAGCTTTGTTAATTAAGTTATGTCTGAACACGCTTCAACAAATGACCGGCATTCAGGCCATAATGCAATACGCTGAAACAATCTTCGATATGACTAATAGCAATCTGGAAAGCAAATATTTGACCATGATATTGGGCGCCTTACAAGTGAGCTGCACGATCATTTGCATGTTCTTCACTGATTGTTGCGGCAGAAAGTTGCTTCTGATCATTTCTTCCGTTGGTTCAGCGTGCTCGACCGCCATAGTCGCGGTGTATTTCACTCTGCAACACTACGACATAGATACCAGTAATCTAGTATGGTTACCCGTCATTGGTGTATTCATGTACATAATCATGTATAATTTGGGTCTGGCTCCACTACTATCTACTTTAAGCGGCGAGCTGTTTTCCATGAATATAAAGGCCTTCGGTATTACGCTGGCGATGGCAGTAGCCAATATTGTTGCCTTTCTCGTGACAATATTATACTCGGTTTTTGCCGAAACCTTCGGCGTACACGTGCCATTTTGGATATTCTCCGTGAACGGTTTCCTTGCCGCTTTATTTGTCTTTTTGTACTTACCTGAAACTAAAGGTAAAACTCTGCAGCAGATACAGGAAAAGTTGAACAAACCGCCGAAGAAGTGAGAAAGTAGCTTTAAGTAAGAATTGTACATATTAATATATAATTTGATACAAAAGTAGATTTGTATTTGTATATATTTGTATTTGTATATATTTGAGAAATCGAGTAACTTATACTTAATATATATTTATCTTTAAAATTATTTTAACTTGAAATACGATAAAAATGTTCCAGCAAATCATTTTTCCTTATAGTGTTCATCATTCGCGCAAAAATTGATAAATATTGTCACTTGTAAAAATTATCGCACTTGTTACGAGTATTTTATGTATATGTTGTAATTACACCTGATTGTCTAAATAATAAAAAAATATCTCAATATAACTGATAACGTGACATTATCTAAAACACATCTAGACAGATTCTATCGCATCTTTTTCTGTTGAATTTGCTCATTTAGTGTTTGCACACGGTGATTGATTGTATTGAAAAAAAAATGAAGAAAGTATATCTCGCTGCTATAGCAGGTATGTACGAATATATTTATATTAGTTATATATATAAATATATTAGTTATGTTACATATGATAAATATATTAAGAATATATTTATATAACATGTGTGTGTGTGAATATATAACATTTATATAATATCAACAATTATATATTAAAATAAAAAAATTATATGTAAATAAATATATAACATATATTATATATTATATATGTATGTAAATAAATTTTTATTTCACGTTAATTCACGTAAAACAAATTTTTATATCAATTGGAAACGAAATTTTTTAAATAAAATTTACACATATTTTAGATTTGTTAATTTTGTTTATATGTCTAAAAAGAGATATTTGTACTAATATGAAGCAATTTTTAATAAGACGTTTTATTTTGTAAGGTAATATTGGCATGCTATCGGTCGGCCAATTTTTTGGTTGGGCATCGCCTACATTACCGAAACTGATACAAGACAAGGATGCTGAATATCCCGTGCATTTGACTTTCGATGAAGCTTCTTGGATAGCAGCTTTACTTACGCTCGGTACAACTTTTGGCAGCATTATATGTGCATTAGTTGTGAATACTCTTGGACGAAAAAACACCATGTTGTTCGCAGCTGTACCATCAATAATTGGCTGGTTAATAATAATCTTTGCAACGTCACCGTGGGTAATTTAAACTTTTTATATTTTTTGATAGGCACACACATGGTATTTTCTCATAGAAATACGTATCATAGTGCAAATCTTGAGATTATAAATGATTTTTATTTTGATGTTATTATGTTATTAATATCATAAATGTAAATCACTTTTATTCTTCTTTTAATAAATTATATCAGTACGAAGTATAGTTGTATATTGATACTTTATATTTCTTTTTTTTAGTGATGTAATTAAGTTTTATATAATATTTTTATAAAACAATATTCTTATACAACAATTTTGCTTTCAATTTTACTTAAATTTTTATTTTTAAGAATCTTCAGGACATTCTTATTTCGTACTCTCTCTCTCTCTCTCTCTTTCTTTTTTTTCTCTTTCTTTTATTAATTAATATTAATATCAAGTATCTTGAATACATATATTACACCTAAGTAAGTGTCAAGACATACTTACGTGTGTGACGAGACATTATAAAAGTGTATGATATATTAAGACATGTAGTAATGTTAGAGATATATTTTTTTATACCATAATGTTTTTTATTTCTTATTTGATCTTTAGATGCTGTATCTATCGAGAATTATATCCGGTCTGGCCTTGGGCATTGCTTATACGGTCACGCCGATGTACCTGGGCGAAATCTCGCCGCCAAAAATTCGTGGTAACTTGATATCCATGCTGACGGTCGCTGTAAACATGGGCATTGTCATCGAGTACACGATAGGCCCATTTCTCTCAGTGAAAACTCTTGCTCTCGTGTCTCTGGTGAGCCCATGTTTGTTTATAGCAGTTTTTCTCTGGGTGCCAGAATCGCCATATTATCTAATGTTACGCAACGATAAGAAGAGAACCATAAAGTCTCTCGTTCAATTAAGAGGTAAAGAAGATGTTTACAAAGAGGCAGATCGTATCGAAGAATCCATAAAAGCAGATTTCGTCAAAAACTCGGGTTTTCGGGAACTTTTATTTGTGCCGAGTAATTGCAGGTAAAATATTCAAGGTTTATCGTCTGCTAACGATGATTTGATTGATTTAGTGAAGTGTACACAAATTAATTTTTCTTATCTGCCTGTCACTGCAAACATTTGGTTCTAAAACTTGTTTAAATAAACTGTTTTTATAACTGTTCTTATTTGTTTTTTTTGTAATATTTTTTCTTTATTGTTGAAAAGAAATCATAAAAATTTCTTAGAATATCAGAATTTTTTGTCATTTGGGGCACAAAATGTTTTTATTAATACATCTGTTAATTTTTTAGAGCATTAAGAATAAAAGTATGTCTATCTATATTTCAACAAATGAGTGGCATACATGCTATATTGCAATATGCCGAAACAATCTTCAATAAAGCAAACACCAATCTGGAGGATAAATATTTGACCATGATACTAGGTACCGTACAATTAATCTGTACAATTGTCTGCATGTTCATCACCGATCGTTGCGGTAGAAAGTTGCTCCTGATAATTTCTTCTATTGGTTCAGCGTGCTCGACCGCCATGGTCGCGACGTATTTCACTCTGCAATGTTACGACGTGGACACCAGCGTGCTGGAGTGGTTACCTGCTATTGGTATATTTATGTATATAATCATGTATAGCGTAGGTCTGGCTCCTTTACCATCTACCATAAGCGGCGAGATTTATCCAATGAATGTGAAAGCTCTTGGTATTATGTTGTCACTAAGTGTAGCTAATATTACTGCTTTTCTTATAACAAAGTTATATGCAGTTTTCGCTGACAACATTGGCACGTACGTATCATTTTGGATATTTACTGCGAGCAGTTTTCTCGCCTCTTTGTATATTTTTTTCTACGTACCCGAAACCAAGGGTAAGACTTTGGAACAGATACAGGAAAAGTTGAATAAACTGCCGAAGAAGTGAGAAAATAGATCAGAAAAGAAGTTACGTCGCGATCTTTTAATGAAGAACATTCAACAAATTGTATTATACATTATTCATTTATGTATTATATATTATACATTTTATTCCTAACGAACCGCTTTCTTTATATTAAAGAAATGGTTTTATTTCTCAAATAAAGATAATCGCGGTTCTTTACGAGCAATTTAGTATTTGCTCGCAAATAGAGCTCGTAAGAGTATTTTTATACATGTATTTAAAAATCAAAATATAATAATATAAATATAAAATAAAGTTGACAATTTCAATCTAAAATATCTCAATAACTTCAACCAACAATTATTTACTTTGTAAATTGCTCATTTCATATTTCACGCACACAGAAGTATTTATTTTAGAAAAGATGAAGAAAGTGTACTTTGCTAATATGGCTAATGTGTTTAGTTGTGCAAATTCAATTGTTTAGTATATAATTTTAATTGCTTAATTGGAAGAATCCACACACTACATATATCTATGCATATATTTGTTATTCTAGTATTTATATTGATTTTATAAATAAAAACAAACAATATACATATATCAATATTTCCATACAGGAAAACATAACGTCCATCTAATGGATGTTTATAAATCTTTGTGACGTTTAATAAACATTTAATAGAAGTTATATAAACTTTTGTGTGAGTTATATGAAAATCAATTTTTGTGCGTGAATATAACTTTATTTTATTAATTACATTGTCAATTACTTAATCAAAAATTATTAAATCAAGAAATAACTTTTGTGCAACACTGTGTGTATGTATTTTAGTAATAATAAATTTAAATTAAAAAATATTATACGAATTATTTTTTTCGTCTTTGTTTATATGAAAATTAGCTACTTATTACAGAGTAAATATTTTATTAAGATATATTATTTTATACAGTAGAACTCCAGTAATTTCGAGCATTACAACTTCGATTTTTTCTTTATAGGCGAGCTAATACGTTTTCCATTCTAAAAGTCTAATGCCCGTTTCCACCATCTTCGATTAATTTAATCGATCGATTGCTCATTTCAAGTCAACCGCGATTGGTCATTTCAGTCAATCAACCAATATGATTGATCGACTCCAATTGGAATAATCGATAGATTAAGTTAATCGAAGATGGTGGAAACGGCCATAAAACAAAGAGAACCATATATCTTTCGTCTTTTGTTATCAGTCAGTTGCTAACTAGAAGGGGAAAAAAATAATTTCGAACTTTAAGAAGATGCGCTTGAAATTACTGGAGTTCTATTTTGAGAAAAAAAATATTTACTTGAATAAAAAAATATTTACATTAATTTTCTGATAAAAATTGACAAATAAAGTGTCCTAACTTCTAACTAGTAAACAGCATTCTAACGTAGCGAAATATATATTAAAAAGAAAAATGTATAATACTTTATTTTAATAAAAATTATTTTTACTATGTATATGTAATTATATATATTTCTTTAATTATATATTTATTGCATATATATTTCAGAAACTTTAAATATAGTCTAACACATTATTCAGGATTAATATTAAATTATCAGTGTTTCACAATAAGATGTCAGGGTACATTGCTGATAAGACGCTATTATCTACATTGAGATAGATATGTTTTGGTATATATAATATCAACTTTGATTTCTAAGCTGCTTATTTAACGTTCAACACGGTGAAGTGATTGATAACAAAATGAAGAAAGTTTACCCCGCTGCTGTTGTAGGTAAGTACGTATGTCTATACACATATACAGTAGAACTCCATTTATATAAATCCGTAATTTGCTCGTGAAATTGTCAAAAAATAATAAATCAAAGGGCCGAAACGAGCAGTAAGTACAAGGTGTTAGTGTATGAAAAGCAGTTTTTTTATTAAAAAACACAACAGACGTTTCGGTCCATGGGTTAGGACCTTCTCCAGTGAAACAAATTAATCTAAACAAAATGTAATATAAATAAGCGCAAAGCTTCTTCGTAAAGCAATAACAGAATTCAAACACAATAAAAAAACTCCATTTATATGAACCGGAAAGAAGACAAGGAGTTCACATAACCGGGTAGTTCATATAATAAGAGCTCACCTACTTCTCTCATCATCTACCGTACGAGCGTCGCCCGCTCTTATTATCTGAACTATCGACGGTGTTCAGATAATAGGAGTAGACATTCAAATTATATAAATTCAATTGGTTTCATTTTATAACATTTTATAAAGAAGTAGCACTCTCACCAGTTTTTCAATCTTTTTAGTATATTGTTTTTATTAGAAAAACTAAGTACAGTTCGTTTCTTACGGTTTGAACTATCAAAATCTATGTTCGTCGTGAGATACGTCGTAAGTTTTCAACTTTTACTTTGAGACTAAAGCGTAGAAGTGAGATTAATTTTGAATAGAAAAGTGTTTTGCACAACATATGTATCGTTAATGTTTACATTTTAGACATTATGCAACGCTCGGCGATCAACAACTGAGCGTCGCAGGTCGTCCACTCCTGAACTCTAGCTGAACTCCTATTATCTGAACTACCAGCAATTGTTCAGATAATAAGAGCTCAGCTAGAGTCCAGGCATTGCACAAAAATCCGTTTATATACCTGGAGTACATATAAACGGAGTTTCACTGTATTTCTTTTATATTCTTGAAGATATATATGTCAAGTTATAATTTTGTATTATATTATTTCATATATATTTTAAGTAATAAAATTTCTACATAAAGTTTGTAAAACAAATTATAAATTAATTTTATTAATTAAAGTTTTACATTTGACCAGTAAATAACTCGTAATCTCTTTAAAAAAAATCTTCACATATGTACAAATTATTTTTTTCTTCATTATAAAAAAAGATTTATACGAGAGAGATAATTTTGCTATTATTAGAGAGAGAGAGAGAGAGAGAGAACACTATTTATTAAGACAATGTTTTACAGCTAACATTGGAGTACTGTCGGGCGGTCAATTTTTTGGTTGGGCATCGCCGACATTACCTAAATTAAGACAAAATGATACTGAATATCCTGTGCATTTGACTTCGGATGAAGCTTCTTGGATAGCATCTCTTATTATGCTTGGTACACCCATAGGTGCAATTATCTGTGCACTTATCGTGAATATCATAGGCAGAAAAAAGACTATGTTAGTTGCAGCTATACCATTAATAATCAGCTGGGTGATAATAATCTTTGCAACGTCCTCATGGGTAAATTAAAACTCTTATATCGGTAGATACGCAGTACTTTTTACAAGAGCAAAAAAAAAAACAAAAATACAAATCAGATGATACAAATATTGCGGAAGTAAAACCATTTTGCGAGATTTATTGTTTTATTCTTTATTTGATTTGCAGCAGCTGTACATATCGAGACTTATATCCGGATGTGGTACGGGCCTCGTTTTTACAACTGCGCCAATGTACGTGGGCGAAATTTCGCCGTCGGAAATTCGTGGTTACTTGTTAGCCATATTTACAGTAGCTTCAAGTTTGGGCACTCTTTTGCAATATACGATAGGCCCGTTTCTCTCAGTGAAAAATCTCGCTCTCGTTTCTTTGATAACTCCGTGCTTGTTTCTGATCGCTCTTATTTGGCTACCGGAATCTCCGTATCACTTGATGCAAATCAACGAAAAGCAGAAAGCCATAAATTCTCTCATTCAATTGAGAGGTACAAAAGACGTTTACGAAGAGGCAGAAAGTATCGAGCGGTCTGTAAAAGCAGATTTAGCTAATAAATCCAATTTTCGAGATCTTTTGTTCATAACAAGTAATCGCAGGTGAGATATCGAAAAAAAAATGTTGACTGATAACGTTTATTATATACTAATTATATATGAATTATTGTATTAATAATTTCTATCTATATTTACACGCGGTGTTTCAAGTAATACAAATATATTTGATTCCAAATTGTATTAAAACACTAAGTCAATAGAAATTTCGTTTTTTATGTATTTTATCAAAAATCATCTGTCACTTTACAGAGCTGTAACAATTGTAGTATGCCTTAGCATATTTCAACATACGACCGGTTTTATGGCTATAATGCAGTACGCCCAAACACTCTTCGATGAAGCAAAAACCGATTTGGATGGTAAATATTTGACCATAATAATAGGTGGCGTACAATTAATTTGTGCAGGCATCTGCATGTTCATCACCGATCGTTATGGCAGAAAGTTGCTTCTGATAATTTCTTGTATCGGTGCGGCATGTACAATCGCCATAGTCGCAATATATTTTACCCTCCAACACTATCGCGTGAATACTAGCGAATTCACGTGGTTATCCGCTATAGGTTTAATTATGTACTTTATCATGAACAGCGTGGGTCTTGCTCCTGTACTACCCATTCTGAGTGGCGAAGTGTATCCCATGAACGTAAAGGCTTTAGGCGGTATGTTGTCTTTGCTGGTAGCTACTCTAACTTCTTTCATCGTAATAAAACTATATGCGGTATTAGCTGATAATATTGGCACGTATGTACCATTGTGGATATTTTGCGCGTCCGGTTTTCTTGGTGCATTATTTACTTATTTTTACTTACCTGAAACTAAAGGCAAGACTCTGCAGCAGATACAGGAAAAGTTTAAAAAATCATCGAAAAAATGAAGAATTATTTGAATATATTTTTTTTATTTTTGTGCTGTTGAAATAAAAATATTATTTCAAGATAAAGTCGAATGTCACGAGAGAGCTGGAGAATAAGCGAGGATGCTATATGTGCAAAGATAGAGAAGATAGAGAAATAGATGTAGAATTTTTGCGTGTTTAACAATTATTTATATTGTATTGAGTGCTACTCGAGTTTTTGCGCGTTTAACAATTATTTATATTGTATTGAGTGTTACTCGTGTGTGCTCTTTGTTGTTATTCTTATCCCGCGAATCATCAAGTAATATACAGATTAAATAACAAAATGTGTTGTGCGGAAAGTTTTATTTTAAATTAAGCTAGATAATTTTCTTTATACATAATATAGATGGTATAAAATAAAATTATATATATTTTATAAAGAACATAATTTTTATAGCTCCCTAACACTTGTAAAAAAGTATTGTGTTTTTATTCTTTATAATAACATTATATTCTAAAGAAGAATAAAGTTTTATATAAATTTTTTATATTTATGAAATAATATATGCATAAATATATAATTATACTGCTTTTAATGTGTTCTCAAAACTCAGTAATAAATAAAAAAATAAACAAACACAACATTCATATATATATAATTCTATTCTTTTTATTACAGAACTCATATGTGAAATTGTGTTGACACACATACATATGTATATAGATAATGATCACGCGCGCGAGTCATAATAATGATATTTATCAATTCTTCTTTTACTCAACATTTTTATCAAAAACAATTATTAGTTGCGATTGTTTTGTAATGTAGAAAATTTCTATAAAAAAATTAATAACAAGACAAGTAGTTGTTGCGATACGATTGACGATAAATGTTTATCGATTCTAAATGTGAATTGCTTTATTTTCCGAATCTATTGCACACCATGTATTCATTCGCAAGTTATATTATATTTGTCTCAAAACTGATAAAAATAATTAAAAATTATGTAATTAGATAAAAAGTACAATATCAAAATGGTGCAATGTCATCATCAACTGATAAGATGTCATTATCTACATTACAATTAAGATTTAGATGTGGTAGATAAGCAGCTATCAATGTTATTCTCCTAGGTAAACTGCTTATTTATCGTTTGCACGCAGACACGATTGGTAAAAAACGATGAAACAAGTGTACTTCGCTGCTTTGGCAGGTATGGTTCTACTTATTATCTTAAGAGCATTTTGTATTATTTTTTTATTTATTTATGTATTATTTCTTTCTTCTTAAGAAAATAACATATAAGTGTTTCTAAAAAAATTTAAAAAAAAATTTGCTATATAATGTACAAAGTATTTTTTTTTTTACTTTTATAACAAGTATAACTTGTATCGTAAAATTAGAAAAATTTTTATTATAAAATTGTTTTATAAGGAAATCTTGGTATGCTGTCAGTCGGTCAATTTTACGGCTGGCCATCGCCAATGTTGCCTAAACTAATAAATGACAAGGACGCTGATTATCCTGTGCATTTGACTTACGACGAAGCTTCCTGGATAGCAGCTCTATTCATGCTCGGTGCACCCATAGGTGCAATTATCTGTGCACTTATTGTGAATATCATTGGCAGAAAAAAAACCATTTTATTTGCAGCTGTACCATCTTTAATTGGCTGGTTAATGATAATTTTTGCGACGTCACCATGGGTAAGTTTAAAACTTTTATATCGATAGGTAAACAGAGAAGTGTGCACCATATCGTGCGGTTCCAGGGGAAGTATTTCTCGAAAATTTCTTCTTCGGGTGCTCCTACTACCGCGCGCCGTTTTTCTTCGATCTCTCGGGCCACTGCGGAGACCGAAGGAAAAATTTTATTGCTCCTACTACTGCGCGCCGGTAGTAGGAGCAATAAAAAGAGAAATTTCCGGGAAATGTTTCCCTTGGAACCGCACTTCTCTGTACTGGATATAGTATCCACGTTCTTATATTTTACAAAAACAAAAACAAAGTCATACGAGATGATACAAGTATTGCGTAAATGTAAAAACGTTTCTTAAGCTTTTATTTTCAGTAAGATTGTTATTAAATTACAAATAATATTTAATGCTTTCGATTTCTTTGTTTTTCTATTTTTTATTCGGGTTTTTCAGGAACTGTACATATCGAGATTCATATCCGGAATAGGCGTGGGCCTCGCTTATACTAGTACGCCGATATATGTAGGCGAAATTTCGCCTTCAAAGATCCGCGGTACCTTGACAACCATGGTAGGATTTGCTGCATCCGTCGGTATAACTATACAGTACATAATAGGTCCGTTTCTCTCAGTGAAAAATCTCGCCTTTGTGTCTTTGACGTTTCCGTGTCTGTTTGTGATCACTTTTATATGGGTACCAGAATCTCCGTATTATTTGATAAGAAAGAACGCACACCAGAAAGCTATAGATTCTCTCGTTCAATTGCGAGGTACAAAAGATGTTTACAAAGAGGCAGAGAGTATCGAGCAATCCGTAAAATCAGATTTAGCTAACAAATCTAGTTTTCGAGATCTTCTCATACCTAGTAATCGCAGGTAAGATATTTAAGTATTTTTAATTATTATAAGTTAATGGCAAAACATGTTCAATTATTAGTTATTGTTAAACATATATCGGGAAATAAAAAAACTTAATTTCAGATGCATTAAAAGATAATAATAATAATAAAATAAAATTTATGAAAAACATTAGAAAATATTTACGAATAGTCGAGAGAATAAATCTTTCAATCGAGAAGCAAATAATTTGTTTTATTTTTACAGAGTTCTAACGATTATGATGTTCCTCAGTATAATTCAACAAGCAGTCGGTGTTTTTCCTATATTGTCATATAGTGAAATAATCTTCAATGAGGCGCGTACCAATCTGGAAGGCAAATACCTTACTATAATATTAGGCGTCATGCAAATGATCTCCGCAATCACTTGCATGTTCGTTACCGATCGTTTCGGCAGGAAATCACTGATGATAATTTCTTGCATCGGTGTGGCGTGCACGATCGGTCTGGTCGCAACATATTTCACTCTGCAATATTATCACGTGGACACCAGCGAGTTTGCATGGTTGCCCGCTATTGGTGTACTCTTGTACATAGTTATGTCCAGTCTAGGTCTCACTCCTCTACTGCCTACTTTAAGTGGCGAAATATTCCCCATGAACGTAAAAGCATTTGGTGGCATGATGGTCTTAGTAACAACTACTGTGATCGCTTTTGTCATGGCAAAAATACATGCGTCGTTAGCATATAGTATCGGCCTCCACGCACCAATGTGGATATACTGCGTGTGCGGTTTTCTTGGTGCTTTATTTACTTTTCTTTACTTACCCGAAACCAAAGGCAAGACTCTGGAGGAAATACAGAAGAAGTTTGTAAAATCATAGAAAAAGTGAAGAAATGTTTAAAGAGAAAACATTTATGGTTACTTTTTCATACATTCATGAGAGATCAAAAGAAACATAAACATAATTCATTCCATACGAAGCTCATATCTCACCTGAAATATAATCTGTGCCATAATAAAGTAAAACTTTTTTTACAATATATATTTACAATAAAACCGAAAAAAGCTGAAATAGAAAAGCTTAATGTTTATCTAGTGAACAATGCTATATATATATATATATATATATATATATATACATATATATGTAGCGCATAAATGCATAACAGTTTTATATTTCTTTTTTTTTACCAAAAAAACAATTTATCGAGTACGTATTTACAGTAATTACACGCGTCTTCACAAATGCGCAGAGATATACAACAATCACATATATTCCAACTGTTAACAGTTATAAATAATTATTCGGGGATATCTATACATGTAATATTCACGAGTCGTGAATGTGCTCTTCATCGCTTGAGGGCGAGGATTGACTGACCACGATCGTTATAGTTTCCTTGGATTTCAGCCAAGTCTTTGTAGCATTATCACTCTCGAGTTTTGGCAAACATTTTTTTGAGATCTCTGTTGCTGATAGCTCTGAAATATATGTATGTATTAATATGTATATACATATATACTGCCTATAAACATATATATTGCTTATGAACATACATATTGCTTATATTCAATGCAATATATTACCCCTCTATTTGATCTACTGTATGACAAAATTAAACAAAGGCAGTAGCATGTGAATTTTACACGCTCCGACGCACTTTAAATATTAGTTTGAGTTTTAATAAAAAAAAAAAAAAACAATTTATTTTATATCATTAAACAAATATGCAATATGTAATTAAATAATATAAATATAATTTTGTAGTTTTAGATGTATGTGGTTTTTAATTACAACCAATTTTTGAAGAAAATAATAAGATCTATAACTCGATCTTTTCAACTGCCATACACACATTTGAAAAGATTTATCTCAAAACTGCAACATTTTACTGCGAAATATTCTACATATATTGCAGTTGTCAAAATTTTTCGATAATTTTTGAAGAGTCGAAGCAAAATTGTTTCGCGCGCAATTTCCACTGACATGCGAGGAAATCCGTGACAAGTGAAATTGGTATCGTGGTTTAACGTGGTCGATTTATGAAAATGGTTTTGTGTGCGTCGCGAAGTAAACGCGACGTTTACTCTCTGCGGTTAAAAAAAAAAAAAAAAAAAAAAAGGCGCAATGTTTCTCGTTTCTCTTGTCAGTTTTATAAACTTATTTTTAGTTCCTTTCTCAAAAGACGAAGCGAAAAGCGCATACCCGGCGTTTCTATTTGACCGAGCGACGTTGATGTATCTGGAAATTGAACGTGCTTTCTCGGTAACCGACCCCCGGTGGTGGAAGTTTTCTCCGATAAGAGAGGGTTGTGACACGCCGTGGGACTTTGAGTCGGTGTCGCTTTTGTTTCGTTGTTGGTTGCGCCTCTTCGTGAACTTAGACACGACGTAGTGGCGGTTGTGGTCGGCGGTTGAGTTACGTATCTCACTACTGGAACCTTCAAGGGGAACTATATGAGACGTAGATATATTGCACAATGAAAAAATTTTCTAAAATCTTATCGCAGAAAAAAATGATAAAACTTGAAAAGCTTGTATGATAAAAATTAATGTTTAAAAAAGAAATCTCTCGAAGAATTTCCGATGCAAAGTCTCTCTTTGACACATATAAAAGAGACTATAAATGTAAAAGAATTTGACACCTATACAATCGATTTCTTTGATACAACAGAATAAATAATATAACACAGTTATTCCCTTATTTCATTCCATAGCTTTCGGAAGACACTCGATGATATTTTTCTTACGAAATTTCTATTAATCAGCACCGAAACTACGTCCGTGCTTAACGCGTCGTGTTATGATGATATCACCATCAAGTCATTTATTATTATTACAGCTCGTATATGAAGCCTCGTGTTGAGTCTGAGAATTTATCTATTATTTGACAACTGCTTCAATACGCATATCCGACAGTTATACTGTTTAAATTACAACTGAATATAATTCACACACTTAACTTTTTGTCCCTTATCCCACTGTTCCTCCCTCTGCGAAACTTTCGGAATACTGACCCTATATTCGTAGTCGTGCGCAGCAGTGCCGCGACCAGCTAAATATTCTTGGTACTGCGAGATGACACACAATAGTGAATATATCTGCAACAAGAGTTTTTTTTGTGTTGATATAATAATTAAATTACTTCCAACAAGAAAGTATATGCAAGTAACTAACGTAAATTTATAAAGAATTATTTCTTTGTGAACGTGAAATCATGTGTTTCTAATTATTTTTTTACACCAATTGAAAAAATACGTACACATGTCTCATACTTACGTTTAAAGAGAGTAGAAAGAAATTTAACGTGTACAGCATAAGTATTGACGGTGTGAAGACGAGCTGCAACAAATTAGGTTTATGATAATTACATACGCAAAGTTTATTTTTCGTTTGCATATGAATATACGTGACATATCTTTTATCTTGTTTAGAGTTCTTAAGTTGAAAAAAAGACGTAAATATATTTATATCTGAAGTCCGTTAAGTGTATTTTTGAAGATGCTGCTACGTATATAGTACAGTATATTATTTTTATAAAAAAACTGCTAAAATTAATTTCAATATTTTTTAGTCGCAAAACACAGCAGTCTTAAAATATTTATGAGCTTTTTAAGCAGTAGATAATTTCAATTCATAAAGTTTAAAGTTTACGTTGCAAATTTGATTCAAAAAAAAAAAAGAAATGAACAAAAAAGTAATTGTTACACATAATTTTTATATTTAATACAAAGGTTTAATAAAACTTCGTGTTATATTATAGAAGACTTTATTAAAACAAAATGTAAACTCCGTGTTACATTATAGAAGACTTTATTAAAACAGAAAAAAGAACAAAAACTTAATATAACATGATTTTGGAATAATTATAATTAATAAATATGAAGTATAAATTAACAATGAATATAAATTTTAGAAGTAATGCATGAAGAAAGTATCGATTTCCAATGAATTATATGGACAATAAGATTAAAAACTTTGCATTTTCAATTTTCTTGCTTGTGTGTCAAGGTTTTACGCCTCTTTTCCAAGTTTTTAAATTAATTTTTTTTAATTAATTGACTTTCAATGACATTTCTACGGTTTTACGAAGGTATAACTAAGAAAAACTATATTTTAAATTAAATACTAACCAAAGCGTGTTATAGCTTTTATCAATCGTGCAATTCAACAACAATTAGATTAATCCTTAGTGTAGAATATAATAAAAATGAGACTTTTTTTTTTATAATTTGTGCGTTAATACAATTAAAATACAATTACAATTGAAAAAAAAACACTTGATTTACATACTCACTGTTGCAACAAACACATATATTGAATGTGACACATCGAGAACACCGCACGTAACCACCGAGATCATCCATGGGATAAGTAATGACTTATAATCCTGAGAACACATATTTATAACACACTTGTGTGAAAAGAAATGAGATATTCACACGAAAGAGAGCCTTATATGAATGCAGACGTGTGCATAGCATCTTATAGAAATGTTTTCTAGTAAATTTTTTACTTAGCGTCTTCGTGAATTTCAATTACTCTTTTAACTGCAAGTTTTTTAATACGTATTATAACGACGTACTGCATTACCAAATAAATTATGTTGAAACGTAGAAATGTAATACACATAAATATGTAAAATGAAATGAGCAAGTGTATTTTTTTGCCAAATTAAACGCTTTGTATCACGCTCGTAAAAAGACGTCTCGTTATCAGCGTTCCTTTTGCTATTAATATTCATGAATATACACTTGCATCTAATGAATTCTTCTACCACGTGGATATCACGGTTTGTATTTTATTAATAATATTCGTCATCAAGCGAGTTACTCAAAATAATTAAGATTTTTAATGCGTCTCTCTTGCAATATAAACCGCGAGCTTTCGCTTCTTCGCCTACACGTATGATATTTATCGCTCGTAATAATAATGTTGCACACGCAAAGCAATGTTACATTACACAGCACATTGTTGACGAGCGCCATTGTGCATGTTGTTGCGTGAAAACTCTCGCTGATTAATACGAAAGCAATATATTGATGTGTTGTAAATTGGAAAAAAAAACAAATTAAGAATATATACGTTTTTTTTTCATCGGCTTTAACGTAAACTTAATTGTGTTAATATAAAGATAAATGTGAATTTTCGTTGTGAGAGCGAAATTTTTAATATAAATATTTTCAACTTACTAATTTAATCTAAGTTAGAATAAAAATATGTAATTATAGGAATAATAATTTTCCATAAAATCTCGTTAGATTAATAAACTTGTTAAAAGCATAAACAAACTGTTTGTTCAAGAAATATGTCAACTTTACGTTACGATAGAGATATTATTCGTTTAAACGGTATTCGTATCTCTCGGGAATAACACGTGCACATACATTTTATACCTTTTCATACCATCCATTTGAGAAACAACGTTAGTAGTGTTTTATCACGTGGAGAGTAAAAGCAGAAATATTCTCTAGTGTGGGTTCTCGAGTGAGGTTGATTTTAATGATAAATTTAATCCAAAAAAAAAACCAGCTATAATAAAGTTTACGTTTTTTCAAATACTACTATTCGCATCGTGTAAACGCTAGAACGCTAGAACTAAACTTTTGACTATTTATTTACTTTAAGATACACGAAAAAAAATAGTTTCATAAAATTATCTGTCTCTCTAAACAAATAGTAATACATCATGTAAAACAGTTTTGTTATTTATCTATCTAATGGTAAATACTAGCATCTAATGCAACAATTCAGTATGAAAATAACAATAAGAATAATAACAGAAGGATCTACGGAGCACGTTATCTAAATTCATTTCTCATAATATATTTTTATTTGATTTCTTCTTATTTCAAATTAGTAAAAAGACAACGCTATTAATCATATTCTAACGGACTTAATAATATATACTGAAATTTCCTGCCTACCTTGTACAAGCCGTATAAAAGAAGAAGACTGCACACAACGCCACAGCAGGAGCAGACAAGCAGCATTCCGTTGAAATAAACCGTCGCTGAAGCAATACAAGCAAAAATCGTTTAAAGCAAAGCTATAACTATTTCAATATATAGGTAGAATTTCGAAAAACTATTCCATGCATGACGTGAAAAATTTGGCGAAAAAAATCAGACGTACTAATGTCTCACTCTATGTATATATAGAAGAATATTATCTACTCTATCACATATCTACTTACTCGGCGATATGGTCCCCGATTCCAGAATGCTAATTGATTCTGGCAGGGAGACATCTCCCTTTAAATACTGATTCTCATCCCGAAGGACTCTGCTGGTCATCAGTGCTAGTAATGTAAAGTATATCTAAAACCAAGTTTTGAAGATATTTAAGATAAAATGCGATATACGCCGAGATGAAGATTTATTAAAAAAACTATTTTTCGATTCGAAACAGCAAGTTAAAACGCTACAAAATAATTTTAAAATATTATTGCTACGTTTGGTAAATAGGCCGAGAAGCAAGTTGGGAGATTTGTTGCAAATATCTCAATAATCGAAACGTGTACTCGGGCGTGTTTTTTCATGCTTGCGTAAGGCTGAGTACACACACTTGCAACAGAACATAGTAACTGCAACACCGTTGTAAAAACCATCATAGACGTAATGTTACTCACGTACACAATTTGAGAAAAATTGTTACACTCGCGAGTATATGCCACGATCACGGCGGAACGTAAGAACGTTCTTGTTCGCTCGCGACGACGACGTTCGGTTCGAGTAACAATTTTTCTCAGATGTGTTTGAGTAACATTATCATCCGATTGTTTTTACAACAGTGTTGCAGTTATTATTACTGTCTTGTTGCAAGTGTGTAGCCAGCGGAAGAAAGCGCAAAAACAGAGATTACTGTGCGCTGTATATATCGGTCTACTTTCAGCTATCAACGGACCGAACATTTGGACGTTTTTTGCACCGAAAGTAAATTTATTAGATGTTCTGTTCTTTGTAATTTATGCAATTATAAATTTCTAAAAACTAGGAAAGTTTTTTTGATAAGTCATAGTGTAGTGTTTTTTTTTTAATTTTAATACACGCTATTCGTATACGCTATTTTTACAAGAGTTTAGTTAATGAAGTTTTGATGAGTTATTTGTTAGTTTCACTAACAAATCGTTGTTATCTATAACACCGAGTATATCGGATATAAAACGTGATCTATAAAGTCTACATAAGTTTTTCTAATAATTTTTTATACATAAATATCTTACATGTGTATCACGTCTTTTGTAGAATAGATTTTGTAGATAAATTTGTAGTAGTTATATATCTATTCAATATCGTTTTTTTATTGTATATTGGTTTTCAATATAATAACGTACAAAAACGTTTACTTGGTGCTACACTTTTGATATCACTTCTTTTGTGAAACAGGGTTTTAGAAAAAGAAGGTTTTGTAGCATTTGTAAACAGGTTTTTCGAGAAAAAGAAGTTTTTGTAGTAAAAAAGAATGTTTTGTAGTGTATAATTTTGTAGAACAGGTTTTATAGAGAAAGCATTTTTTGTGTAGTATTAAATCAATTTTTAATTTATTACTATAATAACTATTTATTACTTTAATACTTTAATAACAATACGTGTTGTGCGTGTACTTGGCGCCTGTTCTTACTTTTTTTTGTTAAAAATTTTATTTACAAGAGTTTAGTTAATATAAAAAAGTATATGAACATCGATATGGGATTAGAGCGGGCCACCTATAAAAGTTTGTTTCTGTAGAGATTGGCTTTTTGTTTTTAATAAGTTACTTTTAATTTTTCATTACATTGTTAATCGATTACAATCTCACGATAAATTTTGTTTAATTCTTATTGTAAAACGTTGAGGTTTTAATTCTTGTTAGGTAAACCATTTTACATATAATTATTTTACATATTTTTTAAATATGAGATAAAAACTTTAATAAAAACTTAATTAATGTATCTAATTTTATTTTTAAGCAATATATAACCCATATTAGACACAATTATATTTATTAATACTTATATTTATATTTATATGTATTTATATTCATTAATATTTTTATCTCAACTTACTCTTCGGAGTGATGCAACACGTCTCATAGTTGAAACATGTTGGGTCACTCTGACTGTTTTCATTCAACATATACATTTTTACCTGTGTATGAAATATTTTAAGAATTTATGAGTGCTTATTTCTTGAGTTAGATAAATACATGCTATCTTTTAAAACAATTCTTTTTATTAATTTATCATAATTTTGTGTGGATTTATATTCGAATAAAAAGTGACTCAACTAGTTCTGCTTTAACCTATATTAATTTTAGTAAATATGTTAAATTTGTTTCAACACATACTTTACACACACACTCGATATATTGGAACACATTCAATTTGGAAAGTTTACAAATTAACCGCAAATTCTATATGTTGAAAAACATTAAAAATTACGTCATTATATACAAACTAATTGCACACAAGAACCTCAACGCTCTGAAGCGCTCTGACTCATGAGAACCTTGTGTGCGCACAACAAATTTTTTGGTCAGGTTTCTGGTTCAACGTTGTTTATAGAAGAGTTTTGACTTCAAAATTGTTTTACAAATGACAAACAACGGTGTTTACGTGTCTCTTTTTTTTTTTTTTTTTTTTATTATCTCGCGAAACATCCTCCGCCGAGTGCTTCCCGCAAGTTAAAACTCTCGAGACTCGTGAGCGAGCAATTTAATGATGTGATCAGGAAGGATGGAGAAGCAAACAACAGTTCGGCAGTTTCTTCGCCCACTTCAAATCGTGATTGCGGTCGAATCGCGATCGTTCCCTATTTCTCGCGTCGTTTAACTTGTCCAAAGTAGATTTTGCGTGCAAATTACTGTCAAGAGTATCGTATTCAGCCACAAACAATCGTTCCAGTCTGTTAATTGCGAGGGCGCGATCGATACGTACTTCAATTACTTATAAAGAGTGTCTGACATTCCGTCGAATCGAAACGAATTTGTCATTGCTTTCGCGCGTCGTAAGAAAATTTATTTTCTTTTTGCGAGTTTTTCACGTAAGTGGCGTAAAAAACTTCAACGACGATTTGTCTTAGTTACGTTAAAACGATACTATTGGAAGGATTTTCAAATGTTTGATATTGATGCCGAAACGCAATAAATGTCACGATTCTCATCAAAGCAATTTGTTTATTCATACGTGTCCTTCTCGTTATTTCGCATTACAGTTGTTTCTCGATATCGAGAATCAAAAGTATCAAAAGGATCACGAGGGGTTATTGCGAAAAGACCTTACTCTCAGAGAGAAAAGAGACGATTGTATGCCAAATGACATACATATACATACGCACTTGAACTGGTAACAATCTGTGATTGCGCGTCTGGCCAAAGATTGCCGCAAATATCGCGTGATCTTTTTCAAAAACCATTTGCAATCGCAAATGTTATAATAAATGGCGAAAAATGTAAGATATGAATTTTAAAGAGGTAATCTTCCGCACGATTTGGCGAAGTGATTTAACGAAGAAATTTAACGAATCGATGATCCTATATGAGTGGAAAACATCTCGTCTTTAGCTTGGAGAAATAAAACGGAGAGCGCGCCGTGTGTGAAATAACAAGCGATGGACATAATGAATGTTTTTGTGTGCGTGTGGTTGTAATCAATCGTGATACTGATAATTGGAGAGTAGGATTACTTGGATGGGAGCGCAAAAAGCGAGGAATGCAGATAGGTACTATGGCCGTCAACGAGATTTATCGATCGGTGAGTGAATATTTATTTTGCTCAAGAGAGATGCAAAATGTCGATTTATCTTGTCTTTCTCTTTGATAAAATATCGAGAGAAATCTTCTTAATAAATAGGGTCGAGCGCGTTTTTCATCAATGTACAACGCAACGCCGCACGAAATATCTTTTGAAATTATATTAAAAATCTGTATGTATATTTATTGCAAACATTTATTGACAGAGTATAAACACCGTTAAAAAATCGCGCCGTATATTGCGAGCTGAAAAAAATGTAATGGCAATATTTATTCAATTTTTAACAAATTACACACCTTTCGCAGAATCGTTCTGCCGAAGTTGGGAAATAGCGCTAAAAGGATTAAACGAAGAGGTATTGTGCTCTATTAGGTGGACAAATTTCCCAAGGGTTTATGATCACAGTTTGCTCGAGGTGTTTGTACGTAAATAGAAACGCGCGCACGACGAAAGCTCGAAACTGTTTACAGAACGCAATATTAATTAATATTGCAACGACTTGCGTAAGCATATCACACGCTGCTTTTGGTGCTCCGAATTAAATGAGAACGCAAAATCACATCGTCACTCCCTACGTATAATTACATAAGTGTCACATACGGGATTTTCAGTTTTATCGCATAGCGACACTTAGAAAGTCATATGTTCTTTATTATATCTCACCAAATATTAAAAAAAAAAAAATAAGGAATGTATAAACGATCGTGTGAGCCGTTCGCTGGATGTTGTTCGGAAATATGCGTGTGTGTATATATATATATATACGTGATATTTTTTTTTAAACGTATATATACACAGGGTGACTCAAAACAATCCTTTATCCTTGAAAATACATATTCTTGACTAAATTCTAAAACAATTTTTATTTGACAAAATTTTGTTTGAAACTTACTTTTTGAGTTATTAATAAAAATAGATGACTTACCACGAGTCGGATACTATAGAGGTAGGCAGGGATGGCGCAACTGCTCTTCTCTAAAATTTGCGTTTTGAAGTTACGGAATTATACCGTAGAGAGAATGACGACATATCGTCGTAATACGACGTTGTGTGTGTCACATCGTGCACAATGTATCTATGTTAAATATTACACAGTTCGTTCATGACATTAATGTTTTCGCTATTAAACATATGCGTCACATATTTCAGTGCGCAATTGTAACACATTACTCAGAATAGTACTATCTAACGGTAACGAATTATAATTTATTGTGGCATTTAATAATACAATTGAAATTTCTAATTACACTTATACCAAAACTACAAGGAGAAACTGTATTAACTTTTATGTATAAAAGTATAATTGGCGCGCGCGTACATTTATTTAAAACAAAGAAAAAAGTTAAGAGGATCTTGCGGCGAACTTCATTAAACCGACCAGAATTGCAAGCTATTCATCTCAAAACATTATTAATTCGTGCTAATTTATGTAGAAATATATAACAAAAGCGGGCAATTACTAAGTATATCTCTCTTTTTTTCATCTTGCTTTAGCTCAGTTAAAATTGTTTGAAACGTTTAAATAAAATTGCTTTTAGCGATTTCGCTTTGTCATGTCATGTGTTTTAAAGAAAGAGCTACGCACACTCTTGTAGCAATAAAAAAATATACGTTTAATTAAAATCAAAAGACGCGTATATCTATATTTAATTAAAATTTTAAAAAATGCAAAAAGAACTAATTTTATTCAAATTTTAATTCTTTTCTCTAAATTTAGAAAAGCATATTTTGATTAAAATGTGCAACACGGAAGCATTTAATTTACAAATTACAAATAAATCTTTAATTTATATTCATAAAATCTAATATATATAATATATATTCTGTATAAATAATCAGTTGTTTACAGCATTACGTATAAATAATTATTGTCAACACACAATTTATATTCAAAATTACAATTACATTAAACATTTCCAAAATAAAGTGTCTTCGAATACTGTTATTTTTAGCTGACACACGTCGCGATCATATCGTAGATGGACGTTATTAATCATTTCGACGCGATGGAGTCCCAAATCGAATTTTCCCGTTATTTTCTCTCGCTCGAAATGCCGCAGGCCCTTAAATCTCCGAACGTCTCGTTTTTTGCAATGCGTTTCTGTGCGCAACGAAATTAAAAGAGCTCGAAGGCTCGCTCGCACAAAACCATGCACTGAAGGTCGAAAGTAAAATTGAGAAAAAAAACGGAAAAAACGCGTCTCCGAAGCTATCTCACCCGCTAGTTGACGCGCTGTGTCCGTGATGTTCACGCTGAGCGAACGTATTACACGTCACAAGCCTTCCTTTCAAGCTTGTACACGAACTTACACACTTGAATTTTCTTTTACAGATCAATCAAGCAACGCGCTCGCCAAACGGACACTTTTATTAAACTTCGCCAATCCCGCAAAAATCGATTTAAATGTAAAAGTCAGATGAAAAATGTATTTTTTTTCAACGAGATGTCGAAACAATAATAATTAAATTCTAAATGATAAAAGAACAGAACAGATGTAAGAAAACACATGTTTTATTTATGTATAAATAAATATTAAATAATATAAATAAAACACGCAATCATTACACACAAACATCTCACAGAGGTTGGTTTTGTTTTTATGTATATTTTTTTATTGTTTTATTGACGTACATATTTGTCACTTTTACGTCGGGAGTGTTGTTGCTAAGCGAAGTTTCGAACGGATGTCTCGCGATATTTGAATTTTTTCTATTTGTAAGTTTTGATCTATTTTTTTTTACTTTTCTTTCGTCTTTCTTTCTTTAAATTTGTAATTTGGACAAAAAACATATACTATTTTTGTAATTTGATATTGTACAGGAAATTGATATTTTTTCTGATTTAGAGATAAAAATGTCAAATTCTTCTTGAATAAGACACGCAATCGTTACACCTGTGTTTGAGCTCGTATTGACCCTATTTCTATCATTTTTGAGTTTACATTTCTTGTTCGCAGTAATTAATTGTTTCAGAGAAAAGTCTGAATTTTGGTGAAAACCTTTTAAGAAAGAGAAGAAGAGCAAGTTTAGACGTAGAAATACTATACATATAGTAGAGCTAGAACGTCCAAAATTTCGGCTCTTTGTGTCAGTTAATTACGGAAGTTAGAGTGGGAAAGACACTAGTCAAAGACTATTGTCGCAGTGAGAAATCAATGCTGCTGCGTACTACTAGTAAAGTATGTAATGAGCTTGCTGTAATTTGCGCGCCTCCGCGCAAACTAAATTTCGCGGAAACTAATAAAACAATTACTTGAAGTTGGGTAATTGGAGCGTGTTTATCCTGCGACAATCAGTAACTGCGATGTCGATATATTCGCAAAATAAAACCTGTAAAAACATAACACGTGAATCGAACGTGGATTACAAAAGATGATATAAAAAAGCGAAGCAAATAAAGGAAACTAGTTTTCTAGCTTTTTTTTTTATCCGGAAAATAATTTAGAGATCGATAAGGAGGTTAATGATAATTAGATTATGTTCTGGAACTTTAGCAATTATAAGACAGAGGTTACTCGATACGCTTAATTTCGTCTGCCTCTCTCACCTAAAGCCTCGTAGAAACTCACTCAAATGGCTTTTGCATAACTTTTACGCACTGTATATAACAATTTGTAGATGTATCATTAATTTTCGAGATACCAATCTAATTACACAAACTTGTTACATAATAGTTTAATGAAGTTTACCTCACGCTTTTCAAGATCAAACGCTCCGTCTATTTTTATACTTTTTATAATTTCGAAAAAAACCAATTTTTTTGCGCGTATATACTTTGAACGCGGCAATAATGTATTTGCGCAAACATGTATCGTCAAACGCATGATCGATGCTCTTGCGCAGATGACTGGATAATATACAAAAATTGTTTTGTGTGTACACACCGGAAATTAAATTCTGTAATTTATTTTATTTATTTTTATCGTGCACAAACGTTCAATCATGTTTATAGAATATTTTTATAATTTCAATTATTGAGATGAGAGAGAGGAGTTTTACCGCTTACTTTTAAGATAATTAAGGATGCAAATATATGAAATATAGACAAATCTATGCATTGGTAATTTAAATGATTTTTTAAAAATAAAACTAATTTTTTTTCTCGATAAAGAAAAAAATAAAAGTGGATAATCTTTGCACGATAGGGAGAATACACTTGAGAAAAAAAATCCACAAGTCTAATACGCGTGTTTGTACAATAACTCGCCCGCGTGTGTTCAAACAAGCTTTCACTGATATCGCAAGATAAAAAAAATTGCTTTTTTGTTTTCTATTGTTTTGTTAGTTTCTGCGAAAGTGTGATCGAAAAAATTGCCATGTATATATGCATATATAGGAAAAATACAAAAAATGTGCTTACGCGAGCATTAATACGTGTACCGTATGCATATTTCTTGCTATATTCCCAGGAGTATATGCCAAGATCAATAATAGTTAGCGACTCAGTGATGCAACTGAAGTGCATACTCCAAGCGCGATGAAATATCTATTATTAATAGGTTGCCGATTGCGATAACAATAAAACGTCTAATATTACGCGCGCTATATGAGTTACACTACAATAGCGGAAATATAAATTGTCTGATTTTTCTTATCAAATATTGTCTTTATGTTTCACATCTAATGTTTTACGATCATCTCAAAGAATAATAAAACATCTTCTATAATTTTTTCAATTCATTTGCGATTCATTTTATACTTTATAAAGAACCAGCACCACAATATGCTAAAATATACATAGCAGCGCGTCTCAAGGAATGGAAGTTCTCTGAGTAAAGAAAAAAATTTTTATATCGAAGGTAAAAGATATAACGAAGAAACAAAATTGTGTAAGCTCTCTGTCAAGAAAGAAAATTCCATGGATATGATAAAAAATGTACTTTTACTTACTTTCCTTTTACAAGAGTTAGATCTGTAAAACTTTGAGAGCCGGACTCTAAAAGCTTCAACTTTGAGAGAGAGAGAGAGAGAGAGAGAGAGAGAGAGAGAGAGGGATTCAAAACCGTCGTTAAAAATGTTAGTGTATATTTTCACAGAAGTTTGAATCACACACATGATATCTAGGACATTTTAGACAAGCTTATTAAGAGTGAGTTTTACACGCGTCATTTGCGTTATGACGTCATGTCATTCTATCAGCTGCCGCTGTAACTGCATATGTCGTTAAAGCTCTGCCCCCATTCAATAACATTCCGTTGTTCTTTACGAGTACTCTCAGCGTTTGGCATTGATGAACACATTTCATAACGATCCTGCAGCTCGTTCGCAACATAAAGAGGTTGCATTGTTATTCCCGGATATTTTATGCGCAAATTAGACATTTGCGTAATTCTTGTTTCTCACAAAAACACGTATTTATCACATTCTGTATATTTTGAGATGCGACATACCGCATTGCGATTGAAATATTTGTATTTAAATTGTTTTGAAAAAATTTATATTAAAAAGTATTATATAAACACACATTATTGTAATAAATTCTCATCGCAGAATTAAAACGTAGCACGGTTTTTGACCGGATATGCATGAGTTTGTGTTGGGAGACAGTTTTTGAAACTTAAAACAATTAATCATTATACGTATAGCGATACTGTACGATTTATCATTGATTCGTATCACTACCTCGCGTACTCCGTATTAAAGTAGAGAAATCAATCATTGGACATACACTATTATTGCTTATCAGATACAAGTTGTCAGGCAAATTGATTATGATATAATGACAAATTATATGCATTTTATCCCGTTCTATAAATACCATAAAAACTAGCCGTTTCATTATTTTTTTTTTTCTTTTTTTTTCTTTTTTACACGGAAATAAAACTTTGGGTAGATAAAAATACCATAAAACTTTGTACTTTTTGAAATGTTAATTTTAAAACAATTATACTAAATGCAAAAACTATTTACTTTCACGCGTAATACTGAATAACTCTTTGATAGAGCGAATTCTAGGCAATTTTTAACCTGTAGTTTTGATGATGTATCGGTTAAAAACCTTTTCCATCAAAATCCGCTGTCGGAGCGTTAAAACGCTAAAAAGCCACAAATACTGTGTGCTTTAACAAATTAAATTTGCATGGAAAATAATACATTTATAAAAAACAACTTCTAATGTTTTATTTACGCTTGCTTATGTTTATTGCGATTTTTCTATACACGTGTCACGTTATTGCAATATACTCACCGTAGTATAAATGGCACAAGCGTAACTGCCTCTGCGTACGGAGTGCCAACAGCAACAGGATTGCATGATAGCCATGCTGTGAGCACATGTATAGATCTTCTCGCGAAGTTAAAAAAAAAAAAAAAAAAAAAAAAAACAAACAAACAAACAAAGAAACAAACTGTTGAATTTCTTCTCTCGTGAATTTTCACTCGGTGATTTTACGTAAGTGTCGCGCGCAGTTTTTTTTCAAGTTGCAGACGATCGAAAGTCGTTCGCGTAAAGTGTCATCTCTTCTCGCGAGTTTTCCTCAGCGAGATCGAGACGCGAGATCGCACGAGGATGGCTCGGCGCCGACTGTTGGGTTCTCTCTCGCGAAATTCCCTCCGTCCGGAGTTATCTCGTCGCGTAAAAAGCCCACCGGCAGCGACGCCTGCGCAATTGTATAATACTCCCCATCATCTACGGGGTGCTTTTGTAGCCCGTGAATACGATCCGCTCGCTGACACGATATTATATTGCTATTGCTACAAGAAAAATGCAGAATTGTGATTCGCGGAAGCGCGGTTTTCTTTTGGAATTATATATATTTAGGAAGAATTCTCTTTTCTCCGTTTTTCCCTCTCTTATCTCTTTCTTTTTTTTTTGCTAAGGTGATAAGAAAACTTCTTTGCGTAATAAGATTTTTATGTGTGGAGAAAAAAATACGCTTAACGTTTTTATGTAACTCGTCATATTTTATTTTACTATGCGCATATATTTGCATAATAGGGATTTCATAAAAAAAAAAGTAAAAGATCATCTAGCATTGATATTTTACTTGGAAAATATTTTATTGAAATATACATCGCTTCTTCGTCGCGATTTTATAATTTTAAGGAATATATAAAAGTATAGTATCCATTGAACAAACATCCAACGAAAAAGAAATTTATTTTAAAATTCTTTCGGAAATACCTACACTCACAAACATGAGACTTTTATCTCTATCTTTATATATTTTCAATCTATGTCAACACGTATAGTGCAGTTTTAATTGATCGCGGAAGTACATTATTTTTAATCGTGGTTTTATTACGGGACTTTCAGGATTAATGAACAAAATAAAAATATATAACAATATTTCAAAGTATCGTTATTATTATGAAGTAATCTATTAATACACTAAGTGTCTTGACTTTGCTAAAATGTGTGCTCTCGTTGAAAATAATGATTCACGTTAAAGGCCACGACACGGGCGTCGATCTTTATTGTACGGCTTGTTTGCCCGGTTACTACTTTACGACCGATGTTTCATATCTCTTATCACTGTAAAATTCCACCGACCCATCGTTCTTTTTTACACCTTTTTTACACTCTTTTTCGTGTAACATTCGCTTTATGTTTTATGATTTTTTTGTGTAAAATACAAAGTTTTTATTGTGTTACGTATAAATAAGAATAATGTAGAATACAAAAATAATATAATGTAAAAAATATCATTTATTATTTGTGACCTTTAATAGCTTACAATTAGTTGTTAGTTTTGTAGTAAAAGTTTTGTCTTAGAAAATGTCTTAAAGAATCTGCCAGTAAAAAATAGTTTTTCAGTACTCTTGGAATTTTCAATACAAATATAAATTTCATTAAATAAATAGCGTCAAGTTAATCACAAAAAGTCTTTATTCTCTTTATCCGCGAATAATTAGTAATTTCGAATTTGCATTTAAATTTTTCACTTGTACATTTTAATTGTTTTTGTGTTAAATGTTCATTTAAATTTTGAAAAAGAATATTCATTTATTGTTCACGTAGCTTGCGATATAATTAAATTTATTGTTCACGTAGCTTGCAATATAATTAAATTTCGTGATAGATTTATATATATAATTAAATAAATTCTTATAAAATATGCTGTTGTTTTGAGATATATAAAGATTTATTTGTTATATATTTATTTATTATATATAAAGATTTATTTTTATCTGACCTGTTTTGTATAGTTTATACAATCGTTCGATTTTTTTGTTAGCTTGTGTGCAAGTACGAAGTAAAATTCTATTTGACACATGGTACATTTAACACATAAATTAATTATGATTTTATTTCTGCATTTTCCATTTCTCTCTCTCGCTGATATATGTTACGTATTTTATTACGACTCCAATCAATAAACTTGTTGTCGTTTTATAAAGCTGGAATTATGATTATTCTCTTCTAATTCAAGTATAATTTAATATTATTTTTAATAGTATTTAACTTTTATTATTATATAATTATTACTACATATTCGAATCAAACAAAAATTATTTTAGTTACGAACTATTTAAAGTTTTTAAATTCCCGTTAGAAGTTTTAGGCTTGTCCGCCGAAACAGAAATTCAACTTTTCGATAAAAAAATTGAGTCCAAAGTTGTTAAACTTGCAATCTAAATTGGACTCGCCTTCCCTACTGAAAAATACAATTTCCTGTTCGACAAACAAGCTCCAAAATTTTAACTTTGAAAAATTCAAAAGCTCTTAAATAATTTGTAATCCTAAAATAGTTTTCATTTAATTTGGACATGATGAGGGAAGAGATTAAATCAAGATCTACACAGATATCGCTATTCGCATACTTGTTTAATTAAAACGAGCTCAAGCTACAAACGGGGATGAAAGAAAGGAGAAATGATTTACCGAATCAAATCGATACAAAGTCCACACTATATCGTATTAAATTATGTTAATTACCGATGGATAATATATAGTTTTGAATGTTTATTCGATTGCTTATTTGTGCGAATGCGAAGAATTTATCTAATGAGTAAAATTGTACATTTGAGATCTTCCACCAAAGTGAAATTCTTGGATTTCGAAAGCGGAAAGAATGTGTCCATTATAACTCACACACGGGAATTAGACTTGATGCGTTGCGTCTTCCCGAAGACGCGGGTGGAATTATTAAACCTTGGAGCACACATATTCCGAGAAAACGGAACTCGATATTTGTCTGAGAATCTAATGAATAAACACGATGTAGAGCTCAGCATCAAGTGTATATACTCAGCGTTCTCGTTGGCTCTGGCATATCTTTTGACATCGTGGCTGCAATAAGGAATTGAGGGCGCAACTTCACGAAGAAAGGTAACTTCTACACGGATGCGAACATTACGCGAGAAGCACGCGTTAAAATAGGAATAATCAATAGTGTGAGAACAGCAAATAAATTAAAACTTGATCTAACTTAGTTAATCAAGTTTTAGCGAGTAAGAGCGAACTATATTTATTTCGTCGTTTTAGGAGCAAGTTGCGCTATTCGCAGCTTCTCAAAGATCGGAAATCCGAATGCTCGCTTTATTCGCGAAAAAAAAAAACAGATGAAAAGCGCGTGTGCGGCAATAAAACTCGGAAAGAATCCCAATGTAATGAGCAAACCGAAGGATTGCCGGACGCACGGTTTGGCGAAATTGGAAACGCTAACAAAATCCTATCGATTATCCGCGATTATCTCGCCCGAACATTTCCGACTGAATCTTTACCGATGCTTTATCGATCCGCGTCTGTATATGTATATATATATATATATATATATATATACATATATAGCTCACTTGATTCTGGATTATATCGACAGTACGCGATAGAGACGCAGTTGACGGGAGTACCATCCACGTAAAACTGGAGCTGACGTTTTTGCACATCAAAGGCAGGACTCGTGCTTTGTCGGAGTAAATTTCGTGACGCTTTGGCACGAAGTCAGGAAATTATGGGTAACAAACAATTAGGTATTCACAAACTCTGTGTACGCGTACGTATCGATTTCTCTTTCGGGCGCGTATGCAATAAGAGCGCGCCTAAGTCAGTATAATCAAAGTATAATCCAAGCGCACACATTATATATTGCGCCACTCTTAATGTAAAGCTGAATATTAAGTATTAAATAAATATTTTATACTCAGCCACTTTTATACGTAGCCATTTCTGTGAAATATCGATATTCTGTGTGTTCTCTGATTATATTTTTCTTCTAAAAGACGAACGTATAGAAATGCGAAACAAATATTGAAATTTATCATTCCGCTCTGTTTCTCGAAGCAGAACTTTGAAGAGAACTTTGAACATGCACATATTTCCGTTTTGCTCTTTATTACGCGCGTAATACGTAATTCAGAGAAAATGCAAGATTCAAAACGCGCGAGATCTGTAGTATTTAAAATTAAAACGCTTAATTTTTGATCGTTAATAAAACATCAGACGCGTGTCTTACCTTTTCTTCGACATCTCAAAATTAGTATGTGCGGTAGACAGTTTGAAATTACGTTTGGTAACATTATTTGCACTAATACGACCGAATACGATACGTGCGTTGCTATTCAAAATTCCATGTTCTACGTGATATCGAACTCCTGATCAAACTCTCTAGATGTGTGTACTCACGCGCGTACACACACGCACACACATACGCGCGCACCTGTATAACTATAAAGAAAGCTATTTGCATTTATTTTATCTACGAAGCCACACAGATTACCTTTTCTCTTCAAGGAAAACTACACACACACACTACACATACACGTTATCAGACAACAACGCACCATTTTCCGCATATAGATATTTCTTTACATATTTCAATCATGTGGAAGATATATATGAGAAATCAATATACACATAAAAGAACAAATGCGGTAAATCTGTGAAAAATAAGAATGTTTTAAGCTCGCCGTTTTTCTTCGGTTTAACTATCAAGCTGACCTAATGTATCATGCATCTCATAAGTGATGCAGATGCATCACCTTCTTATTTTCTTCGATTTTAGTATAAACTTGTAAAATGGAAAAGTTATTTCCAGGAAGTATGGCGCAAGTGTTTGTTATACTTTTCTTGCGGTTAGTAAGTTTTTTTTACGTTCCTAGAAAAGATAAATATTCTAATATGCATAAAACACTTCAAAAATATTAAAATATTTCTTTCTTCTCTCTCTCTCTCTTTTCTCTGTGAAACTAGTAAAACTTGTTTAATTTCATATCTTCTTATAACTTTTATTGTTTGAGGTGTTCATTCAATTTAAGAAATTATTAATAATTCTAGAAAAAAAGTTATTCTCATTTCTCATTCCGTATTATTTGCATGAATTGACTGAAGTCTTTTATCGTAATTAGTTCTTCAGAAATAAAGTTGATGATTAAAACGCAAATTGTCTTGTCTTTTGAACATTTCTTTGTGTCATTTCTACACACAATGATTTATGACTTCTTACATTGAAAACGCGTACTTTAATAAGATATCTATTTTTCTCTTCCTCGTATTTTGCTTTTTTTTTTTCTATCTTTGACACGACAAGACAGAAAAGAAGTATTGGGGTTTATACAAAACAAATGAGGCAC